AGTCGCGTTCCGTCGGCCTGACAACGATGCGACTACCTCTCACTTCCGTCAGCCAGGCGGGCAAGCCGAGCCTCTGCACCGGCGCCTTGGCCTCTGCCTCTTGTCGCTGTGCCCTCGCCTGCGGCTGCGCCGCGGCATCCGCCTCGCCGTCCGCATCGGCATCGGCGGCGGCGTCGGCGGGCACGTCGCGCTCCTGAGCGTGCAGCACGACGGCGCGCAGGCCGGCGAGCAGATGCGCGCCGCTCAGGCGCAGGCGCACCGCTTCGCGCGGCGCAGCGACGGCGCGATAGGCGCCGTGAGCGGGGAGTGGGAGATGCAGCTGGCGCGCGCGCGATTGGCGAGGCATGGGCAAACATCAGCATTCGGGCCCTGCTTGGGGGGGAGAGGAAGGGATGCCAAGAGGTGGGGGGGCACTCACTTCGTAGTCGACACGCTCAATCACCTCGCATGCCTCTCCAAAGAGCTCCCTCACTTCCCTCCTCGCTTGCTCGGCGCGCTGCATCGCGTGCTTCCTGCGCTTGTGTGCCTTGCTTGGCTCCTGTTCCTCCTGGGCCTCCTCGACAGGCAGCGCCGCCTCGTTGCCAATCAGCGCCAGTCTCGTGCGCTTCGCCGGCTGGCACAGCGGTCCTTCCTCCTCTGCGCGCGCCATGGCGCGCGCCGCGCCTCCGCCGGCCACGCCGCGCAGCGCGCGCTCGCCCGCCAGCAGTGCGGCGCGCAGCGCGAGGGCGTCGCGCCCGCGCAGCTCGCCCAGCTCGTCGCCGGCGCCCGTGACGCCGCTGGCGTGTGCGGCATGCGCAAAGGCGCCGAGACAGATCTGGCGCGCGCTGGGACCGGCGCTGCGGCCGAGCGTGCCGCTGTGGAGGAGCCAGCGCGTGCCGGGAATGTGCAGCAAGGACAGGCCGGCGCAGACGTCGGAGGCCGAGGCGGGCAGGACGATGCGCAGGTGCGTAAAGACGGCGAGCGGGTCGTCGAGGGCGGCGAGAGATGTGTCGGCCGAGGAGTGCGCGGCCTTGCTCTCGGATGAGAGGAGCGGAGAAGCGTCGGCGAGGTGCACGTGGTGCGTGAAGTAGTTGCTCAGCTCCTTGGAGAGGCGAGCCTGCAGCGTCTGCGGCGAGAGCTGCAGGAAGGAGCTCGGCACTGTTGGGCGCATGGCATGCTGCGTCAGCCTCCTGGCCTGCCTCGTCTCTCTCTGCGCAGCCAGCAACATGCGGGCTGGGCCCCACTCACCCTGTGCGTCGTCAAACTCGAGGCGCGCCACGCTCCAGGTGCGCGCGCCCGGCGCCAGGCGCATGGCTTCGCACGCGAGCATGTGGCACATGTGCAGCGTGAGGCCGTGTGGCCAGTCGACGTCGAGCACGCGCTCGACGGCGCGCGCCTTTGCGATGCCCGGCGCGCGCATGGGGCCGTGCCACAGCTGGCGCAGCTGCGCGACGCTCGAGGCGCGGCGCGACTCGTGCAGCTCGAGAAAGGTCGACGTCGCAGAGGTGGAGGCATGCCGACGGGAGAGAGAGGGAGGCGCGATGGAGGGAGAAGAAGAGGCGAGCCAGTGCAGCACGAGGGCGATGAGCGAGGCCTTGCTGAGCTGGTGCAGCAGGCGCCGCAGCGGCGCAGAGGGCGCCTGCAGCGTGGCGTCGGGCAGCGCCAGGAGTGCCGCGCGCGACGACGAGGCCTCGCTGCTGCCGCTTGCGGAGGAGGAGGAGGAGGCGTGGGGCGCCATGCTCGGCGACGCTGGGGACGCTGGGAGGTGGAGGAGCGAAGGCAAGCAGGGCGCGTGCGTGCCGCTGCCGCTGCCGTGCGGGTGCGCAGCGAGCGAGAGCAACACCGCTGCCGCCGGCCGGGCGCCGCGCGTGGCATCACGTGCACGTCTACCGTGGGAGCACCCACGCACTGCCTCGCTCCACCTGCACGCGGCGCGCCTTCTTCGCGCGGCGGCAGCCCGCGATTCGACTCCTCTCTCTTCAACATCGATCAGCCGCTTCACGTCGCTTCGAGAGGGGCAGCTGAACAGCTCATAATCGCGAGAGAGGCATCAAGGAGCGAGGAGGGCGCAGATAGAGGGGGCTGGGCTGGCACGCCGGAGCGCAAGCAGACGTGCTGCAGCATCAAACGCCATGGCATCTCTCGCATCTTCACGCGACAGTCAGTGCTCTTGCGTCTCATCGCCCATCTGGCGCCCGCGTAAGCCACCCCAGACTGCCTATACTGACGCCCAGGCTGCTCTGTAGGCTCTTCCAGCACCCAGCTACGCACCGAAGCTCCCTACTGGTGCGTCCTCGCCCGCAGCGGGGAGAGAGAGACGCGCTCCCACGTGGCGCGAGCCTCTGCTGACGCGTCCTTCGCCCTTTTCCCACGCGCCCCTGCCCTGCCTCTGACTTGCGCTCGCTGCGCTCCCCCCCGCTCTGCCGGCAATGCTGCTCTGCTGCTCATGCCGCTCAGGTTCGCGTACAAGAACAGCGTCAAGCGCCGATGGGAGGGGCGGCAGCTGCTGGAGATCTTCGTCACCGAGTTCAGGGATCGCACGAGAGAGTACTACGTCAGTCAGAGTCATGCTTGCCTCCTCCTCCTCCTTTCAGCACCGCCCGACTGACGAACCGCGACATGCGTGGCTGTAGACATGGGCGATCCACACCGGTGAGGGCATGGATGCAGACAGAGAGAAAGGCAGCACACTGCCCAGGGCTGACGGTCTTCAACGCAGGACTGTGCACCATCAACGGCCACGCCGTGCAGCCAGACTACGTCGTGCAGCACAACGACTACATGGTGTGCGTTGGCCGTCCGCTGTCTCCGTCTGCACAGTGCAGGAACATGCTGCTGATGCGGCCTTCTCCGTGCGTTGCAGCAACACGGTGCACCGCCATGAGCCGCCCGTGACGGCAGATCCCATTCGCATCATCTACGAGGACAAGGAGGAGGGAAGACTGGTGATTGTCAAGGTGCGCGCACGACCTCGCCACGGCGGAAGAAGGCCTGCCTCAGGCCTCAGAGCTCATCTATCTCGCGTGCTGCACAGCCCGGCAGCATTCCGATCCACCCCGCTGGACGGTACATGCGACACACAGTGAGTGCCCCCAACCGCCTACACGAAGGCCGCACAGCGACAAAAGGAGGCAAGCTGACGACGCTCTCTCTTCTCCAGCTCATCGAGATGCTCTCGAGCACGCTCAACGTGCCGACGATCTACAGTGCGTCTTGTCCTCTTCTCACGCCGCCCTCAGTACACTGACGGCCTGCTCTGCTTCCAGCGGCCAACCGTCTGGACCGCCTCACGTCCGGCATCATGATTCTCTCCACCAAGAAGGAGGCGGCACAGAAGCTCTCGAGCGACTTCCACATGGGCCTGGTGCGCAAGGCGTACGTGGCGCGCGTCAAGGGCAAGTTTCCGGAGTAAGTGACACACGAGAGGCCAGAGGGGCGGCAAGAGGTGGGGACTCTGCTCATGCTGGCTCTGGACGTGGACAGAGAGCAAGTCGTGTGCAAGGAGCCACTGCTGGCAGTGGACCGGCAGACGGGCGTGAATGTGGTGCACCCGCTCGGCAAGGTGAGCCCTGACGGCCCTCGGCAGTGCTCAGGCCGTCTGTGGTGAGCTGACATGTCGAGCATTCGCAAGGACTGCGAGACGATCTTCCAGCGCCTGTCCTACGATGCCGTCTCGGACACCAGCGTGCTTCTCTGTCGGCCCATCACGGGCCGCACGCACCAGATCCGCGTGCATGTGCAGTGGCTTGGCTATCCGATTCCCAACGACCCCATCTACGCGCACCGCATCTGGCAGGAGCTGCCTCCGCAGAGCTTCGCCTCGGTGCGCGTCGACACGGATCGCAACAACCGCGCGCCGGGCGAGGAGGGCTACGAGGCGCATGGCTGCCGTGAGATCGAGCGCGTCGTGGCGGTGCTGAAGCACGAGAAGGACTCAAAGGAGGACTGGGCGCGCTGGCGCGACGAGGTGCGCTTCGGCAAGCTGGTGCGCGAGCATGGCTGGCACCTGCCGACGGTGTTCGGCCCCAATGGCGAGAGCGCCGCAAGCCAGGCGGGCTTCGATGCGAAAGAGGCAGAGGAGGACGAGGGAGAGGCGTGCGAGACTTGCATGTGGTCAGTGCCTCTCGCGTCTCGCTGGCTGCCGCCGCAGTGCTGATGCTTGTGCCGGCCGCCCAACAGCCCAGTGCAGCCCGACCCGTCGCCCGAGGAGCTCTACATCTATCTGCACGCCATCAAGTACGAGACGGATGCCTGGGCCTTCGAGGATGAGCTGCCCTGGTGGGCGCGTCCCGACTGGCGTTCTGCTCGCGAGGCGGGCGCCACGGCTTTGCCCGAAGCGTGCGGCTCCTCCTCCTCGGCCATTGCGCCGCCCGTCGTCTACGTCGCCAATGTGGCGCAGCGCCGCGAGGCAGGCGGCAAGCTGCGCGTGGCGACGGGCGATGCCAATCTGCCCACTCTGGTGCAGCCACGCACAGCCGCGCATGCAGCTCCCGGAGCAAGGCAGACAAGTGCATGCAAGCTGCTCGACGTGCCCGAGGTCGACTCGCACCTGCCCTCGCTCGACGTCGACGACGACGCCGACTCGACGCCGGCGGTGCTCTGTGAAGTCTTTGCCGGGCTCGAAGATGTGGCGCAGCGAGACATTGAGGCGCAGCTGCGTCTCTTCGGCGTCTCTACACGCACGCGCGCGGCACTGCACTGCGCACACGTCCTCGTCCCCGCTGGCCGAGGCGCAGCGACGGCCATCCGGGCCTTTGCAGCAGGACGTCTGCCGGGCGTGCGTGCCGCGTACCTCGTCATGCAGGAAGCGCCCATGGATGCCGAGCTGCTGCTGCGCCTCGCAACGGAGAAGCTCGAGCTGGGCAACAGCAAGCGCGCAGCTCGGCTGAAGGCGCTGGCGGAGAAGAAGGCCCAACGAGCGGCCAAGCATGCGGGCAAGGTCGTCGAGGAGCCCTCGGAACCAGCGACACCGCAACACGAAGAGCCGGACCAGCTCACCGCGGGCGAGGAGGAGCTGTTGGCCGGCATTGCACGGCATTGGCACGCCTCGCTCGCCGCAAGACACGCCGTCTTTGCGGCGTGGCGGCGCGTGGCGGCCGCGATGCACGTCGAGCTCACGGCACGCACGTTCCGCGGCAGTGTGGAGCGCAGTGCCTACCTGCTGCCCACCCTCACCACGCAGATGCTCGAGCGCGAGCTCGGCGAACTGGCAGGGCAATGGCTCATCAAGAGCCCCCCGATCGACGAGCCGATGGACGCGTGGCGTGTCGATCTGAAGCACTGCATCCTGGATGTGACGCTCAAGTTCATCCCTTCCCTCGGCACTCCAGCGGGCGCCGATGCCTCGACGGGCTCGCACAAGTCGGCAAACAATGCCCCAGGCAGTCTCTTCTACCTGCTTGCTCTGCCCGCGCCGGCGGCAGGCACTGTGCCATCTCGACCGGCCATTCCGACGTCCCTCAGCGCAGGCGGCACCTCCTTGGCGCGCTATCGCGCCTACACGCTCGCGGCGGCGCTGCCGCTGCCCAAGCTTGCAGGCGATGAGCGCCCGCGTCGACTGCGCATCCTCGAGCCGTGCGTGGGCCGCGGCAGTCTGGCGATCGAGCTCGCCGCTGCGCTGCAGCGACGATGCAGCAAGGACGGCGCACTCGAGGCGGATGTCTACGCCTGCGACATTGACGCTGCCGAGCTGGCACGCGCCTCGCAGATGCTGCAGCTCTGCCACTCGCCCACGTCTGCGTGCGAGGCCGTGCGCCTGCAGCTCAGCGCGGCGCCGCTCAACAGCACCGACGTCTGCGCCGTGCAGGCCTTCCTGGGCAGCAGCGAGCCGCTCGACGCCATCCTCAGCGACCTGCCCTGGGGCCATCGCGTCGGCAACAGCAGCAACGTGGCGCGTCTCTACCCTCGCCTCGTGCAGAGCTTCTGCGCACTGCTTCGCCCCGGAGGCTACGCACTGCTCATGACGGCGGAGCAGCGCACCTTTGTGCGCATCCTGCGCGAGGCCGAGGGACAGGCGAGAAAGACGAACCAGCCGTACTACCTCTCCATCGAGGCGCTCCATCTTCTCGACGACGACGACGACGACGACGACGAGGCAGAGGAGGACAGGCTCGCCTCGCCACATGCGCACGAACATGCGCACGCGATGTGCAGACAGGGAGCCAAGGAGGCGGAGCGCTGGCAGGGCCTGCGGCCCGTCGAGGTGGGCTTTGGCGTGTACCTCTTCCTCCTTCGCAAGACTGCCATGTAGACTTGCCTCCTTGCTCTGCTGCAATCTCACCTTGGGGTGTCACATGCACCTTCTTGCCAACTGTCATGCTGCCCGTGTTGCGATGCTGTGTCCCATTCACTCGCCCCGTCCGCGGCCCCTGCCTCTGCCACGCTCGCCTCCTCGTCCTCCTCCTCGCCCGCCCCGCTCTCCGCCTACACGCCCGCCACGAGCTCCTCCGCGCGCGCCCGGACCGCCGGCTCCGCCGCCGCCGCCGCCCTGGGCGCCCTGCGCCTGCCGTGCCTTGCGTGCCGCCTCCTCCTGCTCGCGCACCGTGTCGACGAGCGAGTCGACGACGCGGCAGTACTTGATCTGTTTTCGCGCGCCGAGTGGCGCAGCCAGGACAGTCAGTCTTGCGCCAGCTCTGCGGCCTGGCGGCGATTGCGCTGCTGCTGCTGCTGCTACGCCCGTGACTGCGCCAAGCCACTCACATTGCTGCCGCGGATGTAGCACTCCTTGAGCTTCCAGAACTGCTCTCCCGACTGGCGTGATTGGAACAACGTCAGCCAGTGCACTCGGGGCCCTCGCTCTGCTGCTGCTGCTCGCGCGCCACACCCACGCACACTGCTGGTCTGGTAGACGTCGCGCAGCGTCAGGTTCATGAAGTTGTCGCACAGGTCGAGGGTGCCGTTGAACGTCTCGCCGCTCTTGAGCTCGACGAGCTGTGCGTGAGGGGATGGCAGGGCGGGTCAGCGGCGGCCACAGCCGGGCGACGGGCCGCACCGCCCACACGCCCCACACACGCACCATGGCGCGCCCCTTTGCGGCGTTGAGCAGGGTGAGGGGCAGCATGGCTGCGGGCAGAGCGAGGATGGGCGTGGAGGCGAGGCAGGCGCGACGCTGGCAGTGGCAGTGGAGGCGAGGCAGGCGCGACGCTGGCTGCCGCCGCTGCGTCATGCCTGGCCTGGCCCATGCCATGCCCGTGCAGGTCACGTGCAGCCGCGCGCCTCGTGTTGCCCGGCCGGGGCCACAGCTGGCGCAGGCGCGACGCGTGCCCGCCCCGCCCCGCCCCACGCCCACCACCACCCTCCCTCGCTCCCTCGGCCCCGCATGGACATCCATCTCTCCACGCTCGCCGCCACGCTCGGCGCCATAAGCGCCCTGCACGCCGAGTCGCGCGCCGCCGCGCTGCGCCCGCTGCCCTTCACCGCCGCCATGCTCAACCTGCCCGCGCTCGACGTGCTGGCCTACATTCGCGACGCCGACGCCCTCGACGCCGCCCTCTTCACCTATCCCGCCCTGCCCGCCGCCGCCGACGACAAGGCGGAGCGCAGCAGCAGCAGCAAGACGCGCAGGGACGCCGGCGCAGCGGCCAGCTCGACGAGTGCAGCGGCCGCCGCGGCAGACGATGCCGCGTCGCTGCTGGCGCCCCGCCTGCCCGAGCCGCGCCAGTTCCTGCCGCCGACGCCGCTGCGCAAGCCGGCGGCCGAGCGCGCGCCGTACGATGCCCGCACGCTGCTCCTGGCCGCGCAGAAGCTCGTGGACAACTAGTGCGTGCCCCCTCCCATCACTCGTCCCGGCACACATCGCTGACCCAACTCCCGGGCAGCCACAACGCGCCGCGCGCACGCCGGCACATCAAGTCGCTGCTGCGCCACTCCTCGGAGCTGTCCAAGTCCGCCGCGTCGTACAAGCGCGACATTGCCGCCGCCGAGGCCGAGATTGCGCGTCTCTCGGCGCCCGGCGGCGGCGCCTCGGCGGCGGCCAGCAGCAGCGGCAGCAGTGCGCCGACGGCTGCGCGCTCGGCGGCGGAGAAGGAGGAGGCCAAGAGACTGGTCAAGGAGATGGAGCGCGAGGAGATGGAGCTGATTGCGCTCGAGGAGATGGAGAGGGAACTGGTGGAGCGCGTGAGTTTCCCAACGTGGAGAGAGTGCTCATTGCGCAGCGTGGAGAGACTGACGCGACACACGTCGGATCCAGCGCAAGAAGCTGTCGCAGCCCAAGAAGCGTGCCTCTCCGGCGGCGGCGATGCAGCAGCGCGAGGCGACTCCCTCGAGCGAGCCAGCGGTGCCCGAGCCTGCCGCGCCCGCCGAGGAGGCCGTGACTCTTGCCGCGCCCTCGAGCGACGCCGCGCCTGCCGCAGATGCATCCTCGGGCGGCGCAGAGGACGGCGACGACACACTGCGTCTTCCCTCGGCGGCCGACGACGAGCCGGCCTTGGCCGCTGCCGAAGAGCCGTCGCCTTCGCGCCTGCCGGAAGCGACCGACGAGCTGGAGCGCGTGACGGAGAACATCTGGTCTGCGCTGGGCGATGTGCTGCGCGTGCTGCGTCCCGAGTGCGAAGGGCTCGGCTTCCACGAGACGCTCGGCCTGCTGCAGGCGCTCATGCGCGGCGAAGGCGCGAGCGGCCCAGCCGTGGGCGAGACGTCGCTCGGCTCGACGGCCACGGGCACCACTGCCTCCTCCGCCACGGCCGCATCGAGCGCCGCCGCTCTCCCCGTCCTCGCACCCACGCCCACCACGGTGCACGCCGCCCATCTCCTCGTGCTGCTCCTCAGCGCCCCAGCGCCGCACCAGGAGAACATGAACGCCATCAAGGCCGCGGCGCAGACGTGGTGGCACGAGCACGGCCGCCAGGCGTGGCTCGGCCACGGCGGCGCAAGGGAGGGCACCGAGGAGCAGGGCGACAGCCTGGCGACAAAGGCCATGTATCAGCTCGTGGCGCAGAAGATTCTGCGCGTCAGACACGTCGGCGGCGGACGCGTGGTGAGCTTTGCCTAGAGAGGGGCCGAATGCTCGATCTCTCGTCTGCGCTCCCAAAATCCTTCCTGCCCTGCTTCGATACCCTTTCCTCGGCCCCCCGTGTAATCCTTCTCGCTCTCTTTTCCTTTCCGCGCCGTCCTGCAAGGATAATGTATAACAAGTCTCCCGTCTGCTCTAAGCTTCTAGCGTGCTGGCGCGTGCCAGCGTCTAGGGCTTCGCAGCCTCCTCGTACTCCTTCTTGCGCTTCTCCAGCGCCTCCTCATCCACGCTGGCACTCGAGCTCTGCAGCTCCAGCACGTCGGTCAGCTGCACCGTGCCGCCGAGGAGCATGCGGCAGATTTCGCTGTGGCATGTCGGGGGGGGGGGGGGCATCAGCGAGAGGTTTCAGCACAGGGGGCAGGCGCAAAGGAAGGCGAGGAGAAGCGGGCCACAGGACCACAGCACAATACGCACGTGTAGAGCTCCTTAACGCCGTAGCCTGCCTTTGCCGAAATCTCGACGTACTTGACCTCGCGCTTGCGCGGCACATCAATGTCGGCGGGCTTGATGAGGTTCTGCGAGTGCGGGGGGGGGGGGAACAACAGGCTGCGTGAGCAAGGTCGAGGCGAGTGAAGAGCGCTTCGAGAGGGCAGACTCACCGAGAGATCGTCGACCTTTGTGCCAGCGAAGAGGATGGGCGTGGGCTCGGAGCCACGACGGCGGTTGGCCTCGACTACAGCGTCGTACCACTCCTCCGACTTCTCCAGACTGATCACCCAGCAGCAGAGCGTGTCAGCCGTGTGTCGCACCTCTGCGCCCGCTTCCCTCCCCTCTGCAGGCTGCCTCGCAGCAGGCGGGCACAAGAAGGCAGACGCCATCTCGAAGCGCGACGACGACGCACCTATCCCGGTCGTTGGCGGCGAAGAAGACGACGGCGGCATCGGCATTGCGGAAAAAGTCGTCGGCGGGCAGGCCGCCCTTGGCGTGCATCGTCGTGTCGTACAGCGTGAGCACGACGGAGCCGGCAGACGTGTAGAGCGGCACCTTGAACTGCGCGCGCGGGCACGTGAAGAAAGGAGCGGAGCGGGGCGGGGGGGGGGGGGGGGCGTGAACGTGGGTTACGAGGTTGCGAAAGGGGCAACGCAGCGAGGCTGGCAATCGCTGTGGCCTGGGCTGCGAAAGGCGGGAGTGCGGGCTGCAACTGCCCCACCTCTGTATGTGCTGCTCGCACCGAGGCTGGACTCGCCCTTGCGGGCCAGGTGGTTGCAAGCGCACGGGCGCTCGCCGCCCAGCGCAGGCAATTCGCTCTCCCCACTCTTTGCAGCCTTGTGGCATGGCTCGACGCCCCGAAGACCTGCCCCACTCTCGCGCACTGTGCAATGATCCATCATTTCCCATCCCGCTCTTGGCCCCATCATCCTCCTCCTCGCTGCACAATCGGGGGCCAAGGGCAACCACACACGCACCGTGTCGGCACGCAGGCTCTTGATGCTCTTCTTCTCCGCCTTGCTCGCCGCCGCCGCAAAGGCGGTGCGGCCCGAGGCAAAGGGGCCGGCGAGGACGATCTTGTACTCCTTGGGCACGGACATGTCGACTGATGTGAGAGGTGTGGGATGTGTGAAGGTGAGGTGGTGGACGGGAAGAAGCGAGGGCTTGCGAGAAGGCCAGCACGCCACGTCGGCGCATGCACGGCGCACGGCCTCGTGAGTCGCCGAGAGCGAGGCCGTCACGTGAGTCGCCCGCTGCGTACGTGAGGTGGAGGCGGGGCAGCGACGCGCGCGGCGCGCCCAGCGCGCCAGTCAGCGCTGCTCTGCTCAGCCGAGAGACACAGGCCGAGACGGTGAGCGGGGGAGAGACGTATCATATTACAACTAGCACGGGCGGCAAGGGGAGAAGCAACAGGGAATCGAGTCATGCAGAGCGGCCGATGAGATCAGCGGCGTCGTCCAGCCTGCTCCCCGCCTCCTACTTGCGCCGCTGGCCGTTGGACAGGATGGCGACGAGGCGCGTGAAGATGTTGATGGCGTCGAGATAGAGGCCAATGCTCTCGCGCAGCGGATCGGCGGGGATGGCGCCCATCTGCGCCAGACGCGCATGCTCCAGGATCTTCGACATGTCGTACAGCACAAACGCGCCGAAGACGCCCAGGCCGCCGTAGAGCGACAGCGCCTCCGTCACGGCCAGCGCACGGAATGCAGTGGCGGGCAGCACCATTGGCGCAAGCCCGGAGAGCGCCACGACGACGACGCCGGCGAGCAGCGGACCGCCCATCCAGAGGAACTGCCGCTCCTTGGCCGTGGCGCCGACGTAGCAGAGCGAGCCTACAATGCCGGCCGTGTACACGCCGGCGCGTGCCAGCACCGCGGGGTTGAGGAAGAGCATGGGGCTGAGCACGGCGGCCTGCGCGACGTTGAAGAGCACCCAGCAGGCGTACTTGCCCGGCGAGCCGGGCGGCAGCGCCTGCGCGCCAATCATGCCGCCGATGGAGGCAACGAGGCCGACGCCCAGCACGAGCCACGGCGACGCCATCATGACGCGCCGCGAAATGCCGCTGCGGTGCAGGCCGACGGCGGCGACGGCCGTGAGGGCAATGCCGCCGCCGAGGTAGCGGAAGGTGGAGTTGAGGTAGGAGGCCGAGTACGCATCGAGGGGCGCCTCGCGCGTCGGGCGGTTGAAGAAGAGGTTGGCTGCGCACAGAAGCAGCTTATTGTCAGCATGAACTCGCTTCACAGAGGGCTCGTTGCGCTTCCCCACGTTCGTAGTCGGAGGCCCGCTCTGACTCACCGGCGAAAGCACTGCCGCCAATGATGCCCAGACTCGTCAGCACGCGCGCCCAGCCGCCGGGCTGGCTGATGCTCGTCGGCGCGCCCGGCGCGGGCGCCTGATGCGGCAGGCTGAGTGCGAGGCCGCCCGTGCCACTCGCCGCATTGGTCGCAGCGGGCCGGTTGAAGGGCGAGGAGCGCACGCCGCGAGTGCACGGCTTGATCGGCGGCGCGGCGAGGCGCAGCGCCGGACGCGCGGCGCCCTTGAGCGGCGCCGCAGCGGCGGGCGCGAGCGTGGAGGAGAGGCGCACGCCGCGCGCCAAGGTGGCGAAGGAGGGCCGGAGCAGCATGGCTTGCGTGTGTGAGGATGGTGGTGAGGAGCCAAGTGCGGGCGAGGGACAAGGGCGCGGAGCTGGCGGCCCGCGCGCAGCAGCCGGCGAGCGGCGCGGGCGCCGCGCCAGCCACGCGCCGCCGACGCTTCTCGATGACGCAGCCAGCCAGAGCGTGGGAGCAGAGCCGAGAGCGCGCCGCCGCCGCGTCGCCGCCTCATCATCGCCGCGTCGCACTCTCGACGGCACACTTCAGACGATGAGCGCGGTGAAGAGAGAATCGAGATGCAGGCGGGGCTAATCGTACATGGGGGTGATCGTGGCCAGAGAGAAGGGCAGAGCGCGAGAAGAGGTGTACAGCAGGTAGAGAGAGAGCGAGTCGCGCGTGGAGGATGCGCGACGGCGCCAGGCGTCTACGAGCGCTCGCCACGCAGGCGGCGCGCCAGGGCGATGTCCTTGGGCTGGATGGTGACGCGCTTGGCGTGGATGGCGGCGAGGTTGGTGTCCTCGAAGAGGCTCACGAGGTACGCCTCGGCCGACTCCTGCAGCGCCATGACGGCCGAGCTCTGGAAGCGCAGGTCCGTCTTGAAGTCCTGGGCGATCTCGCGCACGAGGCGCTGGAACGGCAGCTTGCGGATCAGCAGCTCCGTCGACTTCTGGTAGCGACGGATCTCGCGAAGGGCGACCGTGCCCGGGCGGTAGCGGTGCGGCTTCTTGACGCCGCCGGCCGACGGTGCCGACTTGCGCGCGGCCTTGGTGGCGAGCTGCTTGCGCGGCGCCTTGCCGCCCGTCGACTTGCGAGCCGTCTGCTTGGTGCGGGCCCTGAGGGGGGAGTGAGCGACAGGCCAGGCGAGGTGTGCGGCGCGGCACGACTCACATGATGGATGAGTTGTGGGAGGAGGGGTGAGAGGCTGAAGAGCTTGGTAGATGATGGTGGGGAAGAGGAGAGGCGACGAGGCGAGGCGCAGTGCTTTTGAAGGGCGGCGGCGGGCGGAGCGGTGCGCCGGGGTGTTGGACTCGCGGCGTGCGGAGAGTGTGGCACGCGCACGGCGGGCAGGAGAGCAGCGGCGCACCTCGCCGCCCGCCGCATGCACGGCAGCACAGCAAGTGGCCGCACGGGCGCAGCGGCAGCAGCAGCAGCAGCCAAGCCGTCGCACCTCACGAAGCACAGGCGGCAGGCCGGCGGTGTGCGGCGTGCGGCGGCGGCATGCGAGCGCCGCTCGAGGCCTTCGCGCGGCGTCGAGGTGGAGAGGAGGCGGCGCGCGGCGCGCTGCGCCCTCGCAAATGCGGGTCCTGCGGCCCAGCGCAGCGCACGCACACAGGCGCCGTGCCTGCGCCGCGGCAAGAGTAACACGCGGCCGCGGCGCTGCGAATTAGCCCGCAGCCGTTGCCTGGCAACGACGCGGCGCGCCTCGCGTAGAGAGGCTGCGGCCGCGATCCGCGAGCTGCCTCGCTCGCACGCACCCGAGTCGGGCAGGCTCAGCCGTCGTCGAGCGGCCCGAACTTTTCCTCGTGCGGCTGAGAGCAACGACTTCGTTGCCCTGTGCCCTGCAGCTGCCGCAAGTGGACGACGACTCATGGGCGCCGCGAGCAAGGAGGGGCGGTGCTCTCTCTATCTCGCTGCGGCGAGGGTCGGCCATGCCGGCGCAGCGGGGCGGCTGCGGTACGCTGTGGCCCAGCAGTAATGCGACGGCAGGCACGTCATTTGCTCTGCGGTTGTATTCACGTCCCGAGTCGAGGGCGAGCAGATCTCATGGCCCAGACGCGACGCGAGGGCGAGGAAATGCGGGTCCGCGGCCTCGAGGCGTCGAGGGCCACGAAGGGAGCGCGCAGCGCATCTCGGGGCGCAGCTTTGGCGCCGCGTGTGCGGAGGCGGGCGGCAGCAGAGACTCGTGGCGTGCCCGCATGCATGCAGCACAGCAAGGTGCAGCACGCAGGCCGCCAGCCTCACGCCCCGTCGCGGCGAGATGCCGATCCTCTGGCCAAGCCCGGGAAAGGCAGCGCGCATGCTGCAGACGGCAGGCGAGCGCGCAATGCGGGCGCAGGGCGCGGCAAGGGAGAGGCGGCGTGTTTGTGGTGCAGCGGCGCATGGCGGCGTGACGTGCGCGGCAGGGCGTCGGGATGGCGGCGGCCCGTCGCACCCACGCCGCGGCTGCCGGCTGCGCCACTCATAAGGCGCGCACCGCGCCCAGTCGACCCATCTTTCTCTCCACCCACTCTTACTCATCGCATCGCCCTCGAGCGCCTTCAACACACTCTTCTCCCCTCACCCCCACCCCACCCACCTACAACAACATGTCCGGCCGCGGAAAGGGAGGCAAGGGTCTCGGCAAAGGCGGCGCCAAGCGTCACCGCAAGGTGAGTAGTGCGCTCGAGCCTCGGCATCGCAGGGGCAGCAGCAGCAGTCGCGCCGCACCATCGCCTCTCCAGCGTGCTCACACCGCCCGCTCCAGATCTTGCGCGACAACATCCAGGGCATCACCAAGCCCGCCATCCGCCGTCTCGCTCGTCGTGGCGGTGTGAAGCGCATCTCGGGCCTCATCTACGACGAGACGCGCGGCGTGCTCAAGCTCTTCCTCGAGGGCGTCATCCGCGACTCGGTCACGTACACGGAGCACGCCAAGCGCAAGGTGAGCAGCAGCCATCGGCCTCGTGGTGCTGGCTGCAGTTCGCTGACCCATGCCTCCCCTCACCCAGACCGTCACGTCGCTCGACGTCGTCTACGCGCTCAAGCGCCAGGGCCGCACCCTGTACGGCTTCAGCTCGTAGAGCAGCCTGCACCAGCCCCCCTCGCACTTCGCACTTCTGGTCCTCTCGCCTCGTTCCTCATCTCAGTGCCACCCTGTATCACCATCCTGTTCATCTGATCTTGCTTTCACCGTGCGCGCACCCGTCTGAGCCTTCTCTGGAGCCCGCCTGAGCGGGCGCGGCCATCGTGACTCATCGCTGCTGCGCATCGCCGCCTCGTCAGCCCGCCGCCTGCTCCTCGTCAGCACGTGCGCAGTCATCCTGCGCCTGTGCGGCTCACGCCTAGCTCTGCTGAGCGTGCCGGTGCCCACAGAGGAGCCTGGTCAGCCAAGGGTTCAGCAGCAGGGCAGACAGACGAGGGCTGCGCGATGAGAGGCTGCGCTGTGCTGCGATGTGCTTCGTCCGTAGCGACGCACCTCACGCTGCATCGTCGTCGTCGTGATAGGACAAGCCTCGCTGCTCACCGCCCTGCCTTGCGCGCCACGTTGAGCAGCAGCTCGCATCACCAGACGCCGGCCCGCTCACGTCGTGGCGCTCTCGCAAGCTTTCGCAGTCGCGTGTCTCTCACTCTCCTCGTCTTGCCAGCAGCGCTCATTCCAGACGCGCCCAGCGAGGGTGGTGATGCATGCCGTTGCTCGGTGATGATACATGCCATTGCTCGGTGGTGAATCACATGCCGTCTGCGCTCGTGCGCGCCTATTCGTTGGGCAGCTTCCCAAAGCTAGTGTTGAACTTCAACAGCGTGTTGATGTCTCTGACCCAGTCGTCTTCGCCCCTCTCGCTGCGATGCACCACGCCTTGCGCGCCGCCGCCCTCGAGCAGCGGCGGCTCTGGCCGCGGCGAGAGCGCAGACGTCGGCGTGCTGCGATTGACGCACGGGATGGGAAAGGGCGACATGCCCACTTGGAGGAACTCGCCGGGACGCAAGAGACCCATGTCGCGCCCGTCGACGGTGAGCTCGGCGGCTGCGCGCGAGGTGCGGGAGATCTGCAGGAGTGAGGTGGGTCAGCGAGGAGCAAAGCAGATGATGGAAGAGATGCGAGAGAAGAAGGGCAGCAGGGAGCGGGTGCGCCAGAGTCTCCTCGATCGGTCCGGCGTGCTTCTAGGCCAGCAGGCTCGGCGTGCCTCGCGCTCGTCCAGCATCGTCACTGCTCCACTCCTTCGTTCTTGACGCATGCAGCGACTTGCAATTCTTCGCGCACACGATCACTCACCTTGAGCTGCACCGTGCTGTCGCTCGGCAGCAGCACCGTCCTGAAGCTCAACGAGCGCGGGCAGATCGGCGTCAAGATCAGGTTCTGCACCGAGGGATGCACGATGGGGCCGCCTGCGCTGAGCGAGTAGGCGGTGGAGCCCGTCGGCGTGGCGACGATCAGGCCGTCCGACTGCAGAAGAGAAACGTCAGGGCGAGGAAGCAGTAGGGTGGAGGAAGGGCACGCACGATGGCTTGTGTCAGATGTCGCCCATCGACGAAGGCGTCGATCATGGTGAGATGCGGTTCGCGTCCTCGATGGAGCGTGACCTCATTCATGAGATGCACATCTGCTCGTACACGCCCGCGGTCTGTCAGTCTGCGCATGGCAAACGAGGCAAGGGCCAAGAGAGGCACACGCACCGCCAAGTCGACCGTCGGCTGTAGGCAACAACGTGCCGTCTGCTGCATGCTTTGTGAGATGTAGACGCATGCGCAGCAGCAGTGATGCTGAGCCGGCAAAGATGTCGCGCAGTGCATCGGCGAAAGAATCAATGTCTGGCGGCCCACCGATGCATCCTGATCAGCCGGCGTGGGGCAAGAGGCGAGAGGTTACCGTGGGCTCACGGTAAGGCAACAGAAAGCCGAGGGTGCCCATGCTAAAGGAGAGCACGGGAGGCACAGCTGCGTCGTCGAACAGCGACGAGGCATGCAGGATCGTGCCGTCGCCGCCGAGCGTGAGGACCATGTCGACCTTGTCTGCCAGCAGCTTGCGCTCCTCTGTGTGCGGCGGCGATGGCATCAGCGATCGAGGAGACGAACGAGAAAGGGGAGAGTCAGACACGTACCGGGACGAACGAGGACGAGGTTGGGAAGTCGGGCGTGCAGCTCGGCAAAGGTCTGAGCCTCGACTATGACGTTCATCTGCGGCTGCTCCTTTGCTAGATGCCTGTTTCCCGTGCCAACAGATCTCGTCAGCCTCATCCTTGCACCCGCTGCACTAGTACAAGCAGCAAGTCATCTCGCGGCTCGCCGGTCCGAGACTCGGGGCGATCGCTGTCACTCACTCGGCGATCCTCACGGCCGCCTCGCTGGCCTTGGCGTCGCGCTTCTGCACCACGAGGATGTTCCTCGGTGCGCTCTGCCATTCCAGCGAGTGGTTTCCACTGCGAAGACTGGCGCATCAACACTGATGCTTAGGGAGCGTCGAATTGAGGACAACGTACCCAAAGCTGCTGCCGACGCGCGTGGTGATTGATGCCGAGATGCGCGGCGAGAGGACTTTGGAGAGTCTGGACAGGGGGAGAAGCGATGAGCGATGGGAAAGGAGGAGAAGCGATGAGCGAGAGACGCCTCTGCTGCGCGCAGGCCAGCATGCAGGGCCGCTGCTCGACAGCCTCGCGCTCTGGGGTTCCCTCGACATGCTCCCGACCTGGCCTGCTCCACTCACCTACCCAGTGGCCCGGTCCTGACGAGCACCTTGTCCGGCAAGTCGCTCAACTGCGCTCGTGTTCGATGCAGCGGTGCGGCTGCAGGCGCAGAGGCCTTTGAGGCCGTGGCCGTGGTGGCCAGGGCGCGGCGCGCGGCGGCTGCGGCCCGTGTGTGCGCGCGCAGCTGCACCTGGGAGAGGCGGGGCGCGCTGCTGCTGCCGCTGCTGCTGGCGCCGCTACGAGAGGCAACACGGGCGCAGTCGCCTGCGGAGCGGCGCAGCGAAGTGCGGGCTTGTGCGAGGCCGAGCATTGCGGATGGCGGTGGAGGGAAGCAAGGTGAGGCGAGGCGAGGAGAGTCGAGGCCAGCGCGCACGGCAAGTGGAGTTGCGGCGCGCGACGCCGGCCGTGTCCGAGTCCCGCACGCTCCCACGCTGCCCTTGTCCTTGTCCCCCCTCTTGTCCGCGCCTCAAAGGCGGCCTCGGCTGCGAGCGGCTCCCTGGCGCTCCTCCACACCCTCACCTTGCCGCAAGCATGGCCTCGCTGCGTCTCCTGCCTCGCCTCGTGTCGCGCAGCAGTGCCTCTGTGCGGCCCTCGCTGCTGCGCCTCGGCGCTGCGACTCCCTCGCTCTCGCCTCTCGCCGCCTCCCCGCAGCCATGCCAGCAGCGCGGCAAGTCCAAGAAGGCCGCGGGCAAGCACAAGCCCGTGCCCGCAGGCGAGGCAGGGCCCGAGGGTGCGCGCGAGATGGGCGCAGAGGGCGAGGCGTTTGATGCGGCGGCCATCGCGGAGCACATGAAGCGCGCCGTGGGGCGCGCAAAGGAGGCCGTGGGCGCCGCCGTCGGTGCCTACGGCAGGGTGGACGCCGGTGAGTAGTGCAAGGACAGAGGGGCTGAGAAGGGAGGAGGCTGCAGATGTCACAAGTCGCCCAGTGCTGCACAAGAGCTTTAATTTCACGCTGCTTGAGGCATGTCGCGCGAGGCGCGAGCCGTGCTGAGCTCGACTGTTGCCCGAGCGCCCGCAGCGCCGGCAGGGCAGGGCACTGCAGGGCATCTCTAGGAGCAGAGGACTGCTCCGAAGCTGACTTTGTCCCCCTAAACTTGTCATTCTCTACAGCGCTGCTGGACTCCGTGCGCGTCCAGACCGACGCCAAAGACAAGACACTGTATGCGCTGCGCGACGTCGCGAGCGTCGGCGTGCGCGAGGGCGCGCTGCTCGTGACGTGCTTCGAGGCCGAGGTGCGTCTTTTCTCCATCTTGCGGCGGCGCTTGGAATGGAGGCGCTGACTTGCGGTGGCGGAACAGATGACCAAGGCGGTGGAGCGAGCTATCTACGTTGCAGACCTTGGCCTGACGCCGCAAGCAACGAACGAAGAAGGAGTCCTTCGCGTCGCTGTTCCTCGGTAAGTCTCTTTGCAGCCCCACCCTCACTCTTCCCTCCAGCTCATCTCTCCCGCTGCTGGCCAGGCCAACGGCAGAAACGCGAGCGAACCTGCAAAAGGACGTGGCGCGCCTCTGCGAGAATGCCCGCGTGGCGGTTCGGACTGCAAGACATACGGCGCAGAAGCAGATCAAGAGCGACGAGAAGCGCAAAATCGTGGGCACTGCGGAGGGCGCAAAGGACTTGAAGAAGGTGCGTTTGCTATCTTCGAGTTTCGAGTCCCAAGAGAGAGAGAAGAGCAGAAGAGAGTGGAGCTGATGCCAAGACATGGAGCAGGTCGAGGAAGAGACGAAGAAACGCACAGCCGAGATCGACGCCTTCTTTGAAGCCACAAAGAAGAAGATCGAGCAAGGCGCTTGATCCCGCACGTCGATGCACGGGCATGAAGGGTGGATGCCGTGCACGTCTCTCCCTCAGACCGAAGCACGGCTGCACACCCACGAGCAAGACCACGGCGCAGCGAGGAGCACAGCTTGCAAGCTGCGCAGTCGCTGTGCCTTGGGCTTGGTTCTGGGCCTGCAGCTCTGTCGACGTCTTAGGCGGGGTACAATGCATGGCTCTTGCCTCCTCTTTCTCTCTCTTCTCTATCTGCTCTGTGCGACTGCGCGACTGTCATGTCTGCAGCGTCATGCACCGCAACCGAGGACCAGGCAACGACGACCCAAGTGACCAGTGATGAGATTGCACGCCCAGCGAGCGCCACATCGTGTGCGGTCAGCAGGTCGCTACCCCAGCATCTCATCCAGGAAGTCCTGCTGCTGTTTCTGCTGCTCTTTGTGCTGCTGGATGCGCAGCCGCTCTCGCTCCAGTGGTCCCATGCGTTTCGCTCCACTCGTGCTGGATGTGCTCGAGGCTGCGACGGGAGTGCTGCTCGGGGTCGTGCTGTCCGACGCCAGCGACGCAGCTGGCGCCTGCGCTACTGCTTGCGCTGCTGCTTCGGGCGCAGCGGGCAGCTGCACGGCGCCGGCTTGTGACCGTACGGGCGGCGGCGAGGCGATGGAGCTTCTGAGGAGTTGATCGACCAGATCCTCCTCCTCCTCTTCCGCGTCGTCGTTCCACAAACTCGCGCCTTTCTCGCTTCTCTCGACCGGAGCAGCAGTACACGATGAGGCGGCCGCAGCAGCGCCGCGCCGCGCTCCAATGTCCAGCGTGATGGTGCGTGGCTTTCCCTCGGGCCGCTCGCCGACTCGATGGCCTCGAAAGCGTTCTTTCAGCGCTGCAAGATCATGCTGGATCAGCTCCAGCGGGCCTCAAGCACGATACATGGGTGGTCGCCGGAAGAAGAACAGGAGGACTCCACTCACCGCGCAGTGCCTCGGCTCTCTCCCTCTCCTTTCCCATCTCCCGTCTCTCTTCCTCCTCCTCCCTTCTCTCTTCCTCCGTAATCTCCCTCCTCTCCACGCCTCCCTTCTCCTCTTCTCTCGCCGCCGCGCCCTTGCCGCGCTCTCTTTCCCGCTGTCTCGCGTGCAGATACGCCAAGCTGCGGTCTACATCCTCCTCCAACTCTCTCCTCTGCTCTTCGCTAGGCAGTCCAGGTATGGCCGAGCGTGAGGAGTCGAGCTGTGCGACCTTGGCAAAGAGGTTGGAGAGGTCTACTTCGGGCTCGGGCTCTTGCGGCTCTGCTCTCGCCGCGTAGGCTACATCAGCGCTCTGCCGCTCTGCCCGCTGTGCAACAGGGAGAAGCACAGCACGAGAGAGCATGCACTCACCGGCATGTGGATCGACCTCGGCCTCGGGCTCCGCATAGCGCCACGCGTTGCTCTCCATCGGCCGGCGCGCATACTTTGCCGCCTCGCCTCTCGACTGCCGCGCCTGCGAAGAGGCAGCGCCGGCGGTGGAGGCCTGCAGCGCCGGGAAGGCGTCCTGTGCCTCCGCTTCTCCCTCCTCCTCTTCCTCGTCCTCCTCCTCTCCCGAGCCTGACGCCTCTCCTCCACCCTCGACGGCAGCGCGGAAGGGATCGCTGTGCGCGCCGCCTCTGCCGCGTCCGCGGACGCGGCCTCGTCCTCGAGCCCCTGCGCGCGATGATTCGCCCTCGCCGGCTGCGCCGCCGCCGCGTGCGGCGTTGTAGCGCTTCGATGCGCGAGCCTTGTACTTGTTCTGCAGCACCATGGCTGCGTGCTGCCGAGGAGAGCGGTGGTGGAGAGGAGGCAAGAGGCTGACAATTGAGGTTGCCTCGCTCGCTGTGGAGGGGCCGCCGCGCCTGACGCGTCTCTCGTGCGGGAGCGAGAATTTGGCCGCCCTTGCCTCCGCCTGTGCCTCCTCCTTCTCCTCCACCATCTCCCTGCTCCCCACTCGCCTGCCTCGGCATGCCCCGCTCGCGCCATCGCAAGCCCGAGCGTCCGCCGCCGTCGGCGCCCGGCGCGCCGCTGGCCGTGACGGGCAAGGCGCGCAATGCGCTCAAGAATGCCCTCTATGCGCATCCCTTGCCCCTCGACGCGCCGGCGCCCAGCAGCGGCGGCGCAACGCAGGCCAAGGCCGCAGCCGCACAGCAGCAGCAGCAAGGGTGGGCAGAGTGGCTGCGCTCTCTGGTTCCCTTTGCGCGCACGCAACAAGAGCAGCGTCTGCCCGTCGTCCTGGGCACCTGGGACCCCTTGACGCGCTGCGTCTGGCTGCAAATCACGCCCTCCGCCGCTGCGCCCGCCGCCGCGGGCCCCTCGTCGCGGCCCGCCAATGCCGCGGCACAGAGCGCGGCCGTGCGCCTGCTGTGGGAGCGCGGCTTCTTTGGCAAGGGCAGCCTGAGCCGCAGCGAGCCGACGTGGCGCGACCGCAAGGCCAATGCCATTCGCGTGCAGCGCGCGAGGGAGAGAGGCGGCAATGGTGAGTCTTGCTCGCGCCGCGTTGGGCTGTGATGGAGCGGGGAGAAGCTGTGCAGTGACAGGCAGCAGGACCAGAAGCTGTGCAGTGACAGGCAGCAGCACCGCCTCGGCGCAGTTGCGACTTACTCTGCACACCTCTCCGAGCCTACCTGAAGGCCGCCATTTTCTCGTCTGACGCGCCCACCTTTCGCAGTCTTCACGCCCGAAGAACTCACCGCCCAACGCCGCCGGGAGCGCAAGGCGGCCAAGATTGCACGCGCGCGCCTGGCCGTGCGCGCAGGCACGCAGCTGGCCGACGGCATCGTCGCGCTCGGCGGCGAGCTGACGGCCGAGGATGAAAAGGCGCTCGAGGAGATTGCCGAGCGGGAGCTGGTGCAGGAGGATGAGGCGGGAGCGGGAGCAACGACGGAGCAGACAGAGAGCGGATATGGCAAACACATCCCGGGCTTGATCTACTTGAGACCTCAGCGAGAGGCGCAAGCCACCGAGCAGGCGCCACGCGTCAGTGCGGCAGGCGAGGAGGGAGCATTGGAGGAGGAGGAGGAAGAGGTGCAGATTGAAGAGGTGGAAGTGCTGCAGCTCAGCAGCTTCGAGGTGCTCTTCCTCGCGGGCATGCTCGGCGTGCTGGAGGTGGATGATGAGCATGTGAGTTCTTGTGCTCGTCTCCGCGCGCGCTGCGAAGCATTCTCTCGCTAATTCGTCCTCCGACAGGGCAATCGACTGTCCCTCAGCACTCTCTACGCCCTCCTCCTCTCCTCCTCTCTGCCTCCTTCCCTCTCCTCTGCCCTCCTCGCTACTCCCTCTCCTTCCGAGCTGCAGGCATCTCAAGCGCAGTGGGCACGACCCGACAATCCCTTCCTGCTGCAATACGTCGCCTACCACCACTTCCGCTCGCTGGGATGGGTCGTCAAGTCCGGCTTGAAGTTCTGCATCGATTTCTTGCTGTACAAGAGAGGCCCGGTGTTCAGTCATGCCGAGTGCGTGGCTGCGCGCCTTTCGTTCTGAACTGTGCCAGCACGAGCTGACTTGTTGTCCCCCTTTCCCCCCTCCTTTCTGCTGCGCAGATTCGCAGTGCTTGTCATTCCGGAGTACGAGAATCCCGACGACAAGCTCTCGAGTCCTTTCCCGCCCGGTCCAAACGACGGCGAGAAAGACTGGGTGTGGTTCAGCACGATGAACCGCGTCAATACGCAGGTGCTCAAGGTGCGTTCTCTCCCTCTCTCTCTCCTGCTCGCGTCCCGGTGCCGACCTCACGCTGACTTGCGCGTCGGCCAGACACTTGTGCTATGCTACGTCAGCATCCCGCCGCTCGCGCGCATGCAGCTGCAGAGCTTGAGCTCGCCGGAAGCATTCGTGCAGGGCCTCAAGAGAGGGGACACGTACAGTGTGCGGGAAGTGACGATCCGAAGATGGACGCCGGCGCGTATGCGGGCATAGAACGTCAATGGGACATGAGTTGCGCAGACGACGAGAGGAGCGATACAGACAAGACCGCGAGACGAGAGGAGACATGGAGAGAGAGAGAGAGCGAGAAGGAGGTCAGGCAGCACGAGTCTGCGCGAAGTCCGGCTTTCAGAAGGAGAAGCTCTCCGAACGCACGCGCGTCGCATCGACGCCTGCCTTGCGCAGCGCCGCGCGAGCCACGCCCTCGAAGCGCGGCGGACCGCAGAGGAAGACGGCGTCTGCGAGGCGCAGGCGCTGGGCGTCGGCTGCGGGCAGCACGAAGGCGCCCTCTTCGCCAGCGGTGGCGGAGGGAGATGCGTCGAGCAGCGAGTCGGGCGACAGGCGAACGTCGACATGCGTGTGCAGGCAGAGGTTGATGGCACTGTCGGACGACGAGGAAGACAAAGCCGGAGTGGCTTCGGAGGCGCCGACGAGCATGTGCACCTGCACGTCGAGCTGTCCCGCTGCTTCGCCGGCCTGCGGCGGTCTAGGCGATGCCAGCGCGGTGTGAAGCAGCTGGAGCATCGTCTCTGCGTCAGCTGCGCGCGTGGCCAGCACGACGAGGACGTGGAACGTCTCGCCTTGAGCTCCGGAGCGAGCGCGGAGTTCGGGGAGATGTGCCAGCAGAGGAGTGATGCCGATGCCGGCGACGAAGTAAGCGAGCGTCTTCGCTTGCCTCTCTTCTTCTTGTGCTGCACTTCCAGCGGCAGGGAGCAACATCTCCCCCTCGATGCCCAGCAGAGGCAGCACAAGCGGAGCTCCCGCCGCCTGGCCCTCCACCATGCGCTTGCCCCGCGCGAAGAGGCCGGGCGTGACGCCGCCTCGAGGCGTGCGTCGAAGCGTCACGTCTAGCTCCGTCGTGCCTTCGACTTCCGAAGAAGGACGAGAGGCAGAGATGGTCCAGGAGCGTACGCCATCGTCGTTCAGATCCTTCTCGCCGCCGCGGGCGAAGGACATCTGCTCGCGAGAGGTGAGCAACGCGCGACGGTGCGGCCGAGAGCAGGGTGAAGAGAGCTCACATGCTGATACATCTTGACGCGCGTGTCGAGCGCCTCGTGCGCATCCACGATGAGGTGCTTGCCCGCGGCCCAAGCATCCGCATACTTCCTTTCAACTAGCCATGTGAACGTAGCGATCTGCTCCGAGGCGAAGGCGGCCTTGACGAGCGTGGCCTGCGGCGGCGCTGCTCCCTTGGTTGCCGCCTGCGCCAGCAGTGTCGAAGGTCGCTCCGAAACGAGATAGCGCACTGGTGGGTTGTACGGCGACCACCCTATCGAGGCGTCGAGTAGCATTTGATCATCTACCTCTACGCCCGCTTCTCGCGCACGAAGCTCGGCATGGCGCGCCTCGATCACGAGTGGGAGGCCTTCGATGACGTTCCATCCGGTGATCCAGAGGATCATGCAGCCTGCTACCCCCTTGATGACCGCACTCGAGGCTCCGCCCGCGAGCACCTCAGCGTCGCCCGTCAGATGCAAGATGCGCGTCGTCGAGTCGCCGCGGGATGTTCGCATGCCCCACTGTGGAATGCTGATGCCTGCCACGCCGTCATGCGAGACATTGCCGAAGGATTGCAGCATGCGATTGCCGCTCCAGTCCGGCAGCACGACGGCTGTACGCGCGCGCTTCTCGTCGAAGTACGAACGAAGGAAGCCGCGAGGTCCGCCGCGCAAGTTGCAGCCGAGGCGAGAGGGGTCAGCATGGTACCCGCCACTGCTGCCCGTGTGCTTGGTGTGCAGGAAGACGAGCTCCGCTTCTTGTACGACTGCCACGAGGTCGGAAGGCAGCGCAGAGCCGAGAGCCGGCTGTGGTTCGTTGATCGCCCGGCGCGGGCGAGCGTCACTCTTGACCAGCTGCCGAAGATTGATGTCTGTTGTGTGCGCGCGTCAGCGGAGCACGACGCAGGCGCGTCTCCTGCAGCAACTCACACTTGGGACAATTGCCCATCGTCGATGTATGGTCGATGGTGAACTCCACGACGTCCTCCTCCAGCTGTTTGACGTCCACCAGGCGACCCTCGAACTTGTTGCGTCTGCGATTGTGCAGCATGACGCCAACTGCCGCACAGAGCACCTCTTGCTTCCCCTCCGCTCTCGCCAGTGCTTGTCGCAGCGGCGTGTCCTGCGGCACGCGAGCGCGCACCACGACGCCGTGCTCTTCATCCTCGCCGGAATCGTCGGGCCGAGGCATCAGGAAGCCGGCGCTGCCGTCCAGCATGAGCAGCGAGCCCCAGGGCCGTCCTGCATCGTCGAGCGTGGTGAGAGGCAGGAAGGGCAGCTGCTCCAGGAACGGACGCATCGAGTTGGGCAGGCCGGGCTCCAGCGCCTCGTACTGGCCCCATACGGCTGTGCGCGCGGTGGAAAGAGCAGGTCAGTGCCCATGCTCAAGCCGACGAGCGGCAACACCCGGACCGGCAAACGCACCATCCTCGTAGCCACGCGCCTGCTGCGCCGCCAGCTCGCCGGCATGCCAGGCGCGGATCTGCTCGGGCATCACGGCTGCTTGCTGTCGCCGGCAGGACGCTGCTTGCTGAGCGATGTGCTTGCGGGCTGTTGTGGTGGTGGGACGACAGCACAGGCCACTGCTGCACGTCTGTCGAAGCCCAGAGCCGGCTCGGCTACCCCCAGACCGGCTAGCGGCGCGCACGGGGCACGGAGCACGGACGCGGCGCGGGGTCAAGTCCGGGCGTTCCCACGCTCCGGCCGTAGCCGCCGCCTGCCGCCAGGACGACGACGAGGACGACGACGAGCATGCATTCTTCAAGGAGAGGCGCAGACGCAGATTCTTATTGAGGGGAGGAGAGAGACGTGCTGATGAGGTGCACGGGCCGCGCGCGCGCTGCGGCTTGTCGCTCGAGACGGACAGGAGGCAGCCGGCGTTGTGCCGCCGCCGTGGTGCCCCACACCCGTCTCTTGGGTCAGCTATCAGCTGCCAGCGCTTGGCGGGAGAGGCTGCGAGAAAGATCCAACCTCATCAGCGGTGAGTGCCGCAGTTTGAAGTCCCCCGGAGCAGAGAGCGCGCCCACAGAGTTGCGTGCTCACCACCATCCTCTCACGTCCGCACGGCGCGTCGACTCGTCGACGCTCTACATCCTTCACCTCTCAGTCCTCACCTCTCAGTCCGACTCTGACCCAAGCAGCTGAGCATGTCCAACCCAGCTTCGCCCATCAAGCGCAAGCGCGAGAGCAGCAGTGGCAGCAGCAGCAAGTCGCCCAAGGTCGAGTCCAGCGACGGCAAAGGCGAGAGCAAGAACGGCGGCAAGAAGGCCCCGGCCAAACAGTGGAGTGAGTTGCCCACTAGCACCTCTCCGCAAGGAGCGAGAGGATGTTGAGCGGCCATCGTCTCCCATCACACAGCGGGAGAAGAACGTGTGATGCTGCTCGAGGAAGTCGTCAAGGCCGGCGCGGCACATGCCGACTGGGCGCGCGTAGGCGCCGAGTGCAGTGGCCGCACGGGCGTGCAGGCAAGTGGCCTCTGCCTCGCTGTGCAGCGCCATACTGACGCAGAAGAGCCCGCACTTCAGGCAAGGGACCAGTGGCGCCAGATTCTGCTGCCGAAGATCAAGCAGCAGGTGCTGCTGGGCCTGCCGGGCCGAGGCGGCAGCGCGGCGGACGCCAAGTGAGGCCAGCGTGCACGTGGCGCATGCAGAAGCGCAAGAGCGCAACTCATATGTTTCCACCATCGCTGCGCTCGACTCTGTGCATGTGTGTCGTTCTGGAGGATAGTGAGCCGGATGAGGCGAGGAGCCGGCGTCGTGGTGAGAGAGGAGCGAGCGAGGGGAGCGCAACGCGTCGCGTGAGCAGCAGCAGCAGGCGTGGCGCGCGCGCCGCCATGTCCGAGTGCCGAGCTCGATCCTCTCCTTGCCTCCCCTCCTCCACCTCTCCCCGTCCTCGCCGCTCCTGCCGCCGCAGCCCTCATGCGCCCGGCCTAGCCAGGCATCGCATCCGCAGCGCTCGCGCGCCTCGTCTCGCGCGTCACTGGCCGCACGCTGCGTCCAAGAGCGCATACAGGCAGCGATGGACGCGGCGTTTGGCGTGCGCAACCTGCGCGGTGAGTCCGGCCGGCAGAGGGTGCGCCGCAGGGCGTCGTTCGCACGTCTTCGCTTCGCAGAGGCTGACGGCGCGCGCTGCCGATGCAGCATTCAACCATGCGTTGAGCTGTCTGGGCCGCTTCAGCGAGTCGCTCAACCTGCAGTGCATGCGCGACGAGGACGAGTCGCTCAAGGTGCGTGCGCGAGCGCTGCACCTGGCGACACTCGGCAGCACACGCTGATGCGGCCTGGCCCTGCCCTTCCAGCTGCGCCTCTCTGCCATAAATTCGTCGCAGTCGGCCTTCTGCTCCTTCACCTTCGTCGACAGCTTCTTCGACAGCTTCACGGCGGCGACGGACAAGCGCGTCGAGTGCCTCATCCACATCAAGGTGCGTCCCTGAGCTCGGTCGGCCGCTTTACTCGCGCAGCTGATCGCCCACCGTGCCGGCCTCAGTCCTTCCAGGCGATGCTGCGCAGCAGCACCAACAAGGGCCTCGAGCGCTGCGAGATCAGCGTCATTGACAATGACCGCGAGAGCCGCGTCGCTGTGCGCATGCACTGCAGCCGAGGTGCGTTGAGCAGTCGCTCCGCCCGCCTCGCCTGCCACTGAAGCCAGCCGGCACAGGCGTGACCAAGACGCACAAACTCACTTTTGAGGCACAAGCTGGTCTGTGGCCCAACGCCGCTGCATCGGCCGTCAACCACCTGCAGATCGGCGCACGCGTCGTCTCTGAGCTGCTCGAGCACTTCTCCAACAAGAACGGCGGAGAAGTGACGTTCTGGTGCGCGCCCACGTTCCTCGTGGTGCGCTCCAAGAGCGAGGACGTGCTCGAGAAGAGTGAGTGCGCAGCTGCGTCTGGGCGGCACACGATCGGCGCTGACGTGCCGCCCGCAGATCATCACATTCGACGCTCGATCCAGACCAACGTCAAGGTCGATCTCGACGCCTTTGAAATCTTCAAGGTGACGCGCGAGGCGTGCGTCACCTTTCCGCTCAAGGAGTTCAAGGTGCGTGGCCCCTTCGTGTGCCCGCTCGACCTGCCGTTGACACGCCTTTCTCTCTGCAGGCAGCGATCTCCGCCAGTGAGCACCTCGGTGTGCCTCTCGAGCTCTTCTTCTCGCAGGGCGAGGATCCGCTGCACATCCACTGCTTGCGCGACGACCTACAGGCGGAGTGGGTGATCGCCACGACTGAGGGCGAGCGTCCGCCCGAGGCAGGTGCCATGGGTCCGCCTGCCGCGCCGGCCGCCGCAGGTTCAGCAGCACCTGGCAACTCGGTGCCTTCCGCCGCGGCACGAGCTGCGTCGCAGCGCCCGGTGCCTCCGCAACAGCAGGCAGACAGCGTGTCGGGCAGCAACGTCAATGGCGCCGCTGCGCCCAGCGCATCCATCAGTCGCTCCATGCCCGGCGCATCTGCTGCTCGGCCCTCTTCGCCAGCACGTCGACAACCGATGGAGTCGACGCCTCTGCCACACGCTCGGCCCGCGCAGGAGCTGCCGCTCTTTCGCGGCACACAGGGCTCGCACGACGGCGACGAGCAGCGCTCGGACGACGAGATGGCAGCGACGGCGGCGACAGATGGTGAAGAGGCAGAGGAGGATGAGTGGGCTGCCGTCGAGGCGCTCGAGCAAAGCATCTCGCGCGGCGAGGTCGAGATCCACGGCTCGCAAGTGGTGCTCAGTGCGTCTCAACGCCCGCCGACTCAGCCGGCCGGCGCTCGCGCGGCGCCTCTGCCGAGTACTGCTCCGGTGACGCAGGCTCGCGCGGCGTCGATCGAGCCACGACCTACCACGCAGGCACGCGCAGCTTCGCCGCCCAGTCGTCCGCTCTACGTCTCCAGCGGCGTCTCGCAAGCGCCGGCACGGCGCAAGGCGCCCTCGCAGCAGCAGCAGCAGCAGCAGCAGCAGCAGCAGCAGCAGCAGCTTGCACGTCTCGCCGAGGAGAGCGTGTCGCAGTCCTCGTCGTCGCTCGGCATTGAAGTGTCGCAAGTCGACTTTGCAGAGCATGCGCGCCGACGCTCCAGCATCCGCCGCGACAATGAGCGCGCCGAGAATCGCTCCGTCGAGCCTCCCGAGCATGGCGATGCTGCTAAGGCAACTGTTGCGCCGCCACAGCGAGCCGAGGCAGCGCAGGAGCAGCGTGCTCGGCAAAAGGTGTCGCTAGCCTGGCGTTCCTCGCAAGCCGCAGCGGGCGCACTGAGTCAAGCGCTCGTCGAGGAGCAGCCGCCGCCGGCGTCGTGGCGCGATGCTCTCCAGGCGGCGGGGCCGCTGGATGATGAGAGCGACGAAGAGGGGGAGGAGCTGCCGGCCAGTGACGAGGAAGAGGAGGCGCGGATGGGAGGAGCTGCCAAACGAGTGAGTTGCCCCCCTTGCCTATGCATGCCGTCTCTGCTCGTGAGGAGAGCTGACGTCTAGACTCGCGAGCAGTTCAAGCCTCTCTTCTGAACGCAACCGGGGCACTTGTCAACTCGGCTCGGCTCTCGTCTTCCCATCTCGCTCGTTGACCTCTTGGCACGCAAAGCTCCCCGTACATGCTTCAGTCCTCCCTCACGTCACTCGCCCTGCATCTGTCCCCCATCGCCGGCGCCCCGGGCGCGCCTCGCATCCCATCATCCCCTGCCCTGCGTTCTAATGCCATCAGTCACCTCGCACCCGTCACACTTGTGTCGTAGCCACGACGGAGGGAGCCTCTGTCGTGCGAGTGACTGCGCGGCACGTCTTCGTGTATCACGTGATACAGAGCGGAGACATGATTGAGAGAGGGGTGCTTGGAGGGAGCATAGGCGACGTCAGTGCCTTGCACGTCAATCTCAAGCTGTCTCTACGACGACCTGACCAGTCGAGCCGCGGGCGTTTGACTAAGCCACTTCACGCTGCATCAATTGGGCGCAGAACGGCCAGCCCGGGATATCGACGCCAAAAGCTGCCTGTCAACATGGCGGTGTGTCGTCGCTGGACGCTATTCGCTATGCTGGACCCCTCCGGGCGAGGGCGCGTCTGGCAGCGCCGCGTCGCGCGGCGCGGCTGCTCAGCGCCAAGAAGCCTGGCGCCAGATGTCCCGGCCTCTGCTCTCTGCTGGCAGCGTCGCACCCGCCGCGCTCCGCTGCGTCATGGCCGCTTGGTGGCAGCTCCTCTCAGCGCCCAGCATTGCCCACGCCAGCGGCAGCTGTGCATCGCCTGAGATGCTGGCGAGCACGTCGCGAGGCGCGGCACCCGACGGCGCTGCGCAGCGCCCAGCGCAGCGGACGGCGGCGAGCGAGCGAGGGCGCAGCGCTGCCGCCTTCCTGACGCTGCTGATGCTTGAGCGCTCAGGCTGCTGCTGCTGCTGTGCGGCGCGCAGGAGCCTCCTCTCTGCTTGTCTCGCTGCAGCGCACGTCGCGCCCCTGCGCTGCCTGGCGCGGCAGCTGCTGCTGGCTCTTGTGCTGGTGAGGTGCCCCTCTCGCGGCGCGGTGCCGCGCGTTAAGGCGCTTGCCGCGCGCCGCGCGCTCTGCGGCTCCGTCTCGTCGCCCGCCCGCCACGCCGCGCCTCCTCTCCGTCGCCGTGTGCTGCCGCGCCGCGCCTCGCATGGCCGCTCTTCGGCAGCGCGCCGAGCCCGACCCTGTCCTCGGCTTGCCTCTGTCTCACCTCCGCTCGCTCCCTCGGCCTCCTCTGCACGTGCCTCACCCCTCTCTCTCACCTCACCCTCTCACCCGCTCCACCTCGTCCACCACCTCGCATCTCTCCGCAGCGCGCCGCCCTCGCCGCCCTCGTCCGCGAGCTGCCGCTGCTGCTGCTGCTGCTGCTGCCGCCCACGCGCGCGCTCGCCTCCCTCTTCAAACCCCGCCCCCCGCTGCGCTCGAGGCGCCGCTCCGGGCCCTCGGCGCCCCTCTTGCGCACGCGTCGCACTCTCGCACCTCCCGTCGAGCGCAGCCCAGAGAGCTGCGGCAGCCAGACGCTCCTGCGCGCCTCTCTCTCTCGCTCGCCGTCGCACGCTCCGTCGCACTCGGCCGCGCGTCTGCTGCGCGTGTTGTGAGCCCGGCCTCTGCGTGCGCCTGCTGCATCTCGCCGCCGCGCCTGTCCAGCGACGGCGCTCGACTCCTCTTCTCTGCGTCCCCTGGCCTGGCCTGTCCCTCCTCTTCTCGGCCAGCATGACGCACCAATCACCGCGGCGGTCGATCATCCGGCATCCGCACGACTTTGCCGGTGCGCCGCAGATCCTCTCGCCGAGCGAGGGCGTCGGCAGCGGCAGCAGCGCCGGCGCTGCGACCGAGAGCAGCCGTGACTTCATGGCCAATGCCTTTGCCACGCTCGACGACAACTCGGCCGCCGGCTCCGTCGCGGGCGGCCTGGGCAACTACGACCGTGCCGGCGGCTCCGGCGAGCTGGACCTGATCCCGCAGCGCAGCGCTCCGCCGCCGCCCGGCAGCTCGCCGGGCTCGCGCTACGGCGGCGCCGCGGCTGCCTCGTCGGCCGGCGCCAGTGCCTCGGCGTTCGTGCGGCCCGGCACGTCGAGCTCCTCGTCGTCGCCGTACGCGCCCAAGCCGCAGCGCTCTTCGTACATCGCTGGCTCCTATCGCCCCGGCGGGCCGTCGGGCCTCACGAGTGCAGGTGCGGCACCCACACGTCCCGGTCTGCCGAGCACCAACACCGGGCTGCCCTCGAGCTACTCGAGCTCCTCTGGCAGCGCGGGCGGTCCTCCGCGGCCCGTGCGCTCAAACACAAACGACGGCAACATGTACAGCTTTGCCGCGCCGGCCGGCTCGTCGAGCGGCTTTGCACCGCCGTCCGGTGCGCGCGCGCACGCCAGTGTCTCGGGTCCCGCTCCGTCGCCGCACCTCACTGCCAGCTCGCCGCTCGGCAGCTCGTCGCCCAACTTTGACGCGGCAGGCGCCGGCTCGCCGAATCTCGAGGGCGACGCCTACGGCAGCGGCGGCTCGCAGAGCCACTTTGTCCAGGGCTCCCGCTCGCGCGATGGCGGCGCGGGCGGACCCGGCGGACGCAACACGTTCAAGTCGGCGTTTGGCGGCTTCCTGAACTCGATGAGTGGTGAGTCGAGCCCCCGGCGCGGGCCACGAGGCTTGAGTCGATGCGCGTGCGCGCAGCCTGAGCGCTGAGCATCGTGCCCGCGCCTCTACAGATGTCTTCTCGCAGCAGAAGAAGATCGAGATCTCCACGCCCTACGACCCCGTGCACTTGACGCACGTGGGCTTCAACTCGGACACGGGAGAGTTCACGGTGCGTGTCGCTTTCTGCACGCTCCAGCGCGTGGAATGCGTGTGCTGACCGCGCGCGTGACTTGCAGGGTCTGCCGAAGGAGTGGCAGCAGCTGCTGCAGGACTCGGGCATCTCAAAGCAGGACCAGGAGGCGAATCCGCAGGCCGTGATGGACATCGTGGCCTTCTATCAAGACGCCACGCAGAACGCCGCCGACGAGGATGCAGTGTGGAAGAAGTTCGGCATGGCCAAGGGCCCCGCCTCGCCCCTGCTCGGCGCGGGCGGAGCACAGGAGAGACGGCCGTCGGATGCAGGCGCAGGCGTGCCGCCGCCGCCGCCGAGCAAGACGGTGTATGAGAAGCCGCGCGCGGCGCCGCCGCCACCAGGCCCCGCCGTGGGCCTGCAGGCCAAGAAGTCTCTGCGACGACCCACGTCCGCCGAGCTGCGCGCCGGCGGCGCACCGCAGCCTGCGGCGGGTGCCGGCGGCGATCTCAAGCCCGCACGACCGGCGCCCGCACCTGCGTCGGCGCCCTCCAAGCCCGTGCCGCTGCCCAAGCCTGCGGCCGGCGCCAGTTCTGCGCCCACGAGCAGTCGTTCCTCGCCGGCGCAGCGCGCGCCCGACCTGCCCGCCGCGCCGCCGAAGGCGCCCTCGCCCGCCGCGGGTGCGGTAGCGGCAGGCGCCGTGGCCAAGTCGCAGAAGGGCCCCGGCGCCACGCCGCGCCGGCGAGAGACGAAGAAGGCGGGCATGAACGACGCGGACGTCATTGCGCGCCTGCAGGCCATCTGCACCGATGCCGACCCGACGAAGCTGTACCGCAGCCTCGTCAAGATCGGGCAGGGGTGAGTGTGGCGCGTGCCGCCGCCGCTGCCGCTGCTGGAGCTGCGGCCTCGACGTGTGCACACAGCTGCTGACACCCGTCCCCCGCTCACAGCGCGTCTGGCGGCGTGTACACGGCGTACCAGGTCGGCTCGAACCACTCCGTGGCGATCAAGCAGATGAACCTCGAGCAGCAGCCCAAGAAGGACCTCATCATCAACGAGATTCTCGTCATGAAGGAGTCGCGCCACCGCAACATTGTCAACTACATCGACTCGTTCCTCTTCAAGGGCGACCTGTGGGTCGTGATGGAGTACATGGAGGGCGGCAGCCTCACCGACGTGGTGACGTGCAACATCATGACCGAGGGCCAGATTGCGGCGGTGAGCCGCGAGGTGCTCGAGGGCCTCAAGCATCTCCATGCCAATGGCGTCATTCACCGCGACATCAAGAGTGACAACATCCTGCTGAGCATGAACGGCGACATCAAGCTGAGTGAGTGCCGTGCTGCGATGAATGTGCGGGGCTGCGCCCTGCGCACGCCAAGGCGTCCCTGCGCCCACCAGGCGTCCCTTCGCATGCTCTGTGCCCGCTGCGCATTGCGCACGCTCTGCCACGCATCTTGCTGACGCGTGTCTCGTCTCCTCTCCTCACAGCCGACTTTGGCTTCTGTGCGCAGATCGGCGAGTCGCAGGCCAAGCGCACGACGATGGTCGGCACGCCCTACTGGATGGCGCCCGAGGTGGTGACGCGCAAGGAGTACGGGCCCAAGGTCGACATCTGGTCGCTGGGCATCATGTGCATTGGTGAGTCCTTCCCGTTGCAGCGCAGTGGACCGGGGGCGAGCACGGCATGAGGTCGCGTTTGCCTCTTGGGCGCCGTCCCTGATGCCTCGCCGCTGCCTCGCAGAAATGGTCGAGGGCGAGCCGCCGTATCTCAACGAGAACCCGCTGCGTGCCCTCTACCTCATTGCCACGAACGGCACGCCCAAGATCAACAACCCCGAGAATCTCTCGGCCACGTTTCGCGACTTTCTCAAGACGTGTCTCGACGTCGATGCCGAGCGGCGGCCCGATGCCACCAGCATCCTTGGCGTGAGTTGCGGCCGCAGTGGGCTGTGTGCCTCGCGTCGTGGCGGCATGTGCTGAACGCCGAATCTTTGCAGCACTCCTTCCTCAAGTACTGCGACTCGCTGCGCACCCTCTCGCCGCTCATCAAGGCGGCGCGCGAGCAGAACAAGAAGTGAAGCGCACGACGGCATCGAGCCTTCAAGCGGCTGCCTGCTGGCAGGCACGGCTGCTGGCTCTCCTCCGCGTGCATCATCTCTCGTTCCAGGTCGCTCACGGCCGCCGCTCCCTGCCACCGTGGCCCTGCGCCCTGCGCACTGCCTCTCTTCCTCTCTCTCTCTTCACCATCTCTCCATCGTCATCCATCACACCTACACCCACCTCACCCTCCCGGCGCGCATGTCGAGGCTCCTCTCTCTCGCCGCCCCTCTTTCCCTCTCCACACATAGTGCGATGCCCCCCCCCCCCCCCCTTTCCCCTCCCTTTCACGCGCTTTCCCTCCGCAATCTTATTTCCCGCTGATCCCTTCACACTCCTCTTGCCAGCCCAGCCTCACAACCTGTCTCCTGCAGCAGCGCAGGGCGCGAAAGAGCGTGGAATTAGGTGTGGCTAGTGGAGTGGGCCGTGGCCGATGGCGATGCGAGCCGGCAGATGAGAAGACGGTGGTGTGGCCCCAGCCTTGCGCGATGCCGAGGCCGCCCTCTTGGAGGCCGTCGTGTCGGCGTGGGAGAAGAGGCGAGGAGCCGTGGTGCTACAGGTGAGGCGATGGGTCTAGTTGATGGCAGTGTGGAGATGTGAGATGCAAGACGCCGCCTTGAGAGCCGGACCAGCGGCGCTGCGTGCGACGCCGTCTTGAGCGCGGGCGGCGCTGGCAGCAGAGGCGCACCAGCTCGCCCTCACGGAAGCGGATGCGGCCATCCGTCGTCGGGGTCGTAGTTCTCCGGAGCATTCTGCGCCGCCTCTTTCGCCGCTGCGATGCGCGCTTCACGGCTCGCATCGGCGCTGTCGCGGCGAGCGGCGTTGGCCACTGAGTCCACGTCGGCGCGCACGAGAGGCACGGGCCGATCGGGCAGGCGCGCTCGCCGGTGCGCCTCGCCGCGAGCAGGCACGGCATGGGCAGCGACGCCGAACGGCTGGGCTCGACGGCCGAGGACGGCTTGTGCATCCGCGCCGCCGGCAGCGACGAGACAGAGGAGAGACGCCATGGCGAGGAGCAAGAGGAGACGGAGCATCGTGGTGATGCGAGAGGCGGCGGTGGTGGGCTGGTATGCGAAAGAATGGCTGCGTCACGACGACGACGACGACGACGACGAAGGGTGGGCTTTGGAGGGAGCACGGGCGCAGGCTGGATCGGAGGTACGAAGGTGCTCGACGCTCAGCGACGAGGGAGAGCGAGTCGCCGTCTTATACGGCTGACAGCCGTCTCCTCTGGCTGGCTAGCCCGGCGCACGAGGCAGCAAGCAGTGCCAAACCATCATGACGCTGCAATCCTTTGGCCCAAGGAGCGAAGGACTGAACGCCGGCCGCTCGCGCCTCATCGCAGCACTCGGGCGAGGCTCTCTGTTCCAGAGCCGCGAACGCGGGGCGTCCCCTGATCCGATGGCGCAGGACAGTGCCCAAAGATGCGGGGTGCCTTCGATGGCCTGGGCGGCTGCCAGCCGATCTTCCAGCCGCCGGCTGGCAGCAGCATCAGCACGCCGCAGAGTGCTCGTAGAGTGCGGCGCCTTGCTGCACTGCCGGCGGCGGTGCACAGCAGGCGTGCCGAGCGGCCTCTCCCTGCATGGCGTGCCGGGCACCGTGAAGGCTGTGTGAGCGCGCGCCGCCGGTCGATGCGAGACAGGAGCAAGACGGAGGGCTAGAAGGCCGTACACTTTGTGCCTGGCGGCCGCACCGTCGCTCTGACTCCTGCGGGTGTTTGCAGAGGGGCGCAGCGAAGAGAGCAAAAGATCGATCGCTGTTCTCGAGGACTGCCGGGCGCAGCGGCAAGCGGAGAGCCGCCAGCCATCTACGCGCGCGCGAGCTCTTGACGACCAAGCGCCCGCGATGAGGCAGCACCCGTGAGCTGCAGCACTGCGCCCAGAGGTGTGACTTCTTCTCGGCGTCTCATCATGCATCCTGCCAGGTGTCAGCGCCAGTGCTGAGCCGTGCCCTGCGGGCTGAGAGAGCGAGGCTGAGCGGCGCTGCGGCCACGTGCGTCGCCTCCCCCCGCACTCGCCGGAGCGCCGGCCGCGGCTGCGCTGCCGAGCCGGAGCGGTGCTCGCTGAGGCCGTGCGCCGCTCTGCTCCGGCTCGAGCACGCGCCGGTCTTGGCGGCCCGATCGCTCCTTCTCTCCGCACCCCATCCACCCTTCCGCGATCTGGCACAGCAAGCAATGTCTCTCAAGCACGGCATCAAGACCGTCGGCGTCGTCGGCGTGCGTGCAGCCGTGCACTCTCTGCGCCTGCGCCTGCGCTCACGCTCCGCCTCCACAGATGGGCCAGATGGGCATGGGCATCGGCTACGTCTCGGCGCTCAAGGCGCAGATCCCGCGTGTCATCATGTGCGATGCGTCGCCGGCACAGGTGACCAAGGGCGTGAGCTTCTTTGAGGGCCTCCTCGCAAAGGACGTCAAGAAGGGCAAGATCTCGCAGGAGCAGGCCGACGCCGCCCGCGCGCGCCTCACGGCCGTGGGCAGCATCGAGGAGCTGGCGGCGTGCCAGCAGGAGGGCGCGGGCAGCATCGACATGGTCATTGAGGTGCGTTGTCTCTCGATGTGTATCCTTCGCTGCAGTGGACCGGCAGCGCAACTGACTGCGCAACGTGCCTGCACAGGCGGCCACAGAGTCGCTGCCCATCAAGCTCAAGATCTTCGGCTCGCTGGCGACGCAGCTCCCGCTCGACACCATCCTCGCCACCAACACCAGCAGCATCTCCGTCTCCAAGATTGCCGCTGCGGCCGTGTCGGAGCGTGCCGAGAAGGGCAGTCGGGAGGCATGGGAGGGCCCGAAGCGCGTGAGTCGGCACTGCGCCTTCGCCGCCAGTGCGGCCGTGCCTCTGCAGCATCCTGGCATGCCTCTACTGACGCAGATGCTTCGCAAAGGCACTCGGCCTGCATTTCTTCAACCCCGTCCCCGTCATGTCGCTCGTCGAGCTCATCCCCGCGCTGCAGACGTCGGAGAGCGTGACGGCGCGAGCTCGTGCCTTTGCCGAGGCATGCGGCAAGACCGTCACCACCTCGCAAGACGTGCCCGGCTTCGTCAGCAACCGCCTGCTCATGCCATTCATCAACGAGGCCGTCATGTGCCTGGAGCAGGGCATCGCGTCCAAGGAGGACATCGACACGACACTCAAGTGAGTTGGCGCAGCGCAGCGCAGGCGTGCCGTGACGCGTCCTCACAAACCGCGTGCAGGCTCGGCATGAACCACCCCATGGGCCCGCTGGTGCTGGCAGACTTCATCGGCCTGGTGCGTTACGGCTCGAGCCGGCCTGCGCGGCCCAAAGCCAGCGATGCAGCCCGCTCTGCTGCCTCTGCTCACTCCGAGGCGCACCCGTCCGCGCCAAACAGGACACCTGCCTCGCCATCATGGAGACGCTCTACCGCGAGACGGCCGACTCCAAGTACCGGCCTGCCGTGCTGCTGGGCCGCATGGTCGATGCCGGCTGGTACGGCAAGAAGAGCGGCAAGGTGCGTCGCCGTATGTCTTGTGCTGTCAATCCTGCTCACCTCGAGCTTCTTTCGCTCGCAACTCCCACAGGGCTTCTACGAGTGAGTTGCAGCGCCGCAGCAACGCTCGACGCACTGCTGACCACCTCTCTCGCCCCGCCAGCTACACAGCATAGATGCAATGGGTATGCTTGCTCAACGAGGCGCTAGCTGAGGCTGCCAAGCACGCTCCAGTCGACGGGCCGCTGCGCAAAGCGCTGCGCGCCGGTGCTGTCGCGCGCTGCAGTCTTGACGGTGCGCAGATCGGCGAGGTGCCGGAGCGTCGGACTGCAGAGAGAGAGCGTTAGCGTGTGCACTTGCCAGGCCAAGCCTCTGGACCTCTCACCGGCCATGCGGGCAGTTCTGCGGGACGCAAGCAGAAGGTCAGCAGTGGTCGCAGAGCAGGGCGCGCGTTCTCGTCAGGGGCGACGACGCACCCAAGGCTGGTCGAGCGTGCTAAAGTGCAGCAGAATCTTGCTCATCTGCCGCGCCGACAGCGCCGTGCCGACCATGACGGAGCGCCGACAGGCGCGCGAGGCGTGCATGGCGCGCACCTTGGAGCAGCGGATCTCGCCCGCCACGGCGGGGGCCACGTCGCGCAGCAGATGCAGTAGCTCCTCGAGGTCTGACGCGAGAGAGACAGAGATCAGCTCAAGCAGCGTCGGGAGCCCCCCTGCGGAGTCGAGGACACGCACCTCGCACGCCAAAGACGATCTTGGCGCTGACGGGCTGCGAGAGCAGCTTGACACGCGAGCCGGGCGGTGACTCGTCGTCGACGACGATGTCAAAGCCGTTTGCGCGCAGCGTCTCGACGTGCTCTGCCGCAACGAGCTCGTCGGAAGGCGACAGTTCGAGCGTGCGTGGACTGGGCACGGCGCAGCAACAAGCGTCAGCCACGAGGCGCGGGGTCACAGTGCGGGAGAGCCTCACCTGATGAGCTGCTGCGAGCGGATCTTAGTCTCGCGCTGCAGCATCTCGAAGTTGTACTTCTCGTCCGCGGCGTGCTGGTCGACGATGAAGAGGTCGTCCATCTGGCCGGCCAGGTCTCCGTCGGTCGTGTCGGCGTCTGTCATGGCCGGCCGCCGGCGCGCAATGATGAAGCCGAGGTTGAACTGGCCGGCGACCGTCATGCTGGTGAAGTCGCGCTTGCTGATGACGCGGCTCAGCTCCCTCTCGACTTGTCCGGCATCCTGTGCTGCAATGCCGGCGCCCGTGATGCGCTTGGCCGCATCGCGCTCGCTCGCTGCGTCTCTGGCCCGGACGTTTGCCAGACGCCTCGCCTTGCTCTGTACGCGCGCTCGCAGCACGTCGAGATCGAACGGAAGCGGCGTCTCGTCTTCGGCCGATGCCGCATCGACGTTCGGCATCTCATCCCGCCACGCGCGTGCTGCTGTCGGCACAGCAGGCTGTTCGGCAGCTTCCTCCAGCGCTGCCAGGTGTCGACCACGCTCCGCCGCATCCTCGTCCTCGTCTACATCGACAGCAAGAATCTCCTCTGTCACTTGCTGCTGCTCGCTCGCTGCATTTGGCGCCGCCGCCGCCTCGGCATGCTCTTCGTCGTCCTCGCTGCTGGGCGGCATGCTCTCGCGATACTCGAGCTCCGCCTCGGTGGCCTCGGCATGCAATGCTCCGACTTGAGTGCCGGGCCTGGCGAAGCCACGCAGCGAGTCCGCCAGCTGCGAGCGCAGCGCGGCAGACGAGACGGACGGCGCCGTCAGCCGCACTTGCGTAATCGGTGACTTTGCTCTGCCTGCAGCAAGGTTATCTCGTCGGGATGGAGCGTCATCGGCTCGAACTGTCCGCCGGACTGGCGACCACGAGGCCCTAGTCGTGTCCAGCACTGGCTCATTCGGCGGGGAGCTGGCGCGTCGCGGCTCGGATGCCATCACGACGTCCGGCTGGCTCGAGCCTGGCGACGGAGGAGCTTGTGCTTCGTCGTCTCCCTGCTCGGAGGTGGGCTGCTCCAGCGCAGCGACTGCACAGTGTGGGGCGGCAACGCTGCCGCCCTCGGGCCGCACGGGTCGGACTACCGATCGCCAGAGCGCAGACGCAGTGGGCAAGTCGCTGCTCGGGTCGCTTGCGGACTCGTTGGACGCAGCAGAGTCCGCTCTGGCTCGACTCGCACCGAGCGTCGGAGATGGTGGAGCCGGACTTGCAGGCGCTGGCGTTTCGGCTTGAGCCTCGCCGGCCTCCTCCATCTCAGCATCCGACGCAGCTGCCGCCGAAGCGTCTTCTTGCGGACGCACGAGGGCCGCGTACGACTTGGTCGTGGCCGCGAATGCCAGCTTTGACTGGGCTGCTGCTCTGCTGGGAGCCCCGAGGGCGCCCGCAATGGCAAACGTCCCGCGCGACGGCGAGAAGAGAGCCTCGAGCTGGATCTGGAGGGCAGTCAGCCGATTTGTCCGGACCGCCGGGTGCTATCGCACGACCCACCTTCAGCTGTTCAACGATGGCCGCCTCGTCGTGCACCAGCATCGTCCGCTTATCGGGGCTTACGTTCACGTCGTAGCGATTGCCGTCGATGTGAAAGTCCGCCACGACCATGGGCTGCTGGCCGGTGAATGTGCGGTAGACTTCAGCAAATGCCCGCGTCAGGCGCGTGTTGTCCCATGGCCGCCCGTTGAGGTAGAGAAAGAGCTTGTCGGTCGAGGAGCGGCCACAGCCGTGTTCGGGCCGCGAGATCAGTCCGCTGACGCGGAACGACTCGCCTGGCTCGCTGTCGCTCTCCTCCGCCGCATCGTCGGCCGGCACAGCGTCGCGCTCATCGTCGCTGTCTGTGCCTGCATCACTCGATGCTGCGTTTAGACGGCGACGCTTGGGCGGCCGAGGCTGAGTCTGTGCGACGCGAGCCCGCGCCCGCGGCAGCTCGAGGGTGAGCTCGAACGGATCGAGCGTGTTCGCTACGCGAGGCCCGAACAGAGCCGTGGCGTTGGCGCCAAGATACTTCGGACCCGAGGCAGAGACGACCGAGAGCGAAGCTGCTTTGCGTCTGCAAGCCAGGTCAGGTCAGAGGCGTATGAACACCCCACTGGTCATGCCACTCACCCGCCTTTCGGCGTGTTGCTTGCGCTCCACCTGACGCCCTTGCTGATCAAGGCATACGCCTGCAACAGCGCCTGCGCCTTGCCATACTCGCGCTTCAAATTCTTCTCGAATTCGCGTCGGCGGACTGGCAGCGAGTGGAAGAGCCCCTCGACGACGACAGTCGTGCCGCGCTGCCCGAGCCGTCAGCGCTCTGGCGCAAGCCTGACCTGGCACTGCCTAGCGCTAGCTCACCTGCCGCGCTGCCTTGCCGTCGCTGCTTGACACCTGCCCGTCTGGACCCAGTTCCAGCACAGTGCCCATCGGCGCGTCCTCTTTCGTGGCAGTGATGATCTGCACCTTGCCGAGAGCGCAGAGACTGGAGAGTGCCTCGCCGCGGAAGCCAAATGTGCGCACGCCAGCGAGGTCGTCGAAGGACGACAGCTTGCTCGTGTGGTGCTTGAGTGCTGCGAGGGGCTGAGCTCAGCATCTGGGCTGCCATGCCACGCGCGGCCGCAGCTCACCGACTCCGGCATAGTTCTCCGGCGCGATGCCGCTGCCGTTGTCGACGACCTCGATGGCCTCTGCGCCGTAGTCCCTGAACCGCACCTCTGCCGACGCAGCGCCGTCAGTCTGCCGGACAGCACAGACGCAGGCGACAATGCGTCGACTCACCGATGTTCGAGGCGCCCGCATCCAGCGCGTTCTCCACCAGCTCCTTGACCGCGCCCTGCAGGTCCAGCACGACCTGTCCGCTGGTGATGCGGTGCACATCGCTGCGCGGGATGGCCTGGATGGCGCCCGGCGCGGCGGCGGGACGAGACGAGGGCCCAGCCTCAGCCGAGGGGTAGTCGAGACTGCGGCCAGGCTGGTGACTGGGCCGTGCTGCAGCCACGCGCGCCGAGGCTGTAGGTGTGAAGGGCGCAAAGGGCATGGCCGACCGGGATGTGGGAGCGGGAGCGGGAAGCAGAGAGCGGCGCGAGTCCAACACCCGAAAGCGAGGCCGCCGCGCCGCGTCGCGGCACGCGTAGAGTGCGCGCGTGGGAACAGAGGAGCCGCGGCACGACGACGGCGCCTGCCCGGGCACCTCCACTCGGCGCCGCAGCTTCCTTCTCGCCCACATCCGCCGCATCGAATTCGCAAGCCATGGACGCACAGGTGGACCGGCTGGTCGCGCAGGTGCTCGAGTGCCTCGATAGGTGAGCTTCAGCTGCACTGCGGCCGCGCTGCGAGCCGACTGACGAGCTGCCGCAGGGCGCCCTCGACTTCGCGCCTGCTCATCGGCCTCTCGGGCGTGCCGGGTTCGGGCAAGTCGTCGCTCGCACGAGCAGTCGTGCAGCGCCTCAACGACACGCGGACTTGCGGCCACGGAGCCCAGGGCGTGCCGCTGGCCATGGTCGTGCCCATGGACGGCTGGCACCTGTCCAAGGCGCACCTTGCCGCCATGGACGATCCGCAGCTGGCGCGGGACAAGCGGGGCGCAGAGTGGACGTTCGACGGCAAAGTGAGCGAACGAGCGACGCCTGTGCTGCATTTCGACATCTGACTTGGCAGCAGGCGTTCGCCGACTTTGTGCTTGCACTGCGCAGTGCAAAGGCAGACGCAGACCCACACCATGCGCCCACCTTCTCCCACTCGCTGGCCGATCCTCAGCCCGGCGCCCTGGCCGTGCCGGCCGATGTCCGCGTGCTGCTCTTCGAGGGCCTGTACTGTAATGTGGCGCTACCGCCGTGGAGTGCCGCGGCAGAGGCCCTCGATCTCAGATGGGTACTGAGCATCGACGAGGAGCGGGCGCGGGAACGGCTGATCGAGCGGCATGTGCGCACTGGTGTCGCACGGGACGCAGAAGAAGCACGCTGGCGAGGTGAGCGCTTGCAGCAGAACGGCCCTCGACGACAGACTGACGCTCAGCCCGTGTCTGCCAGCCGACAATAATGACCTGCCAAACGGCCGCTTCCTGCTGCAGAACACGCTCGAGCCGGCGCTGCGGATACACAGCGTCGACGATGAGTACTGGCGAGGGCAAGAGTAGTGACAAATAGAATGCAATGCGAGGAAGCGCAAGATGGCGCGATATGTGGTCTAGGGTTGCTGCTCCTGCTCCGCAGCAGACTTGCTCGAGGACAGCGCACTCAGTGCCGCCTCGCGCCCGTCGTGCTCCGAGGCGCGCCGCACCTTGGCGCGATCGCTGACGCGGTGGATGCCGGGGAAGCTCGTGGGGTCCAGTGCGCTGTCGACGGCTGCCGCTGCGACAGCCGAGGGAGGAGCGACTGACGCTGGTGCGCCAGCGGCCGGGCTGAGTTCTGGCTGCGCAGACTCTGCATGTCCGAAGCGCCAGATGAGGTCCTGCTCCTCGCGCAGCGTCTCCTCGCGGAAGCGCAGGCGGATGTCGGGCACGTTGCTCTTGGCCACGACGTTGCCGCGCGGGCCCGGCTGGTAGAAGTCCGGCCCGAGCCAGTGGCGCTTCAGCTCCATCTCCCAGCCCGACTGCAGCACGCTGTTGCGCGCCAGCTCGCACATGTCTGCGAAGGCGCACGGGTGAGCTGCAATGGCGCAGAGACGGTGGCATGGCTGACGCACCGGAGGGCGTGAGCTTGTAGATCTGCGTCGCCACGCTGTACTCCTCCAGCAGCGGCTCCTTGGAGAGGTGGAACTGCAGCGGGTCGTCGGTGCTGATCGACACGTTCATGCCCATGCGCAGGAAGCTCGGGAACGGGTTGCGCTCGTACGAGAGGAAGAGGGCGTTGTTGCTCAGCGGCGACATGGCCATGCCGACCTGCTTGAGCTGGAGTGCGGCAGAGGTGAGCGGCAGGCGACCTGCGCCTCGCTCCCCCTCACTCACGTAGTAGAGATACTGCAGCGCAGGGACCTTGCGCAGCAGAATGCCGTGCGAGATCGACTGCGACGTGAGAAAGGCGGCGGCCATGTGGTCCGTGTCGCCCGCCTCGCCGGCGTGCGGGCGCAGCACGAAGGTGTCTGTGCAGAGGCGTCAGCGCGCGGTGTCGAGCCCTCGCCCCTCTGCGCACGCACTGAAGCCGCGCATCCGCCGCCACGAGTTGAGGCTCGACATGTTGGCGAACATGTAGTACATCCTGCCGCCGCAGCGTCATCAGCAGCAAGCCAAGCGGAGCGCGCGCGACTCGCCAGCGCACCAGTAGTTGTACGGCGGGCTCTGCTTGTAGTTCCACAGGCGAGGCACGGGAAACTTGCGGTGGATGCGGCGCTCCTGCTTTGACTCGTCGTCCACCACATCGAAGCCAATGACGCGCTGCAGGAAGATGTGCAGCTTCGGGTGCGAGCTGGGGTCGCGCGTGACCTCGAAGAGGGGGCCGAAGACGTCTGTCGGGCGCGGCGGTCAGAGCACGGAGGGGCACGAGGGCATGCCGCTGCACTCACTCTCGATGACCTGCTCGAAGTTGTCCACCGTGCCGTTGGCCTTGTACACCTCGTACAGGCGCGGCACCTGGATGAGCCACCGCACATTCGGGCTGAAGAGCTCGTTGTCGACGATCCACGCCGCCAGCTTGTCCCACTCGCCGCGGCTGCGGCCGTAGATGGAGATGCGATACTCGGCCATCTGATACTTGCTCTGCTCCAGATCGGCCATGAGCTCCTTTGTAATCTCGGCCAGGTAGCGCCCGTGGATGAAGTTGTCCGTCTTGAGGAAGATCTCGCGCAGACGCGACTCGCCGATCGGGTTGTACTTGAGATTGAACTTGTCGAAGCCTGCGGCAGCGTCAGCGGGGGGCGAGGGCGTGGGGGGCCGCAGCGTGCCTCACGGTGGAAGGCATCCTGGTGCGCGTGCATGTCGAGCGTGTCGATGGAGAGGTCGTACGCAGTGAGGTTCAGCGACTCGAACACCTGCTGCAGCGTCAAGTGCGCGCCGTCACGGAAGATGACAACATCCTGTGCGGCAGGCCGGTCAGAGCGTGGCGCTGCAGGCCGACATGCATCCTGCTCACGTCGGGGTGTCGCTTGATCTTCGCCTTGATGAAGCGCAGCAGGTGCTTCTGGTTCATGCTGGCGCTGTGATGCACGTGCGTGTCGACCTTGCGCACGTTGTAGAAGTCGCTGGACGGCCTGTCAGCCGGGCGACAGGCGCAGCAGCGACGCCGGCGCGACTCACCGGTGCGGCACACGCTTCATGTCCGCCAGCTCGCGGTACTCGTTGAGCAGAAAGTACAGGTTCCACTTGCTCTCGAGGTACTTGAGCCGGCGCCATGCAAAGCTCTTCGTCGGCCCGTCGGAGATGACGCCCAGCAGAAAGTCGAGGTCGCGGAAATACTCGCGGATGCTCGGGATCTTGAAGATGGGCGTCGGGTGCGGCACGTCGTCGGTCGGCGTGAAGTCCGGGTCGGAGAGCCAGACCTGAAACACGCCCGACGGGTCCATGCCCGAGTGCACCTCGCGTCCTTGCACAGTGTGCACGGGCGGCAGCTGCGTGTCCTGGCTGCGGAAGACGCCCGGCTTGCCGCCGGTGCTCTCCAGCAGCGCCTGCGCCGCAGTCGCGTTTGCCGGCGACGCAGGCGGCTGAGCTGGCGGCAGCGGGTTTACCGAGGTCGGCCGCGACACGAAGGAGCTCGCTGGCGGCGGGTGGAAGAGCTCCCAGTGCGGCCGTGGCGGCGAGGGATAGATGCGCCAGGGCTTCGGCTGGCCCTTGGCGTCGAGCGCTGCGCCGTCGACGACGATGCTGCCCTCCGGCGTGCCCGTGTCGTCACGAGCGTCTGCGCGCTTCGAGGCCTCGGTCCGCTGCCCTCTGCGCTTCGACTCGCGCTCGCAGTGCTCTGCATCCCAGTTCTTCGGATTGTCCGCTAGGTTGGCCTGCAGCGAGACGCCCATGTACTTGTCGCGCAGCTCGGCACAGCGCTGCAGGTTGGCATAGAGCGCGCGCAGCTCGGACGTGAGCTCCTCGGTCGCATTTGGCAGCGGACCGTTGGCTGTCGGCGCACTGGCTGGTGCGGCGCTCGGACCAGCAGCACCCGTAGCCACGGCACCCATGCCCGCCAGCGCAGCAGCCGCCTCGGCCGGCGAGGCGGCGAAGCGCCCGTGGGGGCCTGCAAGGCTGCTCGAGCCGGGTGTCACCGGCGGCGAGGCAGATGCGGCTGGCGGCGCCGACGAAGGCAGCTGAGCGACGTGCGGCGGCGCGACGTACGTGCCGTCTGCAGCGCGGTCGAGGTCGGCGTTGCGCCCGGCAAGATGGCTGCGCGCCAGGCCGTCGGCGAGGGCGCCCGTGTCGTCGGCAGCGCCTGGGCCGTCGGCGCTCTCGGCGCCCTCGTCTGCGTGTGTGGGCGCCATGGCGGCGTGTGCGTGCGGCTGGTGCGCCCAGAAGCGGCTGTCGCCCTCGTGCAGGCGCTTCTCGTCCTGCTCCGAGTAGTAGCTCTGCTCGCTGCGGCTCACCGGCGGCGTCTCGGGCGGCGGGCCGCCGGCCATGGCCGACGCCAGCGAGGCGGCATTGGGGCCGAGCGAGTGCTGCGGCGAGCGGGCGCGCGAGCGAGGCTGCTGGCCGGCGGGCGCAGAGGCACCCTCGTCCTCGGACAGCGCGGGCGAGGAGTAGGGCGAGCCGCCGTACGGCGACGAGGAGGAGAGGTGCTGCGGCAGGCCGGCGGGGGGTGCGCGGCCACACATCGCGGGCGAAGAGGTGGTGTGCGTGACGAGGCGGACGTGCTGCTCGTGTGTCGACCACTCGCGATGGCGTGGTAGAGAGGCAGCCTCGAGTCAGCGCACGCAGCAGCGAGAAGGGCAGCAAGCAGCTGCTGGCCTGCGCACCTGGCTCGCTGCGCCCCGGCACGGCGCCTGTGTCACTTTTCGCGCACGGCCATTCCCACGCTGCCACGGCGCCGGTGCCGCGGGCGCACTCCGGCAGCCACCTCACCAAGCTCGCTCAGCAGCGCCGGCCAGCCCCTCCGACGAGCGAGGTGTAAAAACGAGCCCGGCCAGCTGCGCAAGCAGCCCGCTCCGAGACGCGGTGGTTGCCAGCAGCACACTTGTCAGCGACGCCGAATGGCAGGCATGCCTCGGCAGGCGTCACGCAGCAGTCGCATCACATCGAGGCTGGATTAGAGTTCATTACATGACGTAAAGGGCCCGGAGCGTGCCGCTCAGGCGCCCGTGAAGTGCGTGGCGAGGACGGACAGCTGCAGAGGGCAGCGGTCAGTGCATGTCCACGTCTGGGCGGCCAGCGGCACACACCTCAGACTCGTTGAGGATGATGAGCTTGCCGGGCGCAGCGACGCCGCCGGTCACGGCCGCCTTGGCGGCGCTGATGGCCGTGGAGAACTTGCCCTCGGACTGTAAGGCCACGCGTCAGCCGTGACGGGGAGAGGCCGGAACAGCGAGGGCAGAAGCGGCCAAGCGCAGCACTGCAAGCCAGAGAGCTGAGAGCAGGACACGCTCGGACACAGCTGCCTCTACGCCCAGACTGCACACGGCTGCTCACGTTGTACAGGCGGATCTCGGTCGGGTGCACGTCGATGAGCGCGACACGCGGGTCGTTCTCGTCGCCGGTGTGCTTGCCGTCCTTCTTGTTGTCTGTAGAAGAGGGTCAGCCGATGCAGCACGGCGCACACACGCGCACCACGCACCGAACCACGCCTTGAGCGCGCTGCTCCAGTGCTTCTTGACGGCGCCGCGGTCCGTGTTGATCTTGGCGCGGCCGCTGACGCTGGCCCACGACTGGCCGTCCTTGCCGACGTACGAGATGTTGACCTCGGGGTGGCTCTCGAGGTCGTCGACCTTGCCGCTCTCGGTGTTGGTGTAGAAGCGGAAGACTGGCGGCGGTGTCAGTGTGCTGCCACGCGGCGTGCCACCGCAGAGGCCCTGCTGCGCCAGCGCATGGGCCCCCTCGCATGCACTCACCCGGTCCCTCGAGCGCGGCGGCGTGCATGGCGCGCGACGCCAGGCGGCCCTCGGGCGTCTGGCTGGTGAGCATGCACGTCTGCGTGGCGGCGACGAGCTCCTTGAGCGCGTCGAGCTTCTGCTTGGGGTCGAGGCCGCTGTGGTCGGCCTGCGCGGCGGCCTTCTGCGCGGTGGGGTCGGCGGTCTGGTGCGTGGTAGACATGGTGCGGTGTGTGGTGGTGAGGGTGCGGTGGTGTGGTGGAGCGGAGGCAAGTGTCGCGCGCACGGGCGGCGCGACTCGAGGCAGCGGCGATGCGGCGGCGCGGCGCAGCGCCGGCACAGGCAGCAGGCGCGCAGCAGAGGGGCGAAGCACAGACATGGCGGGGCGTGGAGGGCGGTGCGGGATGCAGAGCGACGTCGCTTCGGCCGCGCCCGAGCATGCATCTTGAGGCACCCGCAGCGTGGCCTGTGCTGACTTAGCACGCACCGCTGCAGCGCACGACGCTGTGCCGCGCGCCGTCGCACCCTTCGCTCTTGTCGCGCTCGCTGCCAGCTGCAGTGCGCCTCGCTCGCCATCGCACCCTGCACGCACGAGCCCGCGTGAGCGTCGCAAGCTGCCGCTGCCGCTGACGGCGAGGCCTGCGCGGCTGCCAAGCGAGGCGCCGGCTGCGGGCGGTGACGGCTCGCTGCGGATGCGCGGTGCTCGCGCCGACGGCTTCTTCCCGCGCCTCCACACGCCTGTGACGTCACGGCTGGCGCACACAGCAGGGTGCTGCACGTGACAGCGATGCCTGTTCCCACGCGAAGGCAGCCCTCGCTCCTCACGACGTCGCCAGGCGCAGCGCCGGGAGGCAGCGCAGCGAGCATCGAGCTGGCCGCAGCCTCGGTTGGACTGGCGAGCGCCTCTGGTGCGGCCGGTGCGCCGAAGCGTGGCAGCAGGAAGCATGGCCATGCCGGTGGCCCGCCTGCCATTCCCACGCGCCGCGGCCGCGGAGGCACAGCTCCTGGTCCAGCCTTGAGCTTGTCCGCGAAGTTTGCGATGGTCTGCAGCGGCGAGGTAGAGGATGCGATCTGGATCTGCGCCTGCTGCTGTCGCCCGTACGAGGCAGGGCTTGGCGCATGCCGCTGCTGCGAGCCTGCGACACGCGAGCGCAGCGGCCTCGCGCTGAGGGGTCGCTGCGTGGCCGTTGCGCCCGCTGCGTGTTGCACGTCGTCTACGCGCCGCTGCGGCCGCGTGTGCCTGCAGCGCGCTGCGCCTTGGCTCGAGCATCCACTCGCGAAGGCTGCGCACACCGGGATGCGGTCCGGGCCACGCCGAGAGGCAGCCCTCGCAAAGCCTTTCTGCGCTTTGAGTGTGCGCGCTGGCCCGGCTCCGCGGCAAGGCTCACGGAGGCATGCCTGTGCGAGCCCCTGGCAGGCGCGGCAAGCCACAGCAGATCGTCCTTCGCGCGCGGCGGCGCGGCAGAAGCGCCGCGGCGCCGGCCAATCAACAAAATCGCCGGCGCGGCGCAGGCGGCGGCAGCATGGCAGCAGCAGCGCAGCGGTGCATCCTCCGAGATGCGCGCCCTCGCCGTCGACTCCGCCCGATGGGGCAGGTCGGAGGCCTCGCTGGGCATCCGATGTGCCGGCGCTGCCTCCTCGCCGGCCGCACTGCAGCACCCAGATGCAGCAGCAGACATCGCCGCAGCTGCGAGGGATGCGGCGGAGCGAGTGTTGCGTCGTCGGCGTGCGGCGTCCTGCTGCTGGCACCTGCTGCCGGCCTCCGCGTCCGCCAGCTGCTCCTCTCCATTCACCATCCGCACTCCTTCTCTCTGTCTCGGGTTGATCCCGGGCGCCGCTCGCTTCCCTGCGCACCACACACTCCTTCACCTCACCCACCATGCGCTCCCTCCGCACGGCGCCGGCCGCCGTCTCGCTCCTCGTCTCGCTTGCCCTCCTCGCCGCTGCGGTGCTCGCGGCGCCGCTCGAGCCGCGCCTCGCGCACAAGCATCGCTCGCTGGCGTCCGCGGCCGTGTCGGCGAGCAACGTCAGTGATGCTGCGATGCCGGCGGGCAACGTCAGCGACGCTGCGCTGCGGGCCGTGTCGGCGAAGCGCATCAACGCACGCTTCGGGCGCGACAAGCTCGTGCGCGGCGTCAACCTCGGCGGCTGGTGAGCGCGACGTCCGTGCCGCAGCGGTGGCACTCCTGTCTGACAGCTGCCTCAGGTTCCTGCTCGAGGCCTGGGAGACGCCGCACGTCTTCCTCACGTCGGACATTGAGCGCCAGCAGCTGTCCGACGAGTGGGCATGGATGGGCGCCAAGGGCGCGCGCGCCAAGCCCGACCTCGTCGCCCACTACAACTCGTACTACACCGAGCAGGACTTTGCCGAGATGGCGCAGGCGGGCCTCAATACCGTGCGCATTCCCCTGCCCTTGTGAGTGGCGTGTGCGGCGGCAGCATCGCGCACGGCTGACCCCGCCGGCAGCTGGACGTTCGTGCCCACCGTGTCGCCCGAGCCGTACCTGGTGAACCGGCAGCGCGCGGCCCTGCGACGTGCCCTCGGCTGGTCGCTCAAGCACGGCCTCGACGTCGTGCTGGACCTGCACGGTGCGTGCCGTCGCCAGCTGTCGCGCTCCGGCTTCGCTCATTCTCTCTCCCAGCGCTGCCCGGCAACATCAACGGGCAGGACAACGGCGGGCGCCTCGGCCAGCAGGACTGGGCCAAGGACCCCAAGAACCTCGACCGCTCCATCGCGGCGCTGCAGAACATGGTTGAGCTCTACGTCAACAACGCCTCCTACGGCGGCGTCGTCAAGGCGATCCAGGTGCGTCGAGCCCACAGGGTGCACCGTGGCTGATGTGCTGACGCTGCTCCAGGTGGCCAACGAGCCGCGCATCAACGCGCAGCTCTCGCTGCCCTTCCTCGGCGCCTACCACAAGCGCGCACTCGCCGCCGTGCGCAACGCCGTCTCGCCCACGGCCCTCGTGCGCCCGACGACGATGTTCAGCGACGCGTTCCAGGACGTGACCAAGTACAACTACATGTTCCCGCAGGGCGACTTTCCGCCGCAGCAGCTCGTCGTCGACAAGCACTTCTACTTTGTCAAGCAGTGGGACCGCAGCCTGCCGGACAACGACGAGGAGCTGCTGCGCCACGTGTGTGCCATCGGCCCGCGCCTGCGCAAGGCGCACGCCGTGCGCCCCGTCGTCGTCGGCGAGTTCTCCCTCGGACGCACGACGCGCTGCGTCGACTACCACGACTGCAAGGGCCGCACCATCGCCCACGACCTGCCGTCGCTCAACTCGAAGAGCAACAACCTCTTCATGCGCCGCTTTGCCGAGGCGCAGCTCGCCACCTACGAGCAGGCCGGCGGTGAGTGCCCGCCGCCCCTCCTGCCCCTCCTGCACCGCTGACGAGCGCCCGGGGCGGTGGACGTTGAAGGCTGGATCATGTGGACGTGGAAAACGGACGCAGCAGCGGCGTGGTCGTACCAGGCTGCACGCAACCAGGGTGAGCGCGACGCCAGAGATCATCGCGACGCTGTCACTCACCTCCGCACGCCCAGGCTGGCTCCCGTCCGACGTCAGCGACCCCACGCAGCGCCTCTACACGCCCGCACCCGGCTCGGCGACCGACCAGCGCTGCGTGTCCGAGCAGCCGTCCCGTGCGCCGCGCTTCGCCATGCAGAGCTAGCGCCTCTGCCTCTCTGCTCCTTCTCGTGTGCCCTGCGCGCGCACCCCGCACGCCCTCCGCGCCACCTCGCACACCCTCTGCGCCACCCTCATTCCTGTCGCCCGCATACATACATATCCAGAATCCATCGCATTCACTTGGCGCCGTAGAGCCGCAGCACGCGCTCGTGCACGTCTGCGCCGACCCACACGCCGTCGCGCACCGCCGGGCCGGCGCCCGCCAGCTCCACGTTCTCCTTCTCCGCCAGGTGCAGCTTGGCGTAGTCGGGGCCGGCGCCGCCAAAGGGGTTCGGCGGCGCCTGGCCGCCGGCGCCGGTGAGGGCGCCCATGCCGCCCATGTCGCGCGAGCTGTCCGCGGCTGGAGCAGGGGCGTGTCAGCCAGGCAGACGCGCACCGCACGCTGCGCCCGCGCACCGTTGTTGTCGCCGAGGATGAGGCGGAAGATGGCCGTGAGGCCGAAGAGGCAGAGGAAATACCAGCTGATGCTGCTCACCCACGCCACGTCCATGTCGGGCGTGTCGATGCCGCGCTGCAGCATGAGCTTGAAGCGTAGCGTGAGCGGGAATGGCAGGCGCACTGCAGGCAGTGTGTCAGCGATCCGTGCTGCGCTGCACCCACGACCGCCACGCACACAGCACAAAGCCGCTGAAGAACATGTTGATCCAGCCCATGATGAGCGTCTGCGGCACCATCATGACGATGCTCTTCTTGGCCTGCTCCATCATGCCCTCCATCTGCGCCGGGTCCGAGAGCGGGTTCACCGGGCCCTCGTCGGGCTTCTTCTGCGGCGGGCGTCAGCGCGGCCGTTGCTGTGCGGCACTGCGCAGTGCTCACCTCGGGCACGGGCTGCACGTACTCGCCGCTGCCGAGCTTGTCGGCGAGCCAGTCGCGGCGGGCAGCGTACGCGGCCGGGCTGAGGTACCAGCTGTTCATGCGTGTCGTCTGTGCGCGCGTCATGATGCGCCTGCTCGGGTGTCAGCGCAGGGCCACGCCCGCTGTCCTGGCACACGCACTGCTCGCGCAGGGCCGCCGGCGCCTGCGGCTTGGGCACGCTGGTGATGAGCTGCGTGACGTAGTGGCGCAGCAGGCCGACGAAGACCATGACGAGCAGGATGGGCAGCAGCACCCAGTCGCGGATGGCGCTGCGCTTGGGTCAGCACAAGGCACGCGAGGAGCGGCCGCACTGCGCGCGCACCTGTCGAGCAGCAGCGGCTGCCTGTGGGCCAGACGGGTCAGCGCAAGATGCAGTAGGCGATACGCAGCACGCACGTGAGCTGCACCATGGCGGCGAGCGGCGGGCCGGCGGGTGAGGTGCGAGGTGGTGGTGCGGTGGAGGAACAGGGCGCTGGCCGTCGCGGCGAGGTCGCGCTGTCGATGCAAGGCGCGCACCCGCCAACGCTGCGCACGGGCTTCGCGCGCGGCACCGGCGCGCGGCAGCGTGCCGCTCAAAGTCAAGGCACGCCCCAGCCCGCCGTTGTACTGCTGCCTGGCCGCAGGCGCTTCTTCTGCGGCACTGCTCCATCACCCAGCACCACTGAGCCAGTATCAGTTGCTGCGGCAACGCCTTTCCGGCCGACGTGCCCGGAGCTGCAGGCGAAGCAGCTGAGCTGTGGACACGAGGTGAGCGCGCGCGTGAAGCATAAGTTCGAGGAAGGCGCGCGCGGGAGTCGCGCCGCGCGCCAGGCCGTCGCCGCCCCAGCGCCGAGCTCCGCCGTGGAGAGCTCGACGGTGGCCGCCGCGCCACGACAGCAGCGGCCAGGTCCTGCTTGCTATGTGTGAAGCCCCGCACATGCACGTACCTGCAACAGCACACAGAGGAGGGCGTACGCTGCGGACTGCTATGTGCGGGCGACGGGCAGGCGCGCCAGAGGGGTCCGCTGGGCACGCACTACAACGCGCGCGGGCCGCCTTGTATTCGGCGGCAAGCGCCAGGCACGGCGCGCTCTATTCGCCGTGTCCGCCGCCCTAATTTTTTTGTTCGCGCTGCGGCGCCGCCTTCGCGGCGCGGCGGCAGAAGCAACAGGCGATCTGCGGCCGGCAGGCGCCGGGCAGCGTCAGCATCAGCGCGGTGAGCGCGCGGCGGCGCGGCGTGAGCTTGGCCCTCCTGCGCCGTGCCGTGCTCGGCTCGCTGCTGCGCTTGGCCTGGCCTGGCAGGGCCCGTCGTCGTCGTCGCGGCGGTGCTCTGCTCCTCCATCCGCGGCCAGTCTTCTCTGTGCCGCTCCCGCCGAGGTCTCCACTCCTCGCTCCCCCTCTCACCCGCCGCGCGCCTGCCTGCGCCGCCCCTGCCCGCAGGCTCGTCGCTCCTGCCCGCGCCCCCCGCTGCTCCGCCTTCGCCCTCGCTCCGCTGGCCGGCCGCTCCTCCTTGTGCGCCTGCGTCTTGCCCCTGCGTCGTCTGCCTCGCGCCCTCTCCGCTCCGCCACGCGAGTCAGCAGCGCGCCCGTCCGCGCCGCTGCGTCCTCTGCGCCTGCCGCGTGCCAGGAATGAGCCAGAGCCAGAGCCAGCCCGCCGCTGCCGCTCCGTCTGCCTCCGGTCCCCGCGCGCCCGCTGCCAGCACGGGCAGCGCCGCCTCGCCCGCGCTCACCGCCAAGGCGCCGGCCTTCAACTACGCCGCCGCCGCCAACAAGGCCCGCGCACCGCCGCCGCCGTCGTCTGCCGTGCCCGGCTCCGATGCGCCGCACGCCGCCGCGAGCTCTGCCACTCCGACGTCGATGCCCAAGGGCACCCTGAACGCCTCCTCCAGTAGCAGCGCCACCGAGAGCGCGCCCGCTGCCAACGGCCACACGCGCCGCCAGTCGGCCGTCAGCCTCGCCAAGGGTCCTGCGCCCGCCGCACGCATCGGTGAGTCGCACTGGTCGCTGGTGGCGTGCGTGCGCGCGTCGCTGACCCTGCATCTGCGCAGCCGCGTCGATCAACTTTGGCTCCGTCGCGGACCAGAACAGCATCCTCTCCTCGTCGCCCGCCGCGCAGCCCAGCTCCGGGCAGCACCTCAAGGGCAACCAGCCCACGCAGTTTGGCAGTCTCGCTGCAGACGCAGCAGACGCCAAGCAGGCGCGCGAGAAGGTCATGGGCTTCAAGCCCGCCGGCGGCGAGGCCGCCGCGGCGCCTGCCAACGGCAGCGCGGCCGCCGCCACGCCGAGCGAGGGCACCGCGCCCGCCGCAGCCGTGACGCCCGCCAAGCCGGCGCGCACCGTCGACTTCCAGAAGCTCTTCCAGGGCGGCGGCTCGAGCAGCTCGTCGCACGCCGCGCAGCCGGCCGCCGCTGGTGCAGGTGCCGACGGCGCCGCCGCTGCTGCGCCTGCCGCCTCGTCGCCGCAGCAGCAGCACCAGGGCGCCGCCGCCACGTCGAACCAGCAGCACCGGCCCTCGGCGCTGCGGCCGCCGCAGCACACGGCGCCGCGCTCGTTTGAGAACCAGCGCTCGCCGTCGCAGACGCACTACGCGCCCGGCACGCCCGGCAATGCGCGCGGCCCAGGCAACAACGGCGCACCGGGCAGCCCGTACCAGGCGCACCACGCCGGCCCGCACGGCCAGCAGCCGCGCTCGCCGCACATGGCCCACGCGCCGCCGATGCCGCACATGCACAGCATGAACGCGCCGCAGCAGTGGCAGCAGCAGCAGCAGCCGCCGCAGCAGCAGCAACAGCAGCCGCCGCACATGGTGAGTCGCGCATCCGTAGCGTGACGCACGCTTCCGCTGACACCCTTGCGCAGTACGGCTACTATCCCGTGCCGCACGGCTACTACCAGCCGCAGGCGCCGCAGCCGCACTGGGCCGGGCAGCAGCACGCGCCGTACGACATGGCCCAAGGCCAGCCGCGCTCGCCGCGCAACATGCCCGCCTCGCCGATGGGCGTGCCGCAGAACGGCATGAGCAGCGGCGCGCCGTCGACGCCCGGCCTCTCGTCGCCCGCCTCGACGCGTGGCTCGGCCATGCCCGCCACACCCTCCGCCACGGGCTCGCCGCACCCGGCGCACATCGGCATGGGCCAGCCGCCAAACGCGCGCGGGCCGGCCAGCTTCGCGCCGCACGGCGGTCCGGCGTTCGGCCACTCGCCGTCGCACTCGTTCAGCAGCAACACGATGAGCCCGGCCGCGCAGCGCTTCGAGCCGTCAAAGCGCACCAGCAGCGCCATTCCCATCGTCAACCCCGAGACGCGTGCCTCGGTCGACATCAAGGTCTCGTCGCCCGCCCCTGCGCCCGCAGCGCCCGCACCGGCCGCCGCGCCGTCGCCCGCCGTCAGTAAGGCCGCTGCCGCGACACCACCCGTCGCCGCCGCCTCGCCCGCGCCCGCCTCGCCGGCCGTGAAGAGCAAGGCGACGACGACGCAGGACTTCATGGCGCAGGTCGCAGCCAAGGCCGCCGAGGCCAAGGCCAAGCGGGAAGGCGGTGCCTCTGCTTCGGCCAAGGCGGCCAAGGAGAAGGAGGACAAGGAGAAGGCCGACGCTGCGGCCGCCGCCGACGCTGCTGCCGCCGAGGCCAAGAAGAAGGCCGCTGCTGAAGAGGCCGAGCGCGTGCGCAAGGCTGAGGAGGAGAAGGCCGCGGCTGCCAAGGCGGCGGCTGCCGCCGAGGCCGAGGCTGCCGCTGCTGCCGCAAAGAAGGCCGAAGAGGAGAAGAAGGCCAAGGAGGAGCAAGAAAAGGCCGCTGCCGCTGCTCGCGAGGCCGAAGAGAAGGCTGCCGCTGAGCGCAAGGCGCAGGAGGAGAAGGCGGCGCAGGAGAAGGCCGATGCCGAGCGCAAGCAGCGCGAGGAGCGCGAGGCCAAGGAGGCCGCCGACGCCAAGGCTGCTGCGGAGGCCAAGCAGAAGGCCAGCGACGACGAGAGCGCCAAGGCAGACGCTGCCAAGGCGGCCGAGGACTCGTCTGCGGCCCAGGCAGAGGACGCGAAGAAGGCGCGCCCCGATGCGATCGACACGTCTCTGCAAGAGTCGGCCGACGCCCTCGACGCCGGCTCCGCCCCGCGGCGGTCAGTGGCCGACATTGAGCGGATGGCTGCCGAGGCCTCGTCGATGCCGCAGACGCCGCTTGACGGCCCGCCGCCGCGCACGCCCGGCATCCCGAGCACCCCGCGCACGCCCGGCACGCCCGGCTTTGGCGGCCTGCCCGCCAAGCCGCAGATGACCTCGGTGCCCTCGAGCACCAACGTCAAGCTGGACGCCGAGGCGCTCGAGAAGCGCAAGCGGCCCGCCGTGGCGCAGCTCGACCTCAGCAAGACGCCGTCGGGTGCCTCGTCCGATGCACCGATGTCCGCAGCGCTGCAGTCGCTCGGCTCGGCGCGCTTCATCGAGGACATCAGCAAGGTCGCCTACCCGACGTCGATGCAGTCGCCGAAGCCGGAGCTGAACGAGTCGGCCGAGCCCGGCAAGTTCCGCTACGACCGGGACTTCTTGCTGCAGTTCATGGGCGTGTACAAGGAGAAGCCGGTGGACCTGCCGCCGCTGGCCGATATCGGCATGGACCCGTCGCAGGCGCAGACAGGCCGCTCCGGCGGCGGCCGGCGGACATCCGGCATGGGCCCGCCGGCACCTCCGGGGCGCGGCGGCTCGATCGGCCTCGGCCTCGGCGGCAGCTCTGCCTTTGGCAAGGGCGCCGGCGGCATGGGCTCCTTCGCACACCCCAAGACGAGCGAGGAGCGCTTTGCCGCCTCGAGCGCACGCTCGGGCAGCGCATTTGGCAGCGGGCCGATGGGCTCGTTCAACGCCGGCGCCCGCTCGCAGCCGCTCTCGCGGCCCGCCAGCGGCAGCAGCGCGATGCCGTCGCGCGACATGATGGGCACGGGCGTGCCCGCCGGCGGCCGGTCCAAGTCTGGCCGCGGCCGCGCGCCGAACCCGAACGCCGGCGGCGGCGGACGCAACCAGGTCAATCCACCCGAGAAGGGCGGCCCGACCATCCCGCTGGATCAGGTCGTGCCGCTCGCCATGTCCGAGACGCGCTGGCAAGGCACGCGCGGCGCCCAGAGCGCCAAGGCCGACTCGCCCGAGATGGTGCAGCGCAAGGTCAAGGCGCTGCTCAACAAGCTCACGCTCGAGAAGTTCGACAGCATCTCGAACCAGGTGCTCGAGTGGGCCAACAAGTCCGTCGACGAGACCGACGGCCGCACGCTGCGGCAGGTCATCGCGCTCATCTTCGAGAAGGCGACCGACGAGGCCGCGTGGTCGGAGATGTACGCGCGCCTCTGCCGCAAGCTCAACGAGGAGCTCAGCCCCGACGTGCGCGACGAGGCGCTCAGCTCGGAGAGCAAGCCCGCGTTCGGCGGCACCCTGTTCCGCAAGTACCTCATCAACCGCTGCCAGGAGGACTTCGAGCACGGCTGGGCCGCGCGCGACGCCACCGTCGCCGCCGCCAAGTCGAAGGAGGTCGAGGACAAGGCGAAGAAGGAGCAGAACGAGCGCAACGAGACCGAGGCCAAGGAGGCCGAGGCCCGCGGCGAGAAGCCTGCTGCGGCCCCGCAGGAGGCTGCGCTGCTGTCCGAGGAGTACTACGAGGCGGCCAAGGCCAAGCGCCGCGGCCTGGGTCTTGTGCGCTTCATCGGCGAGCTGTACAAGCTCGGCATGCTCACGGAGCGCATCATGCACCTGTGCATCAAGAAGCTTCTCGCCAACGCCACCGACCCCGAGGAGGAGGAGATCGAGTCGCTGTGCAAGCTGCTCACGACCGTCGGCAAGACGCTCGACGGGCCCAAGGCCAAGCAGCACATCGACATCTACTTCACGCGCATGGCGGAGATGCGCGATGCGCCGGGCGTCAACTCGCGCATGGCCTTCATGCTGCAGGACGTGATCGAGCTGCGCTCGCGCGACTGGATCCCGCGGCACGACAACGCCGCGCCCAAGACCATTGCCCAGATCCACGCAGACGTGAGTAGCTCGTTGCGCCCATGTGCTGCGCCGGCCTGACTCTCTCCCACCCACAGGCTGCGCGGGCAAAGGCACAGAACGACGCCGAGAACGCAGCGCGGGCGGCCCGTGGCGGGCCGATCCAGCGCGGCGGCTCGCGGCGTGGCCAGGCGCGCGGTGACTTTGGCGGCGTCGGCGCCGTCGGGCCCGACGGCTGGAGCACCGTGGCGCCGCCGCCGCGGCAGAGCAAGGTCGGCGACCTGTCGAGCTTCGGCAAGGGGTGAGTGCGGCGCAGCAGCCGCATGCTCGTCAGCAGCTGACGCCTTCTCTGCAGCATCCACCGCAGCGATTCGAACCGGCCAATGTCGGCCATCGGCCCGCAGAGCGTCTTTGCCAAGAAGAACCAAAAGTCGGAGGACGGGAGCAACCCTCCGTCGCGCACCAACTCGACGACGAACATGTGCGTGTGCCTTGCGCTGCGTTGCCTTATCACGCCGTGCTGACCCGTGCCCCGCCAGGTTCCACCTGCTCAACCAGCAGAGCGAGGCTCCCGAGCCTGCTACGCCGGCTTCCGCAGAGCCGCAACGGCCAAAGCTCAACCTCGCGCCGCGCACGAAGCCGATGCCCAGTGCCGACGGCAAGGACGACGAGGACGAAAAGGAGGCCGACGACGCCGCTGCCGGCGACGAGGCGGGCAAGAGCATGTCGGACGAGGAGGCCAAGCGCAAGATCGCCAACGACATCAAGGAGTTCCTCGCCGTCAAGGACATCAGCGAGGGCAAGCTGGCGCTCGAGGACCTGCCGGCGCCGCGGCGGTCCGAGTTCATCGACAAGATCTTCGGCACGGTGCTCGAGCGCAAAGAGTCCGAGGTGCAGCTCGTGTGCGAGCTGCTCAAGGCGGCGCGCGAGGCGCAGCTCCTCTCGGACGACGACGTCGTCAGCGGCCTCAAGGAGACCATCACCATGCTCGACGACATCAGCGTCGACGCGCCGCAGGCCTTCAAGTTTGCCGCCATGGTGCTGCACGCCTCGGGCCTGCCCGACGACAAGATCCAGACGCTGGCCGACGGCATGGAGGGCGAGGGCATCACGCCGCCGAGCGCGAAGCTGATGAAGAAGCTCGCCGAGGTGCGCGAGGCATGAGCTGCGCCTGCGCGTGTCATGATGGCCACATTGCCTGCGTCCCGAGCGAGTTCGAGAGGTGAGCATCAGCTGTGCCAGTCACCAGGAGCCCGCAGCTGACCGCCGGCCTCGCAGCCCTCACTCGTACAAAAGTGGCCCCGACCGCGCCGGCCGCGCCACGAGCGCGCCTGCCTCACTGACCCATCCACACCCTCCCCTCCCCCATGCTATGCTCACCCCCAGCCACACGCTGTACATCTCGTCTATCGCATGCGCTCTCTCCTGCTCACGCGTGCTCTGAATGAGGTGTGCCTGACATTGAGTGTGCGGTGACGGCGGAGCTGGATGCAGTGTATGGTGGGACCAGTGTGGACATGCGGACAGAGACAGATGCGCGGACGCGGCGGCGCTACTCGGCCTTCGGCGGCACGAGCGTATTCAGCGTCTTGGACCACTCCAGCACGCGCGGGTGGCACATGACCTTGCGCGCATCGAAGCCCACGACCCAGATGCCTTCGAGAGACGTGGCGCGCGAGATGGCCACGTAGGCTTGACCTGTGCGTGGCGGTGTCAGCGCAGGCTCGGCATCGCGAGTCGGAGCAAGCGCACCCTTCTCGAACACCTTGCTCAGGTCGACTTTGCAGTACGGCAGCGTCTGGCCTTGTCTGTGGGCACGGCATCAGCTTCGCAGCCCAGGCCAGAAGCGGAAGGAGACACTCACGATTTGTGGATCGACACTACAGGCGTAACGAAAGAGTCGGTCAGTCATACGTTCGGTGTTCGCGTCGGGCGGCACTCACTGGCCCATGCAAGAATCAGAGGCTGGCCGCGCAGGGAGCGCCAGGGTCAGCACCGTCTCGACGCAGGCTGGCGGCAGCATGCACTCACAATCTGCTCGCGCTGCGCCTGGATCTCGCCGTTTGGCAGCTCATTCTTCCAGATCTCCGGCACGACGAGCTCGGCACGGATGCCGCCCGGCACGATGAAGTTGACGAGCGGGTACTTGGGCAGCGGCCCGAGAGACTTGGCCGGCGACGAGGAGCGCGAGCGCGGCGCCTTGGTGCCCGGCGCCGCCTCGGGCGCGCCGGCGTGCATCGCCATCATCTCCGGCTTGCGCTCCGCCAGCATCACGGAGCCGTCACGATTCGTGCGCGAGAGGTCTTCGCCGGCCGCGACGCGTGCCTTGTACTCGTTGACGTCCATGAAGCCCGTGACCTTGCCAATGCTGCCGTTGACGAGCGTGTCGTCGGTATTCTTGATGAGCATCACCTGCGCGTTGACCTTGAGCGTGATGCTCGGCGGCGCCATGAAGTTGGAGAGCAGCTTCTGCCGCGGCTCGGGCGGCATCTCGCCGCCGTCGCGCGCGTTGAAGCACCGCGGCTCCTGCTTCAGCGCCTCCAGGCGGCCCATATTTGCGCGCTCAACGTCGGCGCGCAGCGGGAAGAGTTCGGTTGGTGTGACGCCCTTTTCCGGCGGCGCAGGCCGGCGGTCGAGCGTGCGGAAGCGTGCAATGGTGTCTGCGCTCATCTGCCCGAAGCGCATCTCGTTGAGCATCTTGACGAAGCCTGGAGGGCGGTCAGCCTGCGCCTCTCTTGCCGCAGCGTGCCGTTGCTGACTCACTGCCGTCCTTCTGCCGGAAGACCTGCGTGAGGTTCACCTTGTGCTGGATCACTTCGTCCCACTTCTCCGCGTCAAACGCAAAGTTGGTCTGCCCCGCCTTGTTCACCGGCGGCAGCTGGAAGAAGTCGCCCGTGACGACGATCTGGATGCCGCCAAAGGGCTTCGGCGTCTTGCGCACCAGGCGCGCCACCTCCTCGAGCTTGTCGAAGAGCGTCGGATCAATCATCGAGACTGCCTCGGCGTCAGCCGACAGCTACGACGCGCCACGCCGCAACGCTCACCCTCATCAACAATGAGCACACTAGTGCGCAGCCAGCGACTGCTGGCCTTGCGGTTCTTGCGCAGCTTGCTCACCAGCGTCGCCACGGGCCCGTCGGCCAGGCCTACGCCGGCGAAGCTGTGCAGTGTGACGCCGCCGACATTGCACGCCGCAATGCCCGTCGAGGCCGTGACGGCGATGCAGTCGGCCTTGGCCGCATACTTGCGCTTCAGCCCGGCGATGATCTCGCGCAACAGCACCGACTTGCCCGTGCCTGCAGCAGAGTCAGCGCGCACCACTCGGGCCCTCGTTCCGCTCGACGCACCGGCACTGCCCGTGAAGAAGACATTCTTGCCCTCGTCGACGACCATCTTGTACACCATCTTCTGCTCGATGCTGAGGAAGATGCCGCTGAACTTGGGCTTCTTTGCGCCCCAGGCGTCGGTGTCGGTGCGCGCGTCGCCCGCCTTGAAGAGCGCGCCCGTGGCCTTGCGGTCCTCGCGCAGCTGCGCCGTCGACTTGAGAAAGAGGCTCGCAGCATCGCGCGGCGCCGAGGGCCCGGCCTGCGCCGACGTGCTCGCGGCTGATGGTCCAGCCTCGTGCTCATCAGCGGCGGCGCGCGGGCGGGGAGCGCCAAACGCCACGCTGCCCGTCGCCTTGCGGCGCTGCGCCGGGCCCGAAACGAGGGCGCGCGGGCGCGAGCCAGACGCCGCTGCGGCAGGTGCAGTGTGAGCGGCATACATGCGGCGCACTGCGTGGCTGAGACGCACCCGGCTCGTTGGCGACGTCGCGCTCGCACGGCTGCGTCGGCGGGAGCACGCTGCGGCGCACCTCGGGCTCCGGCGACGGGCTCCACTCGATGGGGTTGCCCGGGCTCGAGCCGGGCAGCAGCGACGAGGCGGGCGTGGCGAGGGATGAGCGAGCTGCGGTGGACACGGCGCTGCCGTTCTCGTCGGCGCCGAGGTCCGAGGCGTTGCCGGACCAGGAGCGCTTGAGGCCACGCAGGCCGGACGCCGGCTGGAAGGCAGCCATGTGTGGAGTGCGGGCGAGGCGGCGGGAGCGGTGCAGTGGTCGGGAGGCAGAGGCGGCTGCTGCTCGGTGTTGCTCGCCGAGGAGAGCGCCACTCTACACGCCAGGCACATTTCGCGCGCGCGACGCGTCCCAGACCATCACACTGTGCTCGAGAACAATCGGCGGGCGATCGGCGTCTTGCCGTCCTCGCCTGCCTCGGCTCAGCCTCGAGCCGGTCGCTGCTGCTGTGGAGGGCTCACGCTTGCACCCGATGGTACGCCCTCGGCAGCGAGGGCTGTGAGATGCCGCGCCATCGCCCTTGTGCTGCACGGCTGGCGCCGATGTGCCGAGCAAGCCGCCGCTGCGAAATGCGCGCGCGGCTGTTGGACGAGCGGCGCTGCCATGCGGTGCGCCCCGCATCCGGCTATCGTCCTCCCGTGCCGGCAGCGCGCAGCGGCCCCTGATGCCTGTGCCGCGATCACGCGCGCGCGCCCCGCCGCGCGCGCCTTCGCCGCCGACGTCCATCCCCTCACACACCCCGCCGCACCGCCGCAGCCATGAGCAAGACATTCAGCGCCGAGGAGGTCAAGAAGCACGCGTCGGGTGCGTGCAGTCGCGGCCGCACCTCGCCCGCGCCACGCCGCTCACACGCCCACCCGCAGAGGAGTCCGTCTGGGTCGTCGTCGACGGCGGCGTGTACGACGTGACGTCGTTCCTCGACGACGTGCGTAGCCGCGCGCCGCGCTGTGCTCGCGCTCCGCTGACCATCCACCAGCACCCGGGCGGCAAGAAGATCCTGCTGCGCAACGGCGGCAAGGACGCGACCGAGGCCTTTGTGAGCGGCGCCGCTGTGCCTGCGCGCCGTCTCCGTGCTGACGCTCGCGCACCTCCAGTGGACGTACCGTGCGTGTGTCTCGCTCTCTCTGACGGCTAGCGGCGAGAGCCGGTGCGCTGTGTGGCGCGTACGTGGGAGCGCGGCGCACGGGGCGTCAGGCTACCTGCGCGACGGGGCCGGCGGTGCATCCGTGTGCGCACGACGGCACAGAGTGTGCCGTGCGCACAGGGTGTGCAACAGCGCACACACAAGTGGACAGCCGGAGCCGATGCAGCGCAGAACGATCTCCGCAGCCGGCGCAGGCGCGATCCGATGTTGGCCAGCGACCCGCACTGCTGACACGTGGTCCTCATGGCTTGCAGACAGCGAAAAGGTCCTCAAGAAGCAGGGCGGCAAGCTCAAGATCGGCGAGCTGGAGCCGTCGTCGAAGCTCTAAGCGGCGCACCGAGCGCTGCGCTCGCGCTCGAGAGGGCAGCAAGCGCATCCGTCTGCCTGCCAGGCGAGACGAGGAGGGCGTGGAGCGTATGATATCTATGCCGTACGTAGCAATACAGGCTATTAGGATGACATATGGAAGCGTGAGCCTCAGACCGCGACAAGAAGGACACGCGCGGCTGGACTGGGAGTTGGAGACGGGCCGATGTCGGTGTGGACAGGGGCTCGCTTGATTGTCGATATCGAGCGACGCCGCTGGCCAGCAGCGGCGGCACAGGGCCACGATATTGGTACATCGGGGGCGCATACTGCAGCTCGTCGTCTCGCGCTGCATTGGCGCCAGGTACGAGCCGCTTGCATCTCTTCGGCCCTGCTGGCTCTCGACGGGCTCAAGCGGCAACGTCCGGTCACGCAGCCACGCAGCGTTTAGAGCGTGGCCATCAGCGCGACCGCGCCGCAGCCCGCCACAGCCATGGCCGCGCCGAAGGCCGAGTATGCGGGCGAGGCACTGCTCTTCTTCTGGCCGTCGGCCGCCGATTGGTCGCTCTGCTTGCCGGCCGCCGTGCTGTTCTGCTTCGTCGCACCGGCGGCACCGGCGCTCTGCTGCGAGGCAGCCGACGTGGCCTGGGCCAGGACGGGCGCGTACGTCGTCGACACGGCCTTGATGTCCGGCCCCGGCAGGCCCGACGCCACGCCGCCGGCGATGTACTCCTCGAAGCTCGGGTAGGTAATGTCTTCGAGATATCTGCAGCGAGGCGTGTCAGCTGTGCCACAGCAGCGGGGCGCCAGCCACCACGCACGGCTTGGTGTTGTTCATGCAGCTGAAGACGGGCACCACGTGGTCGAAGCGGGCCTTGATGTTGGGGTACTGCGAGATGAACTCGTGCATTGTGCCGTTGTTGAGCTGTGCACAAGAGCAGAGTCAGCGCGGCTTTTCCGACGCACCGCACGGTGCCACGCACCTCGTGCGCCAGGACAATGTTGCCCTTCTGGCTGTTCTCGCCGGCGATGATCGCAGCGTAGTTCCGATCGATGGCCTTCTGCGACTTCTTGCCCGCCGGCTTCATCTGCCAGTCGTCCTGGTGCCGGCGTAAGCGCGGTGCAACGCGGACGCAGCTGCGCGACTCACCGTGTCGTCCGTCCAGATGATGGTAGCGAGGCCGAGGCCCGTCGCAATGGCGCGCACACGGTCGTCGACGTCGCCGAACTGCACGCCGCGTCAGCTTGGCGCGCGGAGCACACGTCCGCGCGGCTCACCGGAGGCCGCCAGCACTGCACGGTGATGCCCATCACGTCCTTGATGGCCTTGGCCGTGTAGTACAGCTCGGCAAAGACTTGCGTGTCGTTGAGCGAGGTCATGTAGCGGTGGCTCCACGTGTGCACGCCTGGACGCCAGGGTCAGCATGGCCACGCAAAGGTACAGCACTCGACGCCCGCGACGCACAGATGTCGTGGCCGTCGACGAGGCCGCGCTGCGCCTGCAGCGGCCAGTCCATGACATTGCTGCCAATGTAGAACATCGTCGCCTTCTGCTTCTGGTCGCGCAGGTAGTCGTAGAGCACCTGCTGCGTGCAGTTGGGTCCGTCGTCGAACGTCAGGCCGTACGTAGACGGCTCTGTGAGGCAGCGTTAGCCATGCAGCACGACGCCGGCCATAGCGCACGCACCGGGGCAGCCGACGATGTCGTCGGGAATGCCGGGGTGCTTGGGCACGTCGCAGTGCTCGTACGTCCACCAGCAGTCCGGATTGCTCTGGTCGTACGTGGGCGTGAAGCTGTCGAAGTCGCCGTCGGCTGCGGGCGGGGTCAGTGCTTGGCCAGGCACGGCAGTGCTCTGTCACCCACGCGTGCCCTTTGGCTTGACGCTCTTGGGGATGATGCCCGACTTCTGGATGGCACTCCAGACGCCCTGCGCCTGAACGTCGCCCGGCAGGATGTCGGCGATCTCCCACACCGTCGGGAAGGTGCCCTCGAGCGCCGAGACCTCGGGAATGCTGTACGGCGTGCAGGCGTCCGTCTCATCGGTGATGGCCGCCTCCTGCGCCTCGCTCGTCGGCGCTGTGGCTGCGGGCGAGCGGCGTCGACGGGCGACCTTGGCATGCCGCACGGCGCTGCCGGCCGCGTGGCGCTCGTAGAGGTCGAGCGGCACACCGGCGGCCGACGAGCGCCCGGCGCGCGGCACGCCGTGGCCGACGTGGGCCGCCGCCGACGCGGCGCAGCCGAGCAGCACGGCGGCACCCAGCAGGCGGGGTGCGAGGCGCATCGTGCAGTAGGAGTGGGTGGGATGGGGATGCGTGGTGGTAGTAGCGACGAGCGCCGGCGACCAGCGAGGAGCAAGCACAGGGGGGCAGACAGCAGCGCCGCAGCGGGCCCAACGGACAAGCACCGCGACGTCGGCCCACGGCAGCGAGCCGCGAGGCGAGCGGCGCATCAAGAGACACGCTCGGTGCGCTGCGCTGCGCCTGCGTCCTGGCGGCGGCTGCTGCGGACCCTGTGCTGTCGCTCTGGATCAGCAGCATGACCACGCCGCATTTCCGCTGCTGCATGGCGGTGCAAGCGTGCGTTTGAGCGTGATGCAGGATGCAGCCGCAGCCGCAGCGGCAGCGGCGTGACGCGGCAGCTAACGCAGAGCCGCAGACAGCATCGCAGGATGCAGCGGCAGACGAGGGAGCGCAGGAGGCGTCGGGGCAGCCGCCGCCTCGCTGCAGCTGGCCCACAGGCGCACTGCGAGCCGGCGGCTCGGCCGGCGCCCGCGCCGCTCCTGCCGGCGGCCTGCATGCCGTGCCGGCGTCTTGCGCATCTTGCCCACAAGCCAGCCCAGAACGTCGTGACGCTCTGGTGCCGCTGCAGCAGCAGGCTGCACTTCGCATTCTTATTCATGGCAAGCCACGCACATGGCCCTCTCCCTGCTTCCTCACACGCGCTTCTTGAGGTCCAGCCCGCCGAGGCGCCAGCGCAGCGTGCACACGAAGCCGGCGCTCAGGAGCGAGACACTGCCGACCAGCAGCAGGGCGGGTCGGTATGCCCTCGTGCCCGACGCCGCGCCTCCGAATGCCTGGCAGCCAATCGTCAGTGACGGCGCGCAGCTCGCACACGGCCCGACTCACGTCGAGCAGGTAGCCGGCTGCCGGCGAGCCGACGCCTGAGCCGATGGCTCGGCTCATCGTGAGCATCGACATGGTCTGTGGCCGCGCTGTCAGTCGTGCTGCTTCTAGACAGGCGTGTCCGCACGCACGACGACCGTCTCCTGGACGCCGAACAGGGATGCGTTGACGATCGGCATCAGCGAGAGCAGCGCACCGGCTGCTGCACCATTGACTGCAGGAACTCGGAGTCAGCGAGCAGCGCTGCAGAGCTGCTGCGGCTACGCACTGATCAGGAAGGAGATCAGCGCAGCGAGACTGTCGGAGACGCTCCAGATGCCGAGGATGCTTGCGCCCCTGCGGAGCTGTCAGCGGCGTGCCGCGCGCGATGAGGCGCACGCACATCAAGAGCATGCTCAGCGCCAGCGAGGAGATCGGCCCGAAGCGCGAGTCGGCGAGGAAGCCAAACATGATGCGGCCCAGCGCCGAGGCGAGGTTGTAGCCTGCGGACGTGAGCGGCTCTCCCCGACGCGCTGTGGCTGGTGCTGCTCACCTGCTACAAGCCACGCGCCCGTCTCGGCCGTGTAGCCGGCAGACACGGCAAACGTGGGCAGGAAGAACGGCGGCACGAAGAGCGAGAAGGTGACGGTCGCCGTGGCAGCGAGCAGCAGGAGGAAGTTGGTCTGCCGCAGGTACGACCTGCAAAGGAGATGAGCGCGAGGTACAGCCGACGCACGGCGCCACGCACATGCGGACCATGGCCAGTGGCGGCGGCACGCGGTGCTTGAGCAGCCAGCTGGCAGGCACGAGCACGGCGAGCGCCAGCAGACCGTAGATGCGGATCGCCCATGCCAGGCCGACGGCGCGCGCGAGGCGCGAGAGGCCGACGGCGAGCACGGCGCCGCCGACGCCCGAGCCGGCGTACACGATGCCGCCGGCGAGGCCGCGGCGGCGCACAAAGTACTGCGTGGCGAGCGAGCTGCAGGCGGCAAACATGAGGCCGTAGCCGACGCCGACGAGGGCCTGGGCGGCAAAGAGCAGCGGCAGCGCGTGCAGCGCGTACGAGAGCAGCACGTAGCCGCCGCCCACGCACAGCGCCGCCACGAGGCCGCTGCGCGCGTTGCCGATGCGTGCCACGAGCGCCGTGAAGGGCAGGGCAAAGACGCTCGAGAGCACGACGGACAGCGACGCCAGCCAGCCGAGCGTGGCCGACGAGGCGACGCCGCGGTGCGCTGCGGAGAGAGTGTGAGCCCTGCCACACGCATCGCAGCACAACGCACGCACCGAGCTCGGCCTGCACGATGCCAAAGCTGTAGATGAGGCCGAGCACAACGAAGAAGAACGTCGTGCAGCCGGCAACAACGAGCCAGCCGGCCGGCCCGCCGTCGGGCGCAGTGTCGGGCTCGGCGCGTGCCGTGCTGCGGCTGCTGCTGCTGCGTGCGAGGCTGCGCAGTGGCAGCGAGGTTTGCGGCTGTGCCATGTGTGCGGCTATGATGGTGGTGCGAGGAGCAGAGAACGCGCTGGGGCGCAGCAGGACCTCCTGCTGCCTGCTCAACCGTCGCCCCGCACCAGCAGCCGCTTACGCCCGATCTGCCGCCCGGCCGCACACGCCCGTGCTGCCTGCCGCTGCCGGAGTGCCGTGCCTGCCTCTCGATGCTATGGTGCGGCTGCGAGATTGTGCGGCCAACAGCGCTGTGCCTTGAGGATGTGGGCGGGAGGCAGGAGCGGCGTCGGTGCTGGCATGCCGAGACGAGGGCGAGCGCTGCGGGAGCGTGGGAACAGCGCGCTGCGACTGCGAGCGGCGCCTCCACCTCGCCTTCGCCGCGCCTCGCCGCTTCCTTCTCGTCTGCCACACCCCGCATCCGCCGCGCAGCATGGACGCCGCCGCCGCCCTCGCCTCGCTCACCGGCCTTGGTGAGCACTGCGGCCGCCCGTCGCTGTCGCGCTCTCGCTGACGCGCACGCTGCAGACACCGAGACGGTCACGGCGCAGCTGCTGCCGGCGCTCGAGGCGCACGGCAGCCGCACCGCACTCGTGGCGCACCTCGCCGACCTGCTCGGGCCCGCGCCCGCCGCCAAGCAGTTCGCCGCACGCTATGCCGAGCAGCGCTTCCCGTCACCGCCGCCGCCGCAGCCTGTGGCCGTAGCGCCCAAGCCGGCCAGCAGCGCGGCGCCCAAGGCGCGCGGCAAGAAGGCCGCCCTGTTCGGCGCTGCCGCCGCGCCGCGCGCCATCGACGCACGCAGCCTCGCGCCGCCCAGCGGCCAGGCATACATCAAGACGCCCGAGCATGCGCCCGCCGCCAGCAGCAGCCGGCGTACGCAGGTGCAGCATCACCCGGGCCGCCCGCTCGTCTTCTCGCCGCCGCCCGCCGCACCGGCACGCGCCGCACAGCAGGCGCCGGCCAGCAGCTCGGACGCAGAGGCAGCCGGCAGCAGCTCGCCGGCCGAGCCTGCCCTGCCGCCGCTGCAGCCGACACTCGAGATGCAGACGCTCGACGCGGCCATCGCCGCGCTCAAGGCCGAGGCCGATGGGCCTGCGGGCAAGCGCCGGGTGCGCAGCTGCTTTTGTCATGGTGAGTCATGCCGTGCGCCAGACCGCCGGCCACGCTGCTTCTGCTGACGCTGCTCGCGCAGCACGTGTGCACCCACCACACCCGCAGGTGCCGCAGTGCACCAGCTGCGGACTCATTCTCTGTGCCCTCCTGGCACCCTCGCCGCTGCTGCCCGACGCAAGCTGTCCCTCGTGCGCCGCCATGCTGCTGCAGCCGGGCTCGCGCGCCGCGCTCCTCGACTCCATCACCGCCACGCGCACGGAGCTCGAGGAGCGGCAGCGGGCCGCGGCGCTGCGTCTGCGCGCCGAGCGCCAGGCCGCAAAGGAGGCGCGCGCTCGCGGCGAGGCGGCGCGAGTCGAGGTGTTCCCGGAGCTGGTGCCGCAGCAGCAGGCGGGCCGGGCGCGCGAGCAGCAGATGGAGAGCCAGCGCAAGGCGCGCGTGCTGACGCTCGACGCCAAGACGCACAAGCTGCGCGCGCCCAAGCCGAAGAAGAAGACGGCCAAGCCGGCGGCGGCTGCCGAGCCGCAGGCATCACGGGCGGCTCCTGCGCCTGCGCCTGCACCGGCAGCGGCGCCGGAGGAGAGCGAGGATGAAGAGGAGGAGGACTACGACGCGCAGGGCCTCGGCATCGTGCCCGACCCCGACGACGACGGCTTTGCCATGCACCAGGCCGTTGGTGCGCCCGACGGACTTGTGCGGGCCAGCGAGTTCGGCTGGTGGGGCCAGCCGCTGTCGCTCGGAGACGAGGACGCGGGCCTGGCGTACGTGCCCAAGCAGGACCGCCCGCAGCGCAGCGTGCCGGAGGACGATGCCGACGCCGAGCCCGAGAAGGGCAAGGGCAAGCAGGCGGAGCGCGCCGTGCCGGGCGCGCAGGTGGCCGAGAAGAAGAGCCGGCGCAGCAAGAAGGCGCCCGCAGAGGGCGGCGCACAGGCGACCTGAGCGCGGGATGGAGTGCAATGTGATCGTTCACTCGCGCCGACAGAACCAGAGAGGAGAGAAAGGCAAAGACAATTACAGTATAGGGGCTGGCGTAGGGGAATGGCGCCCGCGACGCGCGGATCGTGATGCGTCGAGTCGGGCAGGAGAGAACTGACGTGCGAGCCCAGGAGACAAACGTGAGGCGTGACTGTGCGTATACGAGGCGGCGAGGGCGAGCGAGGACATCAGAGATGCAGACAGACATGGTGCGGGCCTGCCGTGGGCAGCGCCGCGCAGGCATCTGTGCATCACGCCTTGCCGTAGCTCTCCAGCCGGCGCTGCGAGTGCGAGCTGTGCGACTTGCTGCGCGGCACGGAGGCGTGGCCGTTGACGGCGGCGCGCAGCTGTTCCTGCTGCTGCTGCTGCGCCTGGTAGGCGTACGCCGTCGTGTTGGCGTCGGCGGCGACGCCGCGCACCTTGGCCAGCGCGGCGTTGGAGAGCGAGAGCGGCAGCGCGATGGGCAGCGAAAGGTAGTAGGCTGCGCCGTGCGTGTACCAGGCGTCGTGCGAAGCGATGTGCGTCGGCTTCTCTGGGCCGAAAGCGACGGCAGGCGACTGCGCCGCCGGAGCAACGTAGCGCGGCGGCGAGCCCTGGTAGCCGGCCGAGCCGCTCTTGGCGCCGGCGTGCCCGAGAATCTGCGAGCCGGGCGGCGAGAGCGTCGCGGCCGAGGCAGGCGTCGAGGCCGCTGACGAGCTGTCTACAGGCCCGCCGATGCCGAGCGACGCAGTGGACGGCAGGCTGCGCGGCGCATCGTACAGATACTGGCGCTGCGAGCCGGAGCCCTGACCGAGCGCAAATTTGACAGCGTTGAAGAGCGAGGCGCCAAATGTCGTTGCGCGCTCGCGCTCGCGCCGCTCCTCCTCGATGAGCTCGGCGTTGATGGCGACCTCTCGCACTGGCGCATGCGACGTCAGCGGGCCTGGAGCGCGCAGCATCGGCGCCAGGTGCACTCACGCAGATCTTCGAGGCGGCTCTCCATCAGGCTGAACTTGTCCTCGGCACTCAGGCGCAGATGCTCCTCCTTCTTCTCATAGCGGCGCATCGAGCGGCTCAGCTGCGTCAGCGGCATGTCGATGCCGTCGCGCAGCAGCGAGACATCCTCCTTGAGCGCGACGACGCGGCGCATCGAGTGCAGGCCCGACTCGACGGCGGCGACGCGGCGGTTGAGCGCCTCGACGCGCGACGAGGGGTAGAGCACGGCCTCGTGCAGGTGCAGCAGGCGGCGACGCAGCAGCGAGAAGGCGTGCTGAGGGGCGCGGGGGTCAGCGGCTGCGCGCTCAGGCTTTAGACGACACGCACTGTCCACGGCTTGATGCCGGCGGCAAGCATGAAGAGGCGGATATTGAACTTGTTGCTGCGGCGCACAAGCGATGAGCACAGAGCGCACGCGCGTGCCGTGCCGCCCGCGCACTCACAGGTAGCGGTTGCCGTCGGTCAGGTTCTCCATGAGCCAGCTGAGCATCCAGCCGCCCACCATGGGGCTGGCCATGCAGGCGAGCAGGCTGGCCAGCTCGACGCGGCGCAGCTCGGCGGCGGCGGCCTCGCGCTGCGGCGCGAGCGGGTCGTTCGCGGCGGGCATGGCGTCGGCGTGCAGGATGCGGCGCGTGCGAGCCTGCGCGGCAGAGTGAGCAGAGGCGGAAAGGGTGAGCTACGCGGGGCACGCACTGCAGAGTAGATGTCGTGCGGCACTGCAAAGGCATGTGTGAGACGCACACCACACTGACACACACACACCGCACGCACCCTTGAGGAACTGGTAGAGCCAGAAGGCGGCGAGCAGCAGCAGGATGGCGTCGCTCCAGGCGTCGGCGCGCCCGCCGAAGAGCGCGCCGGCGGCGGGCGCGAGGGCGACGAAGAGCGGCGCATAGTGCCAGCCGCCGAGCGCCGCCTCGGCCGACTCGCCGACGGCGGCGGCGGCGCGCTCGAGGCCGTCGCCGGCGACGTCGAAGGCCTCCTGCGTCGCGGCGTCGGGGCGCGTGTAGGGCATCGGCTCAGGCGCGGCGCGAGGGGCGCCACTGCTGGCGGCGGCGGCGGCGGCGGTGCGCGGCGAGCGGCGGCGGGCGGTGCTGCTGCTGCTGCCGCTGGCACTGGCACTCGTGGCGCTGGACATGGCGGTGCGGTGTGGGTGGTGGTGGTGAAGAGGCATGGTCGCGGCGGCGGAGCGTGGATCAGGAATCAGGAAGTGGCGCTTGGCGCGGCAGAGAGCAACAGATGCAGGCGGCGCAGGCGCGCGCGCTGCTGCGGCGCGTCACCGTCACCCCGCACCGCCGCCGCACCTTGTCCCTGCCGCGCCGCGCGCCCGGGCCTCTTCTCACGCTCACCTCGTCTTCGCAAGCGAGCGCACGACGCGGCCAGGCGGTGCCGCAGCACGCTCCTCGCACCAAGGTGCTTCGCATGATGGGCGCTGCGCCGGAGCACGCCGGGAAGCGAGCGCTGGCCGGCGGTGCGCCGCTGCGGCGCCACCGCTCGGGTGGCCTGACGTCCCTTGCAGCGCGCGCTGCTCGCATGACGCGCTCGCCTCGCGCACGCGCCAACGTCGCGCGTCGAACAAGACGGGCCTCGCCGGCCGCAGCGACGTGGAGGCCGCCGCATCAGCGACAGGTCAGCGGCAGCCAGCCCTGCTCTGCTCCTCCAGCAGCATCTGCTGCTGCGTGCTGACTTTGATGCCTTCGAAGAAGCTCCGGTCGTTGGTATCGCAGCCCACCTGGCGCACGCGTGCTGGTCGAGCGTCGCCAGGGGCCAGCTCACACGCTGCACGTCATTCCCGCCGGGGGCCGTCCGTGCACTCTCGCTGCGCGACCGGACCTCGCCGCAGGCTCGTGCTGCAGATGCTCCTGGCTGTGCTCTGGACACTCTCAGCCTGATGGGGAAAGCACAAGCGACGAATGCACAGCGCCGCCGCATCGTGCTGCTCGTGCCGCGGCAGATCGCAATCGAGCAGCGCATCTGCCGTCCCACGCTAGCGGCCGAGTTCGACAGGCGCACGCAGCGAGCAAGGCACGGCAGGCGCAGCCATGCTGCGGCCGTGGCGTCTCGCGTCTGCCGCAGCTGGCACGCGCATCTTCGCTTCGACTCCAAGGCCAGCATCGAGCGCCCAGCACGCAGCAACGACGAGCTCAGGGCGGAGGCGTCCATGGCGGCGCTGCCCGTGCCTGCTGCCCGCGGCGCTCCCTGGCGCACGCGTCGCCGGCACACGACGCGACGCGCCGCGGCCGCTGTGGCGCGCCCTTGCATGCCTCGCTCGCTGCGCACCGCCACGTGAAAAGGGGGGGAAGACGCGACCGCCGCGCAGCGGCGGGCGCGGCGCGGGCGGCAGGGGCGGACGGCGCCGCGGGGCACCCTCGGAGGCCCTTCGAAGGGCCTTGGATGGCGACGTCGAAGCGCTGATGCTGACGCCGATGTGCTCAGCATTGCCCCTCGGCCGCGCTGCATCTGGCACACTCGCTGCGCCGACGAGGACGCCGGCGTGCCGTGATGGCGCAGCGCGGCCTCTTGGCACGGCAGCGCCTTCCACGTCGCACCATCGCGGCCGTCGCTGACGTCGCTGGAGCGAAGGTAGCGCCTAGGGGAGGTCTGTCTTGGGACGCAGCCAGGTATAGCCACACGCCTGCTCCTGTCCTGCAAGACCCCGGGGTCGCAGCTCCCCGTGAGGAGGCCGACCCCGGGGTCTTGACGCGCCCTGAGCCCCACAGCATATCCCACGGGGCGGGGTCAAGGTACACCTCATCGCCCTCCTGGGCCTCCTAGGCTCCTCGCTGTGGATGAGAACGAAGAGCCCCTTGTGCGTGTCCAAAAGCAGTGATGGCCTGATCGTGGGCAGAGGAGGATGGCAGGGGCGCGAATAGGAGCACACTGGCCCCTCCGGCCAGCGCACTCTGCTGCGCCCACGCGTCCGCACCCCAGGGTGTGGGGACTCCTGCGCGCTGGATGTGTCGGGGCCACTGCCCGTGGACGGAGCCGAAGCTGCAGCTTCGAAGGGCTTGAGGTCAGCTGTCAGCAGACCGCTGCGCCCACCTCGGAGCGACTCGGCCGCTGCGATGCTCGTCCGCGCAGCCTTTGTGGCGCATCCGTGTCGTGCGCATTTGAGCGCTGCGCTGGCCCGAGCGCACCATGCTGATCCGGCCCGCTAGGGTGCAGATGCAGGAGGCAGTCAAGCCCTTGTCAAAAGCGACAACATGACCTCTTGTGCCTGCAGGGCAGGGCTAGAATTGCTGGGAGCAGCATCAAGGCCCTGGCTGGGTGCCCCTGGCGGCGTGGTGCGCTCGCGCGCGTCCGGCCTCTCAGGGGGCGCGCTGCGCCAGGCACGCGCGCGTCAGGGGTGCGCTGCGCCGCCTCTTCCGACCAGCAGATACGGGAGCATGAGGGAAGAGAGCGAGGTTCTTGGGCGCTGGTTCTGCACGCTGCCTCACTCCGCACTCTTACTGAACAAGCAGACGCCAAGCAGACGCAGGGCCGCCGGATGAGTGCCGCAGCGGCTGTAGCGTCACGTGTGCCCGCTGGACTGCACGGCTGGGGCAGAAGCCCGTCCTCGAGGCGGTCTGGCGACAGCTCGCTGCTCGACTTTTCTTGGTTTCACGGCGCTGCTTCAGCCCTCGCGCGGCTCAGGGGCTCCGATCTTCGCCAGTGCGCGGCTGCGCCGACGCGATCTTCGGGCCGCCCCCTGTCTCGCACGCCGCACCCCTGTCGCCCCTCTGGCGCAGCCGCACTTCACCTGCACAGGTTCATTGCAGAACGTGCTCAGCATCATCGGGCGTAGCCCGCTAGAGGGGCCGGCTGTGGCATTCCGAGATGGGCTTCGGCGCTGCAGGCGTGCGACCAGGTGCGGCCTGCCGCGCGCGCGCAGCTCATCGCCGCCCGCCGCCGGCGTCGGTGATCTCCTGAGCCACGTAAGGCGCATGACTCGCGACTCCTGCGACGCCGCGTCCTCCGAGAATAGTTAGATGAGGCAGGTCCTGACGTCGGAGGCGCCACGTGCCTGATCCTGGCGGCTGATGAGAAGCTTGTGCGCGCCAGGAAAAGCAGCGCTGCAGCTGCGAGCATGGCGCCTGGGATGGACCAGAAGCCCTCACACCTCGTGGCTGTGCCGATTCCACGAGTGCGGCGAGAGGGCTCAGGTCAAGCGTGCTGCAGCGTGCCTCCGACTCGTCAGTGTCACCTGTGAGGGAGATGCCGCTGAGTGTGGAGCGCGAGCGCGACGGCCTGCGCTGCGCCTCGGAGGATGCGGCCAGCTCAGGGGCGGGGCGACCTACAGTGCTTCTGGGCGCCGTCGGAACAGATTGAGGCCCGGTCTAGAACACGCGGCGTTGGCGCAGAAGACAATAACGGCAAGCGCGCGGGCCGAGGAGAAAGTGCGGAGCGGGCCCCTGACGAGCGGACGCCCCTGAGCGACGACGAGCGCCGAGAGCCCGAAGGTGCGACAAACACATCTACCTCGTGTCTCCTCTCCGCTGCGCAGCCTCCTGTGCACAGGAGTGCGTGCTCCTGTGCCGTGCTGGGCGATCTTGGCTGCCGGCGGCTGTGCGCGGACGGGAGATCGGGCGCAGCTGAAGTGCGAAGAGCTTCTGTCGTCAAGGCACGGCGGGCGGCGGCGGCACGCGAGCGGACACTCTCACAGCGATGCCGCCGCCGAGCGGCTCTCTGGCGTGATGCCTCCCAAGCGAGAGAGTGCGAGCGGGGAGTGCTAGCACTCACAGGTTGCCGCGGCAGAGCCGCGATCGCGAGGGTCGAGGGTCGAGGGCTCTCGCAGGCACCAGGGCAGCGAGCGTGGAGCTTGCCTCTGCTGCCGTCCCACTGCCCCGCACACGCCTCCTTCCACGTATAAGACGCGGCTCGACCCCAGGTCCCACCCGTGTCACGAAAATCAAACCCCGCTGTCATCCCCTCGACAGCGAACGCTTCCATCGGACGAGCCTCCAGACCGCACAAGAAGGAGTCCTCTCGCAACACCTTGGTCGTCAACGTCTGCGCATCTCGCTGCCTCGTCCGCTCTCAGCACTATCGTCGTCGTCTTAGCCGCTCTCCGACGCTTCACCTCCGATGTCTCCGTACACACTGCCGACGCTGCCGCCGCCAACGCCGCGACGCGCAAGCGTCCCGCTGCCCGAGTCGGCGCCGTTCGCACCCTCCATGCCCTACGCCCAGCGGCGGGCGTCCTTCGACGAGGCACAAGCGCGGCACTGGATGACCCAGTGGCCGGCGTACGCCGCGTTCGAGACGGGCTCGCGCGCCGTCGCCCTGCCTGACATCCGCGTCAGCGACGACGCCTGCATCGTCAGCAGCGACCGCATGGCACGTGCGCTGCGCCTCGAGGTCGGCGACGCCATTGCCTCGCCCTGCTCGCCGACCAGCGGCATGGACTCGTCTTCGTCGGCGACCACGTCCTCCGCCACGCTCGACCACCTGCGGCCGTTCGCACGCACCAGCCCGCAGATGCTGCCGCGCACGCCGGGCTCGCCGTACAGTCCGCTCAGCGAGGGCTTCGACGGCGACAGCCTCTCGCCGCCGTCGGCCTTCGACGCGCGCCGCAGCGACACGCCGGCGCTCGACTTCCTGCTGCTCTCGCCCGGCAGCGGCGTCATGTGGACGCTCGACTCGCCCGACGACGTCATGCCGTGCTACTGGGACGGCAGCCGCGGCACGGACTCGCTCGATGAGAACGTCATCGCCTTCTCGCCGCGCCGCTCGGCCATGGACGGCGCCCTCAAGAGCGCCCGGCCGGCGCCGGCGCTACCGCGCTCCTCGTCGCCAAGCAGCAACGCCCGGCCGAAGCCGTCCGAGCTGCTCCGGCGCCGTCGTGGCGCCGTCGCCGGCCAGCTCGTGCTCTCCTCTCTCACTGCAGTGAGTCCTCCACCTGCCCTCCTCAGCCGGCCTCTCCGCTGATCCTCGTACTTCTGTCGCAGTGATCGGGCGCTCTGCTGTCACCTGCGGCCTTCCATTCTGTCACCTCCAGCCATCCTGAAGCTGCCCCTGGTCCAGCGCCCGTCCCTACTGGCTGCACACTGTACATCTACCCGCCTCCATGTATCCTCCGCCGGCGCTGCTTCCTCGCTTCTCGCCTCTCGCCGCTCCAGGCTCACCTGTATCTATCACTCGCTCCCTCCACCCGTACTTTATGTCACTGCACCAGAAGCGAGCGATCGGCGTGGATGACTGTTGAAGGAGCATTGCGTGATCGTGTTGGTACAGGTATGAGCGGACGCGAGAAATGAGCAGCAGAGAGACGGCGGCGCGCGAGGCTACCCTTTTTGGAACCTGCAAGACGAAAGAGACGGAGTCAGCGCTGCCGCACGCGCCTGCACATGACCGTGCCTCTCCCGGCGGACGACGTCGTACGTGCCACCTCTGGCCGACGCCTGCGCCACTCACCCGCCGGCCTGCGTCTGGTTCTTCTTGCGCAGATAGAAGAGATCTGTACGGCTGGCGCCGAGATTCACCACCTTGGGACAGCCGTCGCGGTCCTTCTCGAGGCGCGTGCACTCTGCGCAGTAGTATGCGTCCTGTGCGTGTGCCGAGTGTCAGCGTCGCCCCAAGTGTCGCACGCATGCCCACGCCGCCTCACCGAGATGCCCGGGCTGCCGCAGACGATGCAGCGGCCGCCGTACGTGCCGAAGTTGCACTCCTCGCAGATGCGCACCACCGTCGCCGGGCGCACGTACGAGTCGCAGATGGGGCTGCGGCGGCGGCGGGTCAGCGATGTGCGACAGGCAAGGCCGGCGCTGCGACGCACCACTTGCCGTCGCACTTCTCGCACAGGCGCCCGATGGCGATGCCCGGCAGCTTGCGGCAGAGGATCAGATCCGGGTGGTGCCTGCGTGCGCGTCAGCGGTATGCGGTTGGCGACGTGCAGCAGCAGACGCACTTGGACATGGTGCGCGGGAGTGGCGGTCGGGAGGCACGAAACACCGCAGCAGCTTGGCGGCAAGCAGCTCGGGGCCGTGGAGGCGCTGACGTAAGCACGTCCAACACCCGCTCGCGCGACGGGTCCGCCGAGGGTCTCCCTGCTGCGCGGCTGCGCGTCTTCGCTCCTCTTCCCGCACCCTCAACACGCTCCTCATGGCCGCCCAGGCCGTCCTCTTCGGCGCGCCGCCGTCGCCGCACACGCTCTGGGCACAGATGCACGCCGGCGCCGCGGCGCCGTGGCAGCTGGCGGCGCTGCACCTGGCGCGCCTGCTGCCCGCGGCGCTCATCCTGCTCCTCGTGCTCGCCTCGCTGCTGCGCCCCGTCGTGCGCCGCCGCCGCGCGCGCCCGGCGCTGCTCGAGAGCGACGCCGAGGCCGGCGCCGCACAGCTGCCGGCACCCGGCGCGGCCAGCGACGGCGACGGCGCGCTGCCGCAGCCCGTGCCCGTCATCGTGCGCGTGCGCTCGCGCCGCCGCCTGCTCACGCACTTCCTGCTCCTCTCGCTCGCCGCCACGCACCTCGTCGCCGGCGTGCTCATCGTGCTGCGCGCCGTGCTGCCGCCCAAGACCTGGACGCCGGCCCTGCCGCGCTGGGGCGGCGCCGACTCGGCGGCGCTGCTCGGCGTCATCGCCTGGGCCGCCGTTGCGGCGGCGTGCCAGTGGGAGACGCGCGCTCGCGGCGCATACGGGCGCGGCAAGGTGCTCGGTGCACTGGCAATTGGTGTGCTCGGCGATGGTGCACTGCTCGGCCTCTACGCCTCGTCGGCCGGGCCGGCGCGCCCGCCGACGATGGGCCCGTGGACCCTGGCGCAGCTGGCGCTGCCGCTGCTGCGCCTCGCGCTCCTCTACCCGGCTGCGGCGCTGGCGTGCATGGATGCGCAGCGCTTTGTGCGCGCCAGCGATCTGCACGCCAATGCCGCCGCTCGGGCCGCCGAGGAGCAGCAGCCGTCCAGCAGTGCGGGCCGCTCGGCGCCTGCTGCCGCCGAGGGCAGCGCACTGCTCAACGCGACGTCGTCCAACGGCTACGGCGCGACGGGCACCAGCACGGCGTCCGGCTCTGCGACAGCGACGCCCAAGCCGGCACGTACGGCCGCGTCTGAGGCCGCTGCTGCCAATGCCTCGATGGGCCTCAGCGTCTCGGCACAGCCGCCGCCGCCGACGCTGCGTGTCTTCTTCGCACGGCTCAAGCTGCTCTTCCCGTACCTCTGGCCGCGCGCCTCCGTCACGCTGCAGCTACTTGCGCTCGCCTGCGCCGTGCTTCTCGTGCTCGGCCGCTTCGTGAACCTCTACGTGCCGCTCACGCTGGGCCGCGTCGTCGACGACCTCGCCTCGGGCATGCCGCCGTGGTGGCACATTGCGCTGTACGCGGCGCTCAAGGCGCTGCAGGGCTCCGGAGGCCTGCTCGGCGTGCTGCAGGGCTACGCATGGATCCCCGTCGAGCAGTACTCGGACCGCGAGATCAGCATTATGTCGTTCGAGCGCCTGCTGGACCTCAGCATGAGCTTCCACACGAAGCGCAAGACGGGCGAGGTGCTGCGCATCCTCGACCGCGGCGCCGTCATCTCGTCGTTCTTCCAGTACCTGCTCTTCCAGGTCGTGCCGATCTTCGTCGACCTTAGCGTCGCCGTCATCTTCCTGGGCATGCGCTTCGGCCTGCTCGTCGGCATTGTGCTTGGCCTCATCATGGTCGTCTACACGTGGGTCTCGGTCAAGATGACGACGTGGCGCACGGCGCTGCGCCGCCAGGCCAACAATCTCGACAGCATCTCGCGCGCCATCCACACCGACTGCCTGCTCAACTGGGAGGTCATCAAGCACTTCAGCGCCGAGTCGTACGAGGTCGAGCGCTACCGCTCGAGCCTGCTCGCGTACCAGAAGGCGTCCTTCAAGGTCACGGCCAGCCTGTCGCTGCTCAACATGGTGCAGAACCTCATCGTCACCGTCGGCACGCTGCTCGCTTCCCTCATGGTCGCCGCCGCCGTCGTGCGCGGCGACGCGACGTCGAGCGACTTTGTCGTCTTCCTCACGTACCTGGCGCAGGTCGTCGCGCCGCTCAACTGGCTCGGCACGCTGTACCGCGTCATCCAGACGAACCTCATCGACACTGACAAGCTCATGCAGCTGCTGCAGGAGGAGTCAGACGTGCGCGACGTGGACGGTGCCAAGGACCTCGTCGTCACGGAAGGCGTCATTGAGGTGAGTGTGACGATGCGGCGCTCAGCCGGAACCTGCTCACACGTGTCCGCCAGTTCCGCGACGTCGTCTTTGCCTACGGGCCCGGCCAGAACAACGCGCTCAACGGCGTCAGCTTCCGCATCGACCCGCGCTCGTCGTGCGCGCTCGTCGGCGAGAGCGGTGCTGGCAAGAGCTCCATCCTGCGCCTGCTGTACCGCTTCTACGACATCCAGTCTGGCGCGATCCTCATCGACGGCCAGGACATCAGCCAGGTGACGCAGGCCTCGCTGCGCCGCGCCATCGGCGTCGTACCGCAGGAGCCGTCGCTCTTCAACATGGACGTCAAGCACAACATCCTCTACGGCGACGTCAATGCGTCCGACGAGGCGGTCGAAGCCGCAGCACGCGCCGCGCAGATCTGGGACCGCATTCTCAGCTTTCCGGACGGCCTGGCGACGGTCGTAGGCGAGCGTGGCGTGCGTCTCTCGGGCGGTGAGAAGCAGCGCGTGGCCATCGCGCGCACCTTCCTCAAGAACCCGAAGATCCTGCTGCTCGACGAGGCCACATCGGCGCTCGACTCGGCGACCGAGCACGCTCTGCAGACCGCGCTCTCTACGCTCATGAACGGACGCTCTTCTCTGACCATCGCGCACCGTCTCTCCACCATTGTGGCCTCGGACAACATCGTGGTGCTCGACGCCGGCCGCGTCGTTGAGTCGGGCAGCCACGCCGAGCTCGTTCAGCGCAACGGCCTGTATGCGTCGATGTGGCGCGCGCAAATCAACGACGCCAAGGACGCAGAGGCGCTCGCGGAGCAGAAGGAGGCCGAGGCCGAGCCGGAGTCGAGCAAGAGCGCAGACGCGGACGAGCCGCTGGCAGAGGCTCCGGCAGTGGCGCCCAAGGGTTTCCTGGGGATCGTGCCGCCGTCCAACCCTGCCGCTGGCCCGGTGCCAGACTCGCTGTCACCCACGTCGCCTGCGCAAGCGGCTCCAGAAGCCTCGTCATCGAGGCTTCCGACCATCGCTGCATCGCCGGCTGCCTCGGACAACGCGCCCGAGGCAACCGCTGACGATGAGACTGCGGCAGCGCCGAACGAGGCCAAGGAGGCTGCGCCGTACGCCGTGGACGCCGAGGCCAGCAAGCCTGAGGAGACTCCGGTGCTGGCGCCGGACGCTGTTCCGAGTCAGGCGACGCCGGTCAAGTTCCCGAAGCGCGACGAGAGCGTCCCGGCCGCTGAGCCGCCGGCGACCACGTCAAGCTTCTCCACCCGCTCCTCACCGACGAACACGCGCCTCGAGCGCGTCGAGTCGAGCGGCGACACATCGCTTGCAGGTGGCGCAAGCGAGTCGCCCTCGCGGCTGCGCACGCGCATTGCATCGATGCTGCGGCGCAGCTCGTCGATGTCGTCGCCCTCTGCCGACGCGCCAGCCACCGGCAGCGCGTCGTCCTCGCCGCACGCCAGCCGTGCAGGCTCCGAGGCCCAGCAGCCGGGCAGCGCTGCCGCTGCCAACGCACTGTCCGCACGGCGGGAAGCGAGCAGTGCGACGCAGAGTAGCAGCGCCACTGCCAGCGGATCGGCGTCGCCTGCCGCGGCCGCCGGTGCTTCAGCGGCTGCGGAAGGCGCAAACGGCCAGAGCTCCAAGAAAAAGGTCAGTGCCGCGGCGACGTGCCATGCGCCTCGTGAGCTAACCCGTGCGCGCAGAAGAACCGCAGGAAGAAGGCCGGCAAGAAGTGAGCTGACCGGCGATCCACCACCCTCATCTGCTCTTCAAGCGGCCCCTCGAGATGCAGCCTGCACACGCGCATTTACAATATGGAGAGGTTGATTGCATAATGAGCCGCACGGCGTGTGTGTGTGTGATGATCCGGCGAGCGAGATGAGGGAGAGATGGGAAAGCAGAAGACGAAGGACGGAGGGCAAGTGACGTGTGACGAATTGAGGAGGCGGAGCGGAAGGCCGTGTGCGTGTGAGAGAGCCGAGAAGCATACAAATACGCAGACGGGGCCGTGCAGTGACGTGGAGGCAGAGCGCCTCGAGAGACGCAAGAGGGGCCGGGGTGGGTGACATAAGTACAGGAGAAGGGACGTGGTGAGAGGGAGTGTCCGAGTGAGGGTGATCCGGTGCATCAGTCTTCGAACGTCTCGACGAAGCGGCTGCCAGCCACGCCGATGCTGATGGAGCGCTTGAGCGAGAGCGCCGACGTGTCGCCGTCGGCGGGCGCCAGCTGCGAGGCACTGCTGCTCTTGTACGGCGACGGCGACGGCGCGCCGGCCGCGGCCGCCGTGCCGAGCGACGTGGAGCGCGCGAGCGCGTCAGAGCTGCCTGCAGCGCCGGCGGCGCCGGGCGTGGGCGACATGGAGGCGCGCCGACGCCACTCGTCTGCCTGCGACGTGTACGTCCACGCGCCCGGGCTCGTCGCTGCCGGCTCTGCGGCGGCCGGACTGGCGGTGCGCCGCATGCCGTCGAAGGAGAAGTGCGAGGCCGAGGCGGAGCTGCGGCGCGGCGCGGCGTCGGGTGACTTTGCGCGCGAGGCATTCGAGCCGCGGCGGCGCATGGCGTTGGAGAGCTTGCGCGCCAGGCCGCCCTTGTCGCTCTCGCGCGGCGACGCGGGCGACGCAGGCACGGCCAGCATCTCGACGGGCACGGTGGCCGTGGGCGGGTCGTGGCGCTGCAGCGAGGCCACGTACGCGGCGCTGTCGGTGGAGCGCGCGCCGTACTTGTCGGCCAGCTTCGAGTGCGCGCTCGACGACTGCTGCGAGTTGTTGCGCCCGACCGTCGTCGGCGTGATGGGCGAGTCGCCAGCGTCGTCCTCGGACGAGGCCATCGACGTGGATGCCGGCGGCGAGTAGAAGACGGCCGAGTCGGGCAGCGAGTGCGGCGCGCCGGGCTGCGAGAGCGAGCTGGGCTGCGACTGCGACGTGCTGGGCTGCGAGAGCGAGGCGCTCGGCTGCGACGCCAGTGCCGAGAGGTCGGTGCTCTCGCTGTCGCCGACGCTGCCGAGCGACGTCTCGCCAATGACGGAGAGGTCCTTGCGGCGCATGGCGTGGCCGCCTGGTCGCACACCGGTGGCGATGCGCACCCGCGGTGGCACGCTGATGGCCGGTGCAGGTGCCGCCTCTGCCACCTCGGGCGCCTCTTCAGCACCAGCAGTAGCCTCGACGTCTGCGCCGGGCGCGGGCAGGATCTCAAAGCTGGGCGCCGGCTCGTCGGCCAGCGCAATGCGCTCCGTGCCGGGCGTGAAGCTGCGCTGCGGGTGCAGCACGGCGGCCGGCGGCGGCCGTGGACGCGCCTGGCGCCCGCCGGCGGAGCGCTGCGAGGCGCCGAGGGCGCCGCGTGCCAGCAGCAGCTCCTCGACGTAGTCGAAGTGCGCCGCCTTTTCGCTCTCGGTGTCGAGCGGCGCGCCGCCGTGGCGCGTGCTGGCCGTGTGGCTGAGGCTGGCGCTGCGCGCGGGCCCGCCGTGGCCGCTGCGGCTGCTGGCCATGCGGCTGAGGCGCGAGACGACGCTGCCGGCGCGCGAGAGGCGTGCCTGCTCGGCGCGCTCCTTCTCGCGCGCGTCGTCGGCGAGGACGAGGCCGACGTTGCGCAGCACGCTGCGGCGGGATCGTGCACGGCGGCGACGACGCAGCAGCACCCAGGTGAGGAGCAGCAGCGCGGCGAAGAGCAGCACGATGGGGATGAGCAGCAGCAGCCACAGCGCGTTGAAGCTGCCCGCCGACGCCGACGCCGGCGGCGCTGCGGCGGCCAGCTGCGGCGGCGGCAGCTGCTGCTCGGCCACGCCTGCCGGCGGCTGCGCGCTGGGGTCCATCGGTGCGGCGGTGGACGTGGCGCGGGTGGGTGCGAGAGCGGTGCTTGCGGGTGTGGTGTGCGGGAGCGAGGCTGGGCGACGGCAGCGGCAGCCACGGCGAGGGCGAGGCGAGGCGAGGCGCGTCGCAGCGCGCTCACGTCGCCCGCCCGCCCTCTCCTCGCCTGGCGCACCCGCTGCGCGCTGCTCTCTCCCGCGCTCGCCCGCCTGTGCCGCCCGGCCCAGACAAGCGCTGCTCGCCGGGCGGCCGAGGTGCCTGGAAGCGGCCGCCGCTGTGCCGTGCAGCAGCGCGGCGCAATCTTCGGGTGCGGGCAGGCGCCCAGTCTTAGTGTCGCCAGCGTGGCTGCCTCTGCCTCCTGCCTGGGCTGAGACGCCGCGCCGGCGGGGCGCATCTCACTCCAAAGACGCGGCCAGCGCTGAACGCCGCAGCGCAGCCGCCGGCGCATCTCGCCGCCCCGAGCGCCGCTCGCTGCTGCCACGCCCGGCAGCAACCTCGCGCAGCAGCGGGAAAAGTGCGGCTCCGCAAGAGATGGAGCGAGGCAGCAGCGCCGCAGCAACAGCATGCAGCGCTCGGGCACCATAGCCGGGCAGCAGCACAGCAGCGGCGCGCCCGGCCCTTCGCTCTCATCACGCTTGTGCAGCCCCACTTCTGCCCTGCGCCCGTCGATCCCACCATCGGGACAGCCGCTTCGATGGCCCTCTATCGCCACGTCTCTGCCCCTCGGCGTCAGAATAGACGCGCCCGCACGCGACATCGAGCGCCTCTCTTTGCAAAGGCACGCACGTAGCGGCGCGATGGGCTTCGCGCTTGCAAAGCGGCAGGCGGGATGCGGCGCAGCGGAGCACGAATTGCCCTCCACGCCCGCCGCGCAGAGACGCCGCACGCGCGCCGTGCTGCAGGCGGCGCCGCTCCCCTGCCGCGGCGTGCCTTGCTCGCGCACGGCAGCTCTTCTGGTGCCTACCGCCGCACTTGGGGGCCTCGCGCGCCCCCTGGGACGATGCGCTCCGCCGGGACAGCGCGCCGCGCCCATCGCAGCGCCAGCCTGCGCTGCGCACCCATGACGCCCATCCCACAGCGACGTCGGTGCTGCTGACAGGAGCAGGAGCGAGCGATGCTCTGCAGACGAGGATGGCTGCAGCGGCAGCGCATCTTCGCTCGCTTGGCAGGGTGCTGACCTGCCGTTGCTGCACGGCGCGCGGCCGCAGCCTACGCGAGGGCGCGTCGCACGCACCCCAGATCTGCGTGCTGCATCTGCCTCGTCCCATGACGGCGTCGGTGCCGCGGCCCTACACCCTCCTCTTCTCCCCACGTTTACGTTGCCGCGCCCATCGCATCAGCCTGCTTCTTGCTCGATGCATCGGCGGCGCGGAGACGGCGCTCGTCATGGCCGCGTCATGCTCAGAGGCGCGGTGAGCTCGTCGACGATGCAGCACGCAGGCGGCGCCGGCCGCGCACAGCACCTGGCGCTTCGCATGCCCGCCGGCATCCCCGCTGCCGGAGTCGCGAAAGGCCCTCTTCTCGTTGCCATCGCCTGAGGACAGTCACTGGGTTCGAGAAGAGGCTTGTATACGCTAGATTTGGCGACTCGAGTTCACATGCTGCCGTAGTGCAGTGGCCAGCATGCGACCTTCCCATTTTTGTGGATCAGATCGCGACGTGGGTTCGAATCCCGCCGGTAGCATCCTCTTTTTGCCCTTTTGCCGACGACGAGGAGGAGTGCGAGGGCCGGCGAGGCCCGCCGTGGTGCCAGAGGGTCCGTCGCCGGCCTACACAGAGGCCGCGGCCAGGCGCAGCAGCGCGGCGTTGGTGGGAGGCGCGCGGTGGGGCCGCTGCGGAGAGAGAGGCAGGAGACGTGATCATTCGCCGCCGTGACGCACACTACGTCGCTGCCAGCCGCAGCAGCGCGGCGTCGTCGACGAGCTGCAGCGTCCACAGCTCGACCTCCTCCCACTCGTCGCGCGGCCACGCGCTGCCGAGGTGCGCGTCGACGGCGCGGCGCACCTTGCGCGGCGGCAGGCGCTGCAGTGCAAAGCCATGCCGCTCGGCGGTGCGCAGCGCCTCGTCGACGAGGGCCGGGTCGCGGCGCTCGAGCGCCAGCAGCACATGCGGCTCAACACCGTCGCGGCGCGAGGCAAGCACGGCGGCGCGCAGCGTGCGGCAGAGCGGGTGCAGCAGCTGCGGATGGTAGATGGTGTCGGCCGAGACGAGCACGTCCCAGGGCGACGGCACGCCGGCGGCGGCACCGAGCTGCGCAAGCCAGTCGGCAGCACGCATCTCGTCGTCGGCACTGCCAATGCCGCTGCTGTCGCCCGGCGTGTCGGCCCAGTCAAGGGGCGCTGCGACTGCAGTGCTGCCGTTCGCCGCCAGGTTGGGGCGCAGCACGCTGCTCAGCGGCGGCTCGATGTCGGTGGCCAGCACCGCCAGGCCCTGCAGCGCCAGCACCATGGCCAGGAAGCCCGTGCCCGAGCCGAGCTCGAGGGCGCGGAGCGGCGTAGGCGGGTCAAGGGCGGGCGTCGATGCCGATCCATCTGCCGCACTCGTCCCTTCTTCGGCCGTCTTGGCTGCCTTGCCCGCGCGCACCGGGTGCGCCTGCAGCCAGCAGGCGGCAATCTGGGCGCTGAGCCAGAGCGTGGTGCCGGTGGACTGGCCGCGTGCCGAGTCCTGCGCCAGGCGCAGCTGCGCGCCCAGCGACGGCAGCGGGTAGAGCAGGCTGGCCTCGTGCTTGGTGTGCGACGCCGGCCGCGGCCCGGCGGCAGCTGCGGCGGCTGGCGGCGGGCGTGGCATGCGAGTGCGAGTGCGATGCGCTTGCGGCGGTGGAGGAGCAGAAGAAGCACGAGGCACTTGCAGAGGTGCAGAGCACCTGAAGCGGCGGCACAGAGAAGTGCAGCCCGGACGAGCGAAAGCGCGCGCTGCCCGAGTTCCGCGTCTGTCACGCCGTCCACTCCCGCACGGCCTTGCCGCCTGGCCGTCGTTCTCTCCACCACGACGCAACCCTCGCTGCACCACCATGTCTGCCGCACGCCTGCTGCCTCGCCTGGCACGGCCATGCACCCTCGGCCTGCGCGCCCCCGCCGCCCGCGTGGCACTGGCCCGCGCCATGCCGCGCGCCGCCCTCGCACATGCCTCGCTGCCGCGCCGCAGCGAGCAGCTGCGCCTCTACTCGGACCACCACCGCGAGCCGGAGTACGTGGCCTCGTGAGTTGCCGCACAGACCGCTCCGCGCTCTGCTGCCTGCGTCTCATGCCGCGCCTTGCGCCTGCCAGCAAGGTCTCGCCCGAGGAGTACCACGCCGCGGCGGACCGCGCACTCGACGCGCTCACCGACTACCTCGAGCTGCTCACCGAGGAGCACCCGGGCGCCAACATGGAGCGCGAGGCCGAGTACTCGGTGAGTCGCTGCTTCGTGAGTCGGCGGGCACGCTTCTTGGAGCTGTCCTTGCCGCACGGCTTGTCACTTGGCCCACCGACAGCGCTGACGCCACGCGCCCGCAGTCTGGCGTGCTGAACCTGCGGCTAGGCGACGCCGGCACATATGTCATCAACAAGCAGCCGCCGAACCAGCAGATCTGGCTCAGCAGTCCCACCAGGTGCGTCGCTCTGGCCCGAGTTGCTCGCATGCTCGCTCACACCGCACCGCCAGCGGCCCAAAACGCTTCGACTACGACGGCACCCACGGCATCTGGTTCTGGAGCAAGGAGGGCCAGGTGACGACGCTCAAGGAGCTGCTCGACACGGAGCTGAGCGAGGTGTTCGCCACGACTGTCGAGGTGGACCTGGAGGGCGAGGACTGAGGCAATGGAGACACCCGTGGCAGCAGCGCAGCGTGACGGATTGGAGTTGCGCAAGAGGCCGGGCAGGAGACGCCGCAGAGCGGGCAGGTGCAGCAGGCCCGAGGTACAGCAAGGGTAGAGGCTACAGATGTGACGGGAGAGAGCAGCGGCGCGCAAGCCTGCGCGCCCGCGATGGGGATAATGAGAGAGTGCGAGAGACTAGAAGAGATGACTCAGACGGTAGTGAAGAGGTCGCGCTCCGACCAGCCCAGCACGCCGTCCTCGCCGCGCCCGAAGAGCAGCTCGCGGCCGTCGCCGGCGTCGTACGACAGCACGGCGACCTCCTGGCCCGTCGTGAACGTGAGCCAGGGCCAGCCGAGGCGGCCCTTGGGGTCGCGCCGCGGCGAGTCGGAGAGCGCCATCAATGAGGCAATGACGCGCATCTTCTGCCGGCCGTCGGGCTGCGTGCCGGCGGGCGGCGGCGGCGGCGCGCGCTTGGGCGCCTCGGGCGCACGCAGCACCTCGTCGTTCGACTCGACCGACGGCAGCGACGACGGCGCCAGCACCGGCGAGAGGTCGTAGGGCTCGAGCGTGACGCCCGACTCCTCGAGGTCGTTGAGGAAGGGCAGGTCGATCGGGCCGTCGCGGGCGTTGAGCACGAACCACGAGTCGCGCCCAGTCGTCTTGAACGTGAGCGGCAGCGACGGCGGCAGTGCAGCTACGCGGTCCTTCTCGACGGGCGCAGGTGCGGCATCGGAGCGCGATGCAGCGCCGTTCGGCAGCGGCGGGGGCGTCTCCGTCGAGGGCGACGCCTCGCGGCTGAAGTTTCCGCTGAGACTGCGCATCAGGCTTGCGACGCTGCCGCCGGAGCGCCGGCCGGTCGTTGTGGGCAGCAGGAGGCCTGGACCGCTGGCGCTGCTGCGAGACTCGAACGGCGCCTCGCCGATAGCACTGCTGGCCGACGAAGAAGAGACGATCCGCGCGGACGACGACAGGCTCTCGCGTCGCTCCTTGAGCGACGATGGTGCGGCGAACGCGCTCACGCTGCCGGTGCGATGTCCACTCTCGCTCGGTGCTGCACTTGCGGTCGGCGCCGCGCCACGCACGGCAATGCCGAGCGACTCCACCGTCGCGGCGGCCTCCTGATGCGTGCGCCAGAAGGAGCGCACCGCTTGCACGTGCCGGATCGTGAGCTCCTGCGTGTCGGGATCGACGACGACATCGTCTGCAGCACCACTCAGCACCGCGTGGTCGCGCCAGAACTCCAGGCGTGCGCGCCTGACGTGCAGGTGGTGCGTGGCCTGCAGGCGCGCAAAGGCCTGCAGCCCGACATCGAGCAACGTCTGGATGCCGTAGATGAACTGCGGCAGCTCGTCGAGGAGCTGCGCGTGGAGCGCCACGAACGCGTTGGCGCTGTCGATGATGGCACGGTCCGGCGTCTTGCCCGACTTGTTCATGGCCGCGCGGTAGCGCGCATAGTCCATCTCGCGGTCGTTGCGCTTCGCCATGACCGACTTGGGGTTGTCGAACATCTGGCCGAGGCGCTGCGCCATCGGATAGATCGTCGAGCGAATGTCGCTGTCCAGCTGCCGCCACGAGCCGTCCAGAACGGCGCGCAGGACGGCCACGAGCGCGTGCACGCGGTCCTCGGGCGTCTGGTCGTAGTCCTCCTCCAGCGGCAGCGACGTCTCGTCGTCACCGCGCGACAGACGGTACACGGCGGCGAGCTGCTCGAGCACCTTGATCTCTGCATCGTAGCTCAGGCGCGTCCGCGCCGACCAGTCCACGCAGCGGCGGGCGAAGCGATGCACGCTGCGGTGCAGCTCGGTGAACTGAGTGGCGAGGCGCGGATAGTCGTCGTTGACGAGCTCCATCGAGGGTCCCACGAGCGCGCCCTTGACGCGCTCGCTGCGGCGCATCAGGCGCTTCGTGGCGCCATGCTGCACCTTCTGGCTTGCCGTGCGCCCATTGGCCGCCTTGCCCGAGAGCACCTGGTCCACGAGGTCCTGGCGCTTCTTGACCTCGTTGATGTTGTCCGCGACCTGCGTGATCTCGACCAGCGCAGCCTGCAAGTTCTTGAAGTCCGGGTGCTCGGCAGGCGTGTTCGAAAGAATCTGCTGGATCAGGAGCGGGTACTTGAGCACACGCTGCACGGGCTTGATCAGCAGCGAGCCCAGGTCCCATGCGTTCGTCCTGCGCGCAGCGATTGTCAGTCAGAGAAGAGGGCATGGTGAAGACGGCTACTCACTGAGCGCGCGCTGCCTCTGTGCACTCGCGAAGGAAGGCGGCAGCCTTGGGCGAGGCCGTGTTGAGCTCGTTGAGGCGCGTCATCGACATTTCGTGGCGAGAGCAGTAGGCCGTGTACACCTGCTCGATGCGCGGCATCTGTGGAGGGCTGTCAGGCGGGTCGCTATGGCGCGCATCCCGGGCAGACATACCATAGACAGGAAAATACGGCCGATCGTGTCGTCCTGCGGCGCGCTCTCGAGGTCCTCAGCCGTCGGCACGCTGTTCGCGAGCTGGCCCATGTTCTCTTGCAGGGCGCCAGCCATCTCGTCTGCGAATGCAGCACACGCCTCGAGGTGCGCAAAGACCACGCGAATGTCGAGCGGCGTGAGCGGTGCATCCACGTGCAAGGGCGACGGCGACACCACGGACATGGGGCTGAAGAGACCGCCGGCAGCAGTGTTGATGTGCACGAGTGGCTTGCCAGACATGCCCAGTCCCGGCGAAGACTCGGAGCCGGCGTGCAGGGTGAGCGCCGACGCCGACGTGGACGTCGACATGGAGCCGTTGCTGCCGGACGTGGCCATCGGCGGCGTCGCAGGCAGCGGCGGCGGGTGCGAGTCTGAAGTCATCGACGTGTTCGAAGACACTGTGAAGGTCGACGAGCGGTTGCTCGGGTTGCTCGAGTGCAGCGAGGCCGGCGAGGCAAGGCTGTGCGGCGCGGTCGCGGACGCTGCCAGGCTTGATGCTGCGGAAGCGTTGACTGCGCTTGAAGCAGCAGAGCGGCTCGACGGCAACGGCGGCGCGCTCGTGCCGCCCGACACGTTGCGTTGCGGCAGGAAGACTGAGGACGACGAGGCCGACATGGGAGTGGCAAACGCGCCGTTGGGCGACAGCGGGTGGCTGAGCGCAGACAGCGGCGTGTTGAGAGCCGGCGAGAGCATGCCGCAGCGCGCACGCGCACGCGCCAGGTAGATGTCGCGCACGACCGCGAGGTCTGCGGCGTAGCTCTTCTCCGTCTCGACGAGCTCGCGCAGCACGTTGCGGCGATTCAGCGTACGTCTGCCTTCCGGCGTGAGATCCTCGCGCGCGATGATGGGCGACGGCATGGCGGTCGAGCTGTTGAGCGACGCGCGACTCGCAGAGGTGGGGTTGCTCTCGAAGTGCGCAGGCGACCCAAGCGACGTGTCTGGCGTGGGCGCGGCATCTGAAAAGCGCCCGTGTGACGACTGCGACTCGTACGATCGGCGCCGACGCAGCGACGGAAGCGAGCCCTGCGTGTGTAGGGGATTGCTGAGCTGTCGCTGTGAGGAGCCGCTGCGCGGCAAGCCTGGACGCTGAGAGTCGGCACCAGTGTCGACGTCGCTGCGCTCTGCCTCGTCCGCCTCGTGTGGCGAGTCAAAGACACGACGGATCTGCGGCCGCGCGGCTTCAGCCTTGCGTGCAGCGCGCGCGGTCTTGCTCTCCTTCGCCGAATGGCCAGAGAAGGGCCACCGCTTCGCAGTCTTGCGCTTGCCCGGCCCATCTTCGGCACTCGGGCTCTCGGGGCCTGCCTTGCGCAGGCCCATCGAATACTTGTGCGGCGTCGGCGGCTGCTCCGTCGGTGTGTCATGGCCCTGTTCGGACACGAGAACGATGTCGCTGCCGAGCGAGGACGGGCCCAGGCTGAGTGCCTGCGCCTTTGAGGGCACAGGCGGTGCATGCAAGCTCTGGCCTTGCCCGCTGCTGACGCCAGAGCGCGCACTGCTGCCGCGGCGCATGTCGAAGCTCTTCGGCGCAGGGTCCAGGCGGATGCTCTCCGGCGCCGGAGGTAGTGTCGGCGCAGGCGCCGAGCCTGGGCTGATGTCCTCGCCATCCGGTTGGAGCGGCGGCCCGGTGTCGCCTGGAGACATGCCAAAGTTGGCGATCTGCGGGCCGAAGACTTCGATGCTGCTCCGCAGCGGGCTGATCGAGAGCGCGCGCGTCGATCTCGTGATGCACAGCGGCGGAGGCGTGCGCTCGTCCACTGCGCCAGGCACCGCAACTGGCGAGGCGGGCACGGGCACGGGCGGCGAGGCAGGCGTCTGACTGCGTCGGTTGCGCAAAGGATTCTTCGGCGGGAGCGAAGGCAGCGACGGCCGCCTCTGGTCCTCTGCCGGCGAGCCTGTGATTGGCGGAATCGCGCTGGCGTCAGAGAAGCGTTGAGGACCTAGTGGCGGCGTGGCGTAGATCTCTTCCTCGGTCATGGAGATACTGGCGTGACGCGAGGCAGCCTGCATCGAGTTGTACGCCGTCGACATGCTCTCGTGGCTGTCAGGCGAGCCAAGCGTCGGCTCTCGTCGCAGCGCGCTGTCCTGGCTACCGCCCACAGACGCCTCGGGCGACACGAATTCCATCGAGCTATGCTCCTGAACGGTCATCTCGCTCTTTGTCGGCGAAGTGGCCACGCTGGAGCCAGGCCCAGACTCTGAGCGCGCAGGTGAAGGAGGCACGATGGCCGCGCTTGCTGCACCAAAGCGCGCTCGAATAGTAGCCAGTGCTCCGCTGCCCGCTGCTCCGGCTGCACTCGCTTCCGAGATCCCAGAGCGAGCACCTGGGGCGCTCGCGCCGTGGAAGGACGATGTTGCGCGTCCGCTGTCGGCCGTTGCCGGCCGAGTCCCCGGAGAGACGCTCCCAGCCTGCGACGACTCAAAGCGCGCGGCCAGCGCAGCCACGCCCGCCGTCGCCTTGGTCGATGTTGCAGCAGCAGGACTTGCTGGGCCCGCCTCCAGGCGGGCGACGGCCTCTCTGGGCGCGTCGAGGAAGCGCGATGCGCCGCGCGGTGGGTCGGCTGATCGCGAGGTGCTGCCTTCCACAGTCGACAGCGGCGGGCTCAGCTCGCTTCCCAGGGCTGACGGCGACAGCGACGCGCTCGAGCTGGAGCGCGGCGGCAGAAGAGGCTGCAGCGACGGCAGGCCGTGTTCTGGCCGCAGGCTGCTTGTGCGCGGCGTCGGCGACGCGGCCTGCGCGCTTGAGGCTACAGTCGTCCAGCTGCTGACGCTGTCGGGCCGACGCTGCCGCGACGTGCGCCCTGCGCGACCTTGCGCGCCATCGCGATCGTACGAGCTGGAGCGCTCCAGGTCGGCAGGGCGTTGTGTCGTCGCTGCGCTCTCGGCTGCCGCTGGCCGCAGCTGGGCAGGGGCCGAGCTCTCGGCTGTGACTGGCCGCAGCGACAGATTGCCGGACTGCCTCGGGCTTCCACGCGGCTCTGTAGACGCTGGGCGCCGCCGCTCGCCGCCGGACTCGCTCAGCTGCAGAAACGCCGAGCTTCTCGGGCTGTCGATCGGGGCAGGCGAGCCCAACCGCGGTGAGGCAGTGACTGTAGCTTTGGCGCTCCGCGAGGGCCGCTCGGAGTAGTCCGCATCGAGAGTGGAAGAGTCGGCATCGATGTCGAGCTCTGGGCGCGCTGATGTGGACGGCGCATCAACGCTCGCAACTTTACGTAGGAAACATCAGCGTTGCCGTAGCAGGGCGCTGCAAAGTCAAGCGCGCGGCGTCGGTACTCACATTTGCGCGCTGCTGGCGGTTCCTCGCACGCGCCGTGAGCCTCTATGGACGAGTCCGTCTCGCTGACTCCGCGCCTCTGCTCAGCGGAGGCCCAGCGGTCTCGGTACGCCTTGGCTGCGGACGCAGACGTGCTCTGTGCGCCTTCGCTGAGGAATGCGAGCCCGCCCGACTGAGAGCGCGAAGCGCCACCGCCGTGCCCCGTATCTGACGCGGCCGCGCTGCGCCGCGAAGAGGAGCGAGACATGAAGCTCGACGAGATCGACGCCATCGTACCGCCCGAGACGTCGCGTTCGCGCCGCGAGCCGCGCTCCGGCGGCGGACTGAAGCTGTGGTCAGCCTGCGAGCTGGAGATGGAAGCTGTGTCGTCGCCGTAGGTGGAGGACGACAGCGGCGGAGACGTAGGCCCTGAGCTGTTCTTCTTGCGCAGCCCAAAGAGACGCGACCGCAGCGAGGTCTTGGCAGGCATGTGCCGGGCGCCATCCTCCAGCGAGACGCGCGAGCCATTCATCGAGGCCTTCGACAGCGAGCCCTGCGACATGCTCGTCGCCATCGTCTGCGCCGACGAAGACAAGACTGTGCGTTCGCCGACATTCTGCAGTCGCAAGGAATCATTGTCGGCTGTGGCCGAGCGCGGGCTGTCGGCACCGGGCCGTGCCAGCCCGGCTGCCGCGCTCTGGCTCTCCGTCGTGGCGGAGCACATGCGCGGCAGTGGCGGCACGGGCTCCGGCATCGGGTCTACGCCTGACGCAGAGCCCGGATTGGACTGGTAGCGCCGAGCGCGCGCGCCCGAGCCCGGCGAGAGCGTCGGCCGCGAGCCGCTGGCCGAGAGATTGGCGTACGGGTGCGCACTGCGCTGCGAGCCCTTGGGACTGGACGCGGCGCCCAGGCTGCCGTACAGCGGCGAGCCGGGCAGCGAATAGGCGCTGCCGCTGCCGCGCGGCGGCGTGTCGCCGCGCTCGAGGCCGTAGTCGCTGGCGCGCGGCGGCGAGCGTGGCGGCGCCTCGCGCCATGCGGGCACCGTGTCCGCCGACGCCGCGTGGCTGCTCGCCAGGATGCGGCTGCGCGAGCCGGGCCGTGCGCCGCTGGCGGCCGTCGGCGGCGTGCCCGAGCGCAGCGAGTGTGCGACGCTGGAGTTGACGGAGCGCGGACGCCCCGAGCCGCTGCTCTGCGCCGAGGGCCGGCGGTGCTGCGTGCCCTGGTTGGCGTACGGGTGCGTGGAGCTGCCGGCGGCGGTGAGGCCGGCAGACGGGATGGCGAGGCCCGTGGCGCTCGACACGGAGCCCTGCGCCGAGCCGCCGTGCCGCTCGCCGCTCTCGTCGCTGACGGAGCTGGCACTGCGCAGTGTGCGCCCCTGCGGGCTGTCGGCGGTGCGGCGCGCCAGGCCGGCGTCCGCAGAGGCGGACATGGCGCCGCGCGGCTGCGGCAGCGTGCAGCGGCGTGGCCGGCCGGCAGAGCGAGGCGGACGACGGCCGGAGGAGTGCGAGAGGGTGCGGCCTGGCGAGCGGGTGTGCGCGCCCACGAGATGGGCCGCGGCGGCAGGAGCGAGGGGTGCGGGCGCCAGCAGGAGCGGCGGCTCGCGCGCGGCAGCGGCAGAGGGATGCGGCGCGCGCGGCGAGGAGCGAGCAAGACGGGGTGCGGCGGCAACGGTGATGGAGGTGAGACGGTACGGAGCGGCGCAGGCCGGCACCGCCGACGACGAGCACGACGATGCGGTGCGGCCCAGTGGCAGACGCAGTCGGCGTCCAGCTGCAGCGAGCGAGCGCAAGGCGAGGCCTGCTGCGCGCGCTGCTGCTGCCGTGCCGGCGGCCAGCACCAGACGCACGGCAGGGGCAGAGAGCGGCCGGCACGGCGCGCGGCCCACGCACATGCGGCGTGAGTGCGCGCGCGACACACACAGGCGGCGAGCCTCGCCGGCGTCGTCGCGCGCGCAGGAGCGCACGGCGGAGCTTGCACCTCATGCGGCGACGCAGCGAGAGGGGCGCGCCCGAGCGCTGCTGGGCACGGCGGCAGCACCCCAGCAAGCGCACCCCGCGACGCCGACTTAAGACTTGCGGAGTGCAAATCTCCACCCAGCCTTCCGCCGGGGTGCTGCATCTGCTGGAGACGCTGCTGAATGCTCGAGGCGACCAGGTCGCAGCGTCACAGAGGAGAAGCTGGCGCTGGGAGAAGCAGCGGAGAGAGGGCCAGGGACAGGCCAAACACGAGGTCCCAGAGCGGCGCTGCGGCACTGCCCGCATCCCGAGGCGGCTCCCACGCCGCGCGCGCCCGGATGCGGTCGCACGGTACCGCAGTGCCCTTGCCGCTCTATGTCTCCCTCCCGCCGCCTGCGCAGCAAGCAGCTCCCGTCGCCGGCATGGAGGGCTCTCAGCGACAGCACCACATCTGCTTGATGATTCATCTGATTATCTGTCCCGCCCAACAACCCTCTCCGGCTTCTTTGTTCGTCTACACAGAGTCGCGATCGCACCATCCCCACACATCTCTGCCCTTTGCCGTGTCTTTGCTCGGCCCTGCCCACGTATGTCCTTCGTCTTTTCGTCTTCTAGATGGAGTGCATGAGGCGGCCCGTCGAGGCGCCGACGACGACGGGCGTCGTGGGCCTCGCGAGAGAGAGTGCGTCGAGCCGTGCCGAGGGCGTGCCGCGTGGGGATCGCCGTGGATGGGGGCGATCAGGAACGAGATCAGGAACGGGAGTGGATGGAGGCCAGGGAGATGAGCGCGCGCTCGGAGGGCGCGCACGTGCGAACAGGAGTGATACAGCGGCCGCTCCGGCGGCTAAAAGGATCCATGGTCGGCTTGAGGGAGGTGAAGCGGCAGCCGAGCGCAGTAGAGGCGGCGCGGCGGTCTAGCAGGGAGGCGGCGGCGGCGATGACAGAGTCGAGAGAGAGAGGGAGGAACAAGTTAGGAGTCGTTAGAGGATCGTGTTTGCAGCGAAGAGAGACGGGCACAAGCAACGAGCCATCAGGCACTGCTGCGTGCGGCGGCGCGTGCGCCCGCGAGAAGCAGCTGCGCCACGTGTGCGGCCGAGGCAGACGCTCCGCCGGCGAGGCCGAGCTCGAGCTCCAGGAACTCCGCGCCTGGTGCTGCACTTGGCAGCTCGCGGGCTGGCTGCGAGGCGCTCGGCGAAGGCTGCGGGCGATGCTCGGACGTCGCGGCATCGAGGATGCTTCGTGCATCCTTTCCTTGCGCGCGCAGCGCATCGATGGTCGCTGACCGCGCTAGGCTGCGCTGAAGCTCGAGGGGCAGCTTTGGCGATGCGCTAGAGGTCGGAGTGCTTGCATGCTGAGCAGGCTGGCGTGCCTGCTCCTCCGTTGCACGCGCAGTCGGCATGTAGAGGGTGAGGCGCAACGCTGCAGGAGCTTGTTGTCCTGCATCGGGCGCCTCGGCGTCTGCCGCCGCCGGTGCACCTGGGCCCATCAGCATGAAGCCTTGCTCCACGTCGAGGCCATGGCGTCCGAGATGAGCGCCCAGGGCACCGAGACTCATGCCTCGGAAGTCGCCGATTGGCCCGCTGCCACGCGGCTTAGCTGCCATGTCGACCAGCGTCGCCTCGACGTCGCCCTCGGACTGGGCCGTGGACTTGGTGTGATGTAGGTCGAGCAGGTCGTCGATGTTCATCTCGTCCGCAGCGGCAGAAGAGTGCGAGGAGGCAGCGAGGATGTCGATCGCAGACGAGGCTGCGGGGCGTTCAGATGACTCCGACGCTTCTTCCTCATCGTCCTTGCTGCTGATGCTGCAGAGCAAGCCGTCGGGACTCGTCGTCTGCTGTGCGAACGGGGCCAGCACGGGACCCATGTTGAAGGCGCTACGGCAGATGTGTCAGGAGTCGTGTGCATTGCGCACTGCCGCGCTGCAACGCACCTGCTCTCGGGTGCTCGTTCGAGGCCACCCGAGCTCGCGCCCGCCGGCAGGCCGAGAAAGGCGAAGCCGAACAGCATGACCATCAGCGCCATGCCGCCGGCGCTGCGCTTCTGCAGGCCGCTCGCCGTGCGCTGCATCGCACCGCGGCCAGAGCTGCTGCGCTGCATCTTGGCGCTCGCCGCAGTCGCCTGCACAGCACTGCCGGCGCCCTCAGCAGGCAGCACCGCCGCGCCGCTGCCCTCTGCGCCTCCCTCCTGCTTCCCTTCCGGCTCGGGGCCAAGTGTCAGCGAGACGCCAGTCTCACTCGCCGACGCCCCTGATCGAAAAGGACGCTCGTCGTGGGGCGAGTGGGGCGGCGCGCTCTGCTGCGCAGCCTTGGCAGATGCATCGGACTTGTCGCGCGGCTGATGCTGTTGCGGCTCCTGCTGAGCGTCCTGGTTGACCGAGGTGCAGGCAGTGCTGGCGCTGCTGTTGCCGCTGCTGCTGCTCAGGCTGCTGTTGCGTCCGTGCGAGCTGTGCACGGCTCGGCTGCTGGCGACGCTGGCGAACGAGTCGTCAAAGTCCTCGTCGCGCTCGCGCTTGACCGTCTGTTTTGCCGGCGAGACCGTCGAGCGCTGAGTGCCGCCCGACGACGAGTTCTGCGCGATGGACTCCTCCGTAGGGGCAATCGAGGCGCCCTTGCCGGCGACGATCATCTCGAGGGCCTCGCGCACCTCGGGCGCCTCGTCCTGCAGCAGCTGCGGCAGAATTGTCTGGCCAAACATGTCCCAGCTCATGTCCGGGCCAGCGACGACTTCCCACATGCGCCACACGAGCCGGCAGATGGCGCGGCAGCGCGACTCGAGCTCCTCGAACTGCTCGCGCTTGCGCTGCCGCGACAGGAACGCCGCGGCGCGGTTCTTGACGAGCCGCGCCTCGCGCTTCGTGAGCCCCGACGTGTCGGGCGGCACGAAGAGCGAAGAGTGCTTGGCGGACGTGTCGATCACCGGGAACGGCTGGCCGTTCTCGGTGACGTGCGAGGCCGACGGCGGAGCGCGCTTGCCCGACTGCGACGCGGACGTGACAGACTCGACGTCGTCGCGGTCGCCGTTTGCCGCCTCGGACGCAGCATCACCGGCGTTACTTGCCGCAGCGCTGGCCTCGATGCTGACAATGCTGTCGCGCTTGGCGGGCGCCTCGTCGGCGGCCGCCTTTGCTGCAGCCGCTTCGGCGTTCTTCTCCGCCTTGGTCTTGCGCTTGCTCGCCTTGCGTGCGGCCTTCTTGGCGGGCGGTGCCGGAGCAGCAGCTGCGACGGCTGCAGCGAGTGCCTTGGCGGTGCTCTCCTCGTCGTGCACGGGCTGCTGCGGCGGCGGCGCGTCGGAGACCGTCAGGCGGCGGCGCTTCTCCGGCGGCGGCGGCGAGTGGCGCTCCGTGCTCGTGGGCGCCGTCGAGGAGCCGGGGCTGCTGCGGTCCTCGGTGAACGGCGACGGGCCCTCGTCGCCGCCGGCAAAGCTCGGGTGCGCGGCGCCAGGCACGGCGTGGCCCTGCGGCGGCCCGTGCGCGAATGCGGCGTAGTTGTGGTGCTGCTGGAACGGGCCGACCCCGTGCATGCCCATGGATGCATCGTGCTGGCTGAACGGCATGAAGGGCATGCCGTAGCCGTTGGGGTCGAGCATCTTGTTGGGCGAGGCGTACGGCGCACCAAAGGCGAGCTGCTCGTTCTCGGCGCCGGCGTGCACGGCCTCGGCACCGCGGCCTGCGGCGCGGTTGGCCGCAGCCGCCGAGAAGGCACTGGCGGCGCGGTGCTGCTCCGGCGTGGCGGCCGTGTTACTCACGTTCCACGCCAGCGGCGACGGCACATGCTCGTAGCTCGCGGCGTACACCTCCTGCACGGGCCCCGCGGGCTGGCGCGCGTGTGCGTCGGCGGCGCCCTCGCGTGACAGATGCGCGGGCGCGCCGGCGAAGGGCACGCTGCCGGGCAGTGCGGCGCCGTCGAAGAAGTCGAAGGAGAGGCTGTGCAGGCTGGCGGAGTGCGTCGTGGGCGTGCCGGCGGCGCTGGCGAAAGTGAACATGTCGCCGACCGATGGGCTCGAGGGCGCGTTCATCGGCGACGCCATGCCGTTGCCGTGGAAGGCCGGCGAGTGTGCGTCGCTGCCGGCGGTGAGGTGCGCCGGCAGCGCACTCATGCTCAGCGGCGTCGGACGGCGCCCATGCTGCGGCCGGCCGGCGGCCGTGCGCGAGAGCAGCTTGGGCGTGTCGCCGGCCGGCTGCGGCAGCGGGCTGTCGGGCGCGCCGGAGCCGTCGATGTCGATGAAGGCATCAAAGTCGGCGGCGGCATCGAGCGCCGTCGACATGCTGGGCGGCAAGGTAGACGTGTGCTGGGAGAGGTGTTGGAGCGATGCCGCAGGTGCGCGGATCGCAGGCAGGCAGCGGTGCTGGAGCGGGAGCTGCGACAGCGGCGCAGCGAGGGGGTGGTGATGAGGCGATGACGGGTGCGGACCGAGACGGAGAGAGCGCGAGCACGACGCAGACACCCGTGACCAGAGCAAGGAAGGCGAGACGGCGACGAGTGGAGGACGCCTTGGCGGGCAGAGAGCAGACGCAGCAGCGCCCGTCGACGAAGGCTGCCTGAGCCTCCCGGGAGCGTGAAGGATGAGGGCGAGGCGAGGAGATATGCGAGAGAGAGTGTGGGCGTGGCGCAGCAGTGCAGGGTGCTGAGGCAAGAGGAGCAGCTGCGAGTGCGGTGCAGCGTGAGGAGCGTTCTGGGTGACGCTGCTGCTGAGGCGTTGAGGGCGAGAGGGGCTGCAGCGCGGGAAGAGGCCGGGGCGCCGAGCTCGAGATTGCAGCACGCGGCGCAGAGAGCAGAGCAGGCGCCGGGCAGCAGAGCAGAGGGCACGGGCGGCGCGGCGGCGGCGGCGCGGCGTGCACGGGCGCCGCGCGAAGGAGCTCCGAGCGTGCGCCTCGTGCTCACACGCCGCGCCGGGCCGAGAGGGGGCAGGCGCCGCTGCGGTGCTGCGTGCTGCAGCGCGCCCGCGCCGAGCCCACCGCCGAGCTCGGCTCGCAGGCGGCAGAGCAGCATCGCAGCAGGCATCCGTTCTTCGCGCCGCTGCGGAGGCGGCAGCATGAGAGCAGCCGCTGCCGCCCAGCGCGCACCTCGCAGCACACCCGCGCCGCACCCGGTGGCCGCAGCACCACAGCGCAGCATCGCTCAGCTCGGCGCCGCGTCCCGGAGCGTGCACCGCACCGCACGCCTCGGCACAAGCATGGCGAGCGTGCGAATGCCGGCCGCACCGCACCGCAGGGAAGCCCGCTGCCGAGGCACCGCAACCGGCGTGGTGGAGCAGCGGCAGGTGGGTGAGACGGTGCGGGCGCTGCTCTCCCTCCAAGCCCGAGCAAGTCGCCTTCGCGAGAGGCGCCGTCTGTGCTCGCTCGCAGCCGAGGCGAGGCCAGTGCCCCTTCTGGCGTGGGCGTCGGGCGATGGGGCAGACGAGCACCCCGCCCCGCTGCGGCACTCAGCCTCGACTCAGGGGCAGGCCGGGCCCACGGGCGCACCGCCGCTGCTCCTGCTCCTCTCCTGGCGTGCGTCAGAGGCGCCACGCCGCGCACCGGGGTGCGCCTCCAGCTCCCACGCGAGGCGGGTGCGTTCGCTGCTTCTCCGCGGCCCGCTCCTCGCACCTCGTCAGCCGCAGCAAAGGCGCAGGATAAGCCGCCGCGCCGCTGGTGCGCTGCGCTGCTGGGCAGACTTCAGAGGCCGCCGCGGCGGTGACGACGATGCCGGCGCGGCGGGCGCGAGATGTGCCGCGCCGCCCCCTTTCTTCCTGTGATGCGCAGAGGAGACGGAGACCGCTCTGGCGCCGCGACGAGCGCTCCTCGGCTGCGGCTGCGGCTGCGCGGATGGGGAGGTCCGAGCGCCGCACGCTTGCGGCGCATGCAGAGCATGCAACTGCAGAGGCACATGCTCCCCGCAGCGCCTCACGTGCCTGCGGTACATGCAGGAGCGAGCCTACCGCTCGCCATGGCCTGCGCTGCGACACTACACGCACCGGACGGAGTATGAGGCAGAAGCGGACGTCTGCCTGCCCACTTGGAGGCCTGTCGAGGGCTCAGGCCGGCGGCTGCTCGGGCGGTGTCTCGCAGCGGAGGAGCGTGGGAGCGCGGCGCGGGCTGGTGAGCGGCGCCGCGTCTCGGCACGTGCTACGCTCTCAAGCCTCGGCCGCCTGGCAGACGGGCAGAGCATCTCGCATTCGGCTCGGCTCAGAGTTGCCATGAGAATCTGGAGGCAATCCCGACGCAGCGACGTCCCTTGGAGGCGGGGCAGAGGCGACGTCGAGGGGCACGGCCCGCCAGGCACAGGGCGTGGCTGGCGGGCGGCGATGATGCCCGATTCCCGGCGGTGCGGGGAACCGGCTGCCCGGCCCGACTTGCGCCCTGCCGCTCATCCTCAACCCCATCACCGCAAGCTGCGCCGCCGCAATCATGTCGGTGCCCAAGGTGAGGCTTGCCAGTCTCTCGCCACCGCACAGCAGCTGACTGCGCGCCACTGCAGTCGAGCTGGATGCGCGAGATCTACGTCAACGGCCTCGGCGGCACCACGCCGCTGGCCAGCACGACGTACGAGCTGCTACGTGCCAAGGCACAGGAGGTTCTCGAGCCCAAGGCGTACGCGTATGTCGCCGGCAGTGCCGGGTCGGAGGAGACGGAGGCGAGCAACCAGAGCGCCCTGCGCGACTGGCAGATCGGTGAGTGCCAAGGCCATGGCCGCAGTGACGGCTGGCGCCGCGATGCTCCGCCGATGTGCTCATCCACGCCCGGCGGCAGTGCCACGCATGCTCGCCGGCGTCGACCTGGCGCAGTTCGACTCGAGCGTGACGCTCTTCGGGCGGCGCTTCCCCACGCCGCTCGTCGTCTCGCCCATCGGCGTGCAGGCACAGCTGCACAAGGACTGCGACGTCGCCACGGCCTCGGCGGCGCGCGAGCTCGGCATTCCCTTTACGCTCTCCAGCGCCACGAGCACGCCGATGGAGCAGGTCATCACGGGCGCCGGATACGACGAGGAGGGCGACGAAGGGCAGGAGGCCTGGTTCCAGCTCTACTGGCCCAGCGACGACGATGTGAGCCGCGGCTCTGCTCGCCAGAAGAAGACTTGCACTCGACTGAACTGCGCCGCGCCAGATCACGCGCAGTCTGCTGGCACGCGCCAAGAAGGCCGGCTACAAGGTGCTCGTCGTGACGCTCGACACCTGGTCGCTCGGCTGGCGCCCGCGCGACCTCGACGCCGCGTACAACCCCTTCCTGCACGGCGAGGGCGTAGCCAACTGCTTCAGCGACCCCGTGTTCGTCGAGAAGGTGGGTCCTCGTGGGAACGCCTTGGTCGAAGCGAGCTGACTCCGTGCATCGCTGTGTGCAGTACTGCGAGGGCAAGGTGAGCAGCGATCAGCAGCACGATCGGGGCATGACGCTGACGCATGCTTGCCTCAGTCGCCGCTGCGGAAAGATGCATCCGCCGACGACACTCAGGCTGCCTCGATCGCAGCCATCGGCCTGCTCACGCCTGGCATCTCTCGCGCCTGGGCCGATCTCGGTGAGCTTCATGGCGCTCCGCTCTCATGCGCCGCGACGCTGACCATCCGTCTCAGCGCTGCTGCGCGAGCTGTGGGGCGATGCACCCATCATCCTCAAGGGCATCCAGGCGCTGAGCGACGCCCAGCGCGCCGTCGAGGCCGGCATGGATGGCATCTGGGTGTCCAACCACGGCGCGCGGCAGGTTGGCGGCGCCTGTGGCGCTCTGCAGGCCCTGCGGCCCATTGCGCAGTACGCTCGCTCGCAAGGCAGTGCGTTGGCTTGTGAGCGGTGCAATGGCCTCGCTGACGCCATGCTCGCGCAGAGACGGTCATTTTCGACAGCGGCGTGCGCACGGGCGCCGACGTGATCAAGGCGCTGGCGCTCGGCGCCCACGCCGTCGGCGTCGGCCGGCCATACGCCTGGGGCCTCGCCGTCGGCGGCGAAGAGGGCGTGGCCGAGGTGCTCAAGGGCCTGCTCGCCGACTTTGAGCTCACCGCCGGCCTGTCGGGCCACCGCAGCCTCGCCGACATTGGCGCACACTCGCTCATCCGCCGGGGCGAGGAGGCGAGACTGTAGATCACATGCCATTCATCGTGCCTTCCACTCCTGAGCCCAGTGCCGCGAAGGCATGTGCGGCAGCCCTCTGCGGCGTGCCTGCAGGTAGACTACTCATGAGAGAGCGGGCCTGCGTGCTCTGCGCAGAGGAGCTGCCGAGGCCACCTCGTTCCCATGAGGGAGACTCGGTGCCGTGTCGTTCTCCCGTCGTAGTTTATGGCCTGGCTGTGGATGGTGCAGCGACAGATCAAGATAATCGACGGTTGGGTGTGGAGGGAAGGGAGAGAGAGAAGACGGAGCGAGGAGGCAGGAGATCACTCGAGAGATCAGACAGTGTGCTTAGCTTGGCTTCATGTGCGAGCGCAAAAAGTGGTACAAGGAACGGACGCCAGCGCGAACGTCCGTCCTGGGATGAGTGTGGGGGAGAGGAGAGTGCGAGGGGAAGAGGGGAAGGCGACAGGTCGAGAGCGGCCGATCGCTGGACCGACTCGTCTCGAATTCTGCACCTGGCAGTCTGCGGCGACGCGCGTCATGCGCACCGGCTACCGCGGCGTGGGCGCGGCAGGCGGCGGCACATTTTGGGGTGATGTGCGTTACGGACCTCCTGGTTCCCGGCAGGAGGACGCAGGCAAAGAGGGAAGTGGATGACGTGAGGAGCGTCTGGTGACGCCCACGGAGAGTGAACGAGGCTGCGGAGCAAGGGATCGGAGACGCGGGCGGAGACGAGACATGCAATGCCCGCACTTAGACTGCAAGAGGGAGAGCCACATCAGCCACCGCCCATCGGCCGGGGCCCGGCACTGCCACTCACTCGTGCTGGGGTAGAGCATGACGCGCACGCTGGCGCCGAAGGCCTTCGGCGGGATGTTGTGGCGGAACTTGGAGCGCACAACGCCCGAGTTGCCGTGCGGGCGCGTGACGCGGCCCCAGATGACGCGGACCTTGGAGCCGCGGACCTCCTTCTGTGCGCGGTACACGAAGGCGATGCGCTGTGAGACAACTGTCAGCTCCTGCTGTGGCGAGCCTGTCCTCCGCCCAAGCGTGTGCTGTGCTCCACCAGCACGGACGACAGCCGTCACGCAGACACCATCGTCGGCGGCCTCGCACCTCAGTCATATCTGCCTCTCAGCGCTCAACGCTACCGCTTTGCGCCCGACCCCGCCTCGCTCGTCCTGCCCTGCTTGCCATGTCTCGCGTCTCCACCGCACTCACCTTGCCGAGGTAGAACTGCGCCTCCTTCTGGTCCGTCACGCCCTCCAGCTTCACGAGCGTGGTGTGCGGCGTGGAGACCGACTTTCCGCGCTTGTGGCCCATGATGCGCCCCTTGGTGTACAGCCGGACCTGAGGAAGGGATACGGCGTCAGTCATGCTGTACGCTGTACCAGATGAAGTGATTCCGCGCCTCTCGCCCGAGCGGCCCTCCATGTGTGGCGCTCTCGCATTGCTGGAGCAGGCCGAGCACTGCAGGGCCCGCAACAGCAATGCAGTGGCCCTGCCGCGAACGCTGCTGCACCCTCGGCACTGCCCAGTGTATTAGGCGCCGTCGCGAGCAGCGAGGGTGACGCAGCAGCAAGACTGCGGCGAGGCAGTATCGCCTGCTGCGACGGCTCCGGGCGCATGTGCCTGCTCCGACAGCCGTTCTGCTCGCTAACGCCTCGCTGTGCCGCCTCATGCCAGCGTGGCGGCGGAGCCGCAGCGGCACGTCCGTCTCTCCCATCTACGGCGCTGATCGAGGCATCGCGGCGGCCGATGCGCACCATTGTGAAGTGTCTTGAGGCGGGTGAGGTGGTGGTGGGTGGTGGTGGCAGAGGCAGCAGCGGGCAGCGGCGGCGCTGGCGGGCTGCGGCCGTCGTGCTGCCCGCTGCCGCCGCCGCCTTGCGTGTGCGACTCTCGCTGCGGCACTTCTGCGTCTGCGCGCGTCGACAGTCGCTGCACCTCGACGCATGCTGCACGTGACGCGGGCCGCGTCTCAGCGTCGGGCCTCGCGGCCGAACAGCGCCGGACTCAACTGTTCCCACGCTGCCCGTAATTTTTGGGCGGGAGGGGCTTGCAGATGCAGCTGCACCCGCCTCGACCTTGCGGGGCCAGGCAGGCGACCTCCCGACTTCGTCCATCGCCCTCACCTGTCCTCGGCGGCTGCTCCACACGCTGCGCCTCACACCTGCTCGCCGCCACGCAGACCCAGCTGCGCACCTGCTCGCCGCCTGCGCACGCCGCGTCCCCTCGCCGCGCCCCTCGCCCGCCCGTCCGCCGTCGCCATGGGCCGCATCCGCCACAAGCGCACGCACCACGCCCGCCGAGGTGCGTCTGCTGCCCGACCTGGCACCTCGCCTTCGACGCACTGACCCTTCGCCCACCAGACGTCTCGCGCGGCGCCCGCACGCGCGCCCGCCACCTCGATGCGGACCAGGTGCACGCCAACCTGAGCAACCCGGCCAAGTCGGACGCGCTGCTGGCGCCCGCTGCGCTCGACATTGATGCGCCGGGTCTCGGTCTCTTCTATTGCATCCCCTGCGACCGGCACTTCCCTTCCGAGAAGGACCGCGCCACGCACCAGGCGAGCAAGCTGCACAAGCGTGCCGCCAAGCGCGCCCTCGAGGAGCCGCACACCGTCGAGGCCGCCGAGCGCGCCGCCGGCGTCGGCGTTGACAACCGCCAGCGCGGCCCCGGCGCGGCCAAGAAGATGGAGGTGGAGCAGGAGACGCCGCTGCAGCCCGAGCCAGAAGCGGCGAGCGTCTAGCGGCCTCGGGAGTTCGACAGCAGCGCCGCCGCTGGTGCTGCCAGCAATGTCTCTCCTCGCGCCTTGGCAGCTCTCGGCTAGCATGCATCACTGCGCCGAGTCTCTGCGCCGTCGCCGCCTCGATCATCAGTCCTCTTTCTGCCTCGCCCCATCGCACCATTTCGGGTACCTCGTCTGCGGCGCACGCACTCTCCGTCGCCGCGTGCCAATTTTTGGCATGCATCGTCGAGCTGCAGTTGCCACGCGCACTGCGGCTTCCGTCCTCAGCAGCCTCGCTGTCCAACACGCTCCTTTCACTCATCGACCGCTCTCACGTTCCCCGGGCTCATCGCGCACGTCATTCTCTCTGTACCATAATGCAAGAAGGGGTCAAATCTCGTCTTATGCGTGAGGGCTGGACCCTGGCGGGATCACGAGGCCGGCAGTCTTGTGTGGGATGCCTGAGGGAAAGGGCCGAGGTATGTATGCTCTCAACAGACATCTGCGTGGTGGGCTGGCGCACATCTGTGCGCTGCCGGCGCTCTGATCGCGGCGCCGGGATGAGTATGCCGCAAGCGCAGCGGGCACCGCGTCGGACGCCCTAGAGGCGTTCCGTAAGTCTAGCTGCTCAGGGTGCAGAGATGGAGCTGCAGCCGAGAGGCCTATGCGTGGCGCTTCACAGGGGCGCGGACGTGCGGACGCACATCGCTGAGATCCATGTTCGTCACCCCGCTGCGATGCGCGCTCGACATGGCATGGGCGGCGACAACGCAGTCGCGCAGGGGGGGGACGCGGGACGCATGAGAGCCGGCTGCCGTACGGCTGCTTGCATTGCGCTTGGATCTGCCGTACGATCTCTCGGCAATGCGTTCGCGGCATAGCAGTGCGGGAGCGGAGAGCGCGCGGGCTTGGATGGGCGTGCGAAAGGACGACGGGCGCGCGCGAGAGGCCCAAGCGCGCGCCCGCATGGCACGCACGGGCGTCGCGATGCCCTTCCTCTGTCCTGCGCGGTGTGGAACAGAGTGCGACAGCGACGGGCGCATGTCACGATGCCGAATCGAGACATGCTCCACTGCGCCCGTGCCGCTCGGCGAGCATGCTCAACAGCGCTTGCTGCCGCTCGAGCCTCCGTGTCTCCGCAATTCTCGTCGCACCCGAGCGGGGCAGTATGAGCGCGATTGGACCGGAGCATATCGCCCTGCTGCCAGCCTACATCTGCGTCTCGTCTCTATCGCTGCTGTGCCAGACCATCGAGCACACATCGACAGCGGGCTGCGGAAGCGTTGCGTATAAGAGCTGCTCGGCGAGGGTCCTGCACGAGGATGCCCCTGAAACAAGGCCCGGCCGTCGGCGCACTCATCTCATCTTCCTTCTACTGCTCGCACCGCCTCGCGCGCCCGCAGATCTCACGCTTCGGCGCTGCACGCAGCTCTCAGGGCCCGCCAGACGTCACCGAGACGCCGGCCCGCTCGCGCCGCCGTGGTCCCAGCGCACGCGCGCCCATCCTGCGACGTCATTTGCGACGACGCTCGGACCCTCGCCGGCCCCTGTCACCGCTCGCAGCCTACTCGGCCGTGCCCTGCACCCCATGACGGCCTTGCGCTTCAGTCGCTCGTCGCCATCGCTGCTCCTCCGGGCCTCGCCTCCCTCTCCGCGACCACCGCTGCCTTCACGCGACTCTGACGACTCGGGCGTAGCCTTCAACGACGACGCTTCCGTCTGTCTCGAGCGGAAGCCCTCATCCTTCTTCGAACGCACGCTCAAGCGCTCCTTCAGCAAGTCAAGCAAGATGCAGACGTTCGCCACGAAGCTCAAGAGCGGCCTAGCGTACCACCACCCGCGCTCGCCCAGCAAGCGACCCTCCGACGACCGCCTGTCGGCCGATCCCACGCAGCGCGCCGACTCGACCTCGAACCTGAGCGAGACGAGTGTCTCGAGCAACACCTCGCGCGATGCTCTGTCCTCCTTCATGCGCAGACGTCCCAACGACCGTCGTCCAGCCACGCGCGAGGGCATTGTGCCGGCACCGAGCAGCTCGGTGTCCAGTCCAGGCGTGTCGCACATCGAGCAGACGCGCTCGCGTCCGCAGCGCAGCCACACGCTCACGGGTACCAGCTCGCCCGTCGCCCCGCCGGCGGCGCAGCTTGCACCAGAGATCGAGCTACCCAAGAGTCGCACGAGCACCAGCTGGCAGGCGAGCTCGCCCGAGCCCGTCTCCGGCTTGCCGGCCGCGTACTGGCCTGCCAGTCCGGACTCGTTCGCGTCGTCTGACGGCGCCGAGCCAGTGCTCGAGTACGCCACGTCGTACATGATGAGCGAGTACGACTACAACGATGCACCTGATGCTCGGCCTGCAACGCTCTATCGCGCTGAGGAGCGCCGCCTCGGCGAGGCGTTTGGCTCTGCCATCACCCGCCGCGTCGGCCCCGCCGTCGAGAGCTGGCGCGACGGCACATTTGGCGAGGTGCCGCCGGGCCTGCTGGACGAGCCCGGTATGTCGTACTACGGCTCGGGCTGTCTTATACTCGACGCCATCGCCATGGACCAAGACGACGAAGACGCGACGCTCGTCGACTCGCTCGAGTGGGACCGCGAGACGCGCGCCAAGCAGATGCGCAATGCCGAGCACTTCCCAGTTGTGGGAGGTCTTGCGCCTCCGCCGTGGCAGCGCAAGCGAGCCATCAGGCCGTCTACGAAGCTCGACTCGAAGGACTCGGCGCTAACGGCCCGCACGGGTGCGCTGCTTCACGCTTCTCCACCGGTGGCGCTTGCGAAGCTGTCGCCACCGGAAGACGAGAAGCCAAGCCCGGTGCCCGAGAAGAGCGACAGCGCTGCAGCAACGTCGCCGATGGCACCTTCGCCGCTGGCGCTACCGCCGTCGCTTGCCAGCGAGCCAGAGAGCATCAGCACAAGTCAGGAGACAGCGATGCCGAGTCCGCCGACGCAAGCTATGCAGCCGATGGCACTCTCGCTGCCCTCGTGGCCGCAGAACGTCAAGGACCATCTGACGAGCAGCTCGACGGGTGAAAGCCTGATGGAGCGCATCAGCAAGCTGCGCAGCGAGCGGCAGGAAGAGCGTCGGCGTCTCGAGCGTGGCCGACGGTCCATCGAGACTCGCAGCCCCACGGAATCGCTCAGTCGCACGTCGACACCTGCTACGCCCTCCGGCGCCACACGTGCCGCCTCGCCGGAAGACCGCAAGGCAACGGCCGAGGCCACGGCGCAGGACCTCGTCGAGCGTCTGCACCGCGTCAACGATACCATTCGCGCGGCCTGCTCGGCGATGGCCGAGATTGCGCTGATGCGCAAGCACCCCGACGGCACGCCGCCGTATCTTGAGCAGGCCCGCTCAGCACGTCTGCCGGTTCACCTCGAGCGCTCGGCTGTTCTACGCGCCGTCAAGGCCGAGGAGCGCCTGCGCGAGCTGCCGCTGGATGTGAGTCTGCCTTGGTGTCGGTGCCGGCACGCTGTCTGACCTCATCTTCACCAGCCACTGCTCGCGCATCTGGTCGTCACCTTCTTCAGCGAAGAGCTGTGCCTCCGAAGCAAGCGCGACTCGGGCAACATGTCTGCCCACGCACGCGCGCAGAAACTTGGTGAGTGCTGTCGACACGACGCTACGAAGCCGATCCCTGACCGCTTCCACCAGGCGCTCTCATCTCGACGCTGCAGCTGCAGCTCACCAAGCTTTTCTTCTGGGCTGGTCTGACGATGCGGGCATCGGACGGCAGCACCTTCGTCGCGAAAGGTGAGCTGGTCCGGCTCTCGCACAACGACCCTCGCTGACCCTCAGCTACCAGGCTATGGACGCCTCCGAGCAGCTGCCGACGACCTCACGTCGCTCGTCGATGCAGCCCGCTCCAGCGGCCTCGAGGTACGCACTTGGTCGCGTGACGAGCACGGCGTGCCCTCGACTCGCCCACCGGCGCCCTACGAAGCCCGCCTGTACCTCGGTCTCGGCCTCGTCAACTCGCCCAAGGCGCAGCTGGGCCCCGGCACCGCTCGCACGCTCGTCGAGTGCGAAGTCGTGGACATCAGCCGTCTGGCTGCCGAGAGGCAGTCGCACGACAAGGCCAAAAAGACGAAGTGACCTGCCTGACCGCCCGCGTCCAAACGCGCGCCATCTCTCACGCCCCCCGTTCCCGTTGCAGCAGCTGGGCTCTGCTCCCGTACCTTGTCTCTGCTTGTTCTGTCCGGATTCGAGAGCGCATCGAATGTATGTCTGGAATATTAGCGAAATGTGCGTGCAGGTGACAAGTGAGTGATCGGAGTGCAGCAACGCTTGTGCAGCGTCGCGCGTGAGGGTGGTCAGAGAGCCGAGGTCATCTGCGCAGGCGAGTCAGCAAGGCGGCAGATGCGCTGCAGCATGGGTGGAACTCACGGTCAGCTGCTTGGCGTGGACACCGAGCATTGGCGGGCCGTCGGCGAAGAGGCTCTCGAGCTGCTGAATGTAGCGCAGCGCGCTGACGTGGTCGAGCGAAGTGCCAGGCTCCGGCGCCGGCAGTGCAGTGAGCACGACGGAGGTCGAAGGGGACGAGTTGATGCGGATGAGCTCGCTGCAGGGCAGCAGCTGTCAGCGGATGTGGGTCTGGATACGAAACCGCGGCTCACTTCAAAATGAGGTACTGCGCCTTGTTCGGCAGCGAGTTGAACGAGACGAGAGGTGCATCAGAGGCCGGACGAGCGGCCTTGAGCATGCGCTTGGCCGAGCGGCGCCGCTGCAGCCGCGGAGGGCGTGCCAGCAGCTCCTCGGAGAGTGAACGTCCGTGTCGCGATGCGGACGGCTGTGCGTCGCTGCTGGCCCCCTCGTCCTCCGAGTCGCTCACGATGCTGCTGGCCGCACTGCTAGCGCCGTCTTCGCTGCGCTGGCTGGCGAGCAGCGACGCCTGGGCACGCATGCGAGCCGAGGCGCGCAGAGTGCCGTCGTTGTCCGTCTCGGCGTTCGGCTCCTCCTCTGCGATGGTGGAGCGCTGCGTCTGGGTGCCTGCGCCCGATGGGAACGCGACGCCGGAGGCGCTGCTGGTTCCCGGCCCTTTGGGGCTCATGAATGCGCTTGCGCGCGGCGTTGCGCTGAGCGAGCCGTAGGTGTCGTCCACGCTCGACTGGCGGGAACCAAGCAACGGACGCTTGCTCGGTTCGTCAGGCAGGCCGGCGCCGGCAGAGTAGCGACGCGCCGGTCTGCGCGAGCGTCCGCTGGCACCGCGCCCGCTGCTCGGCGACGATGAGAACGTCTGCGTGCGACGCAGAGCCGCGCCGGGCGACGTGCCGCCGATCCAGTCGTCGTCCTCGAAGCCCAGCCGGGCAAGCTCGTCGCTGAGGCCCGAGCTGTCGCTGTCGCTCGAGCTGTAGTCGGACTCTTCCGCCTCGCTATCGATGCCCTCGCGGCGCAGCTTTGCGCGCGGATGAGCAAGACCAATGCGCATGTTGCGCTTGAAGAACGCCAGATGCTCAGCCGGCAGGCTGACGCCCAGCATCTTCTGCTCGCGCTTGCTTTGCTTGCGCGCGCCTTCTGCTGCGCTCTTAGGTGTGCCGGGCACAGCTTGCGCCGAGGGCTGCGACTGACGCTTCGCCGCCGCCTTGGCGCGCCGCTCGTCCTCGCGCCGGAGCTGCTTCAGGGCTTCCCACCAGGGGTCGCCGCCGAGGGCCATCTCGACGGTCGGCGAGGTGGCGCCCTTGCCCCAGACGATGGACTGGTAGCTGGTCACCGCGCCGGACGCAAGATGGAAGACGCGAAGCGTAGCCGGCACGCGGAGATTGTCGAGCAGCGAGCGCACACGGTTGCTGGAAGTAGGGCCTAGCGTCAGCAGGGCGTCGCAGCGACGTCACACGCTCGGCTCACCGCTCATCTTCGACATCACTCTCGAGCTCGACAAACACCGACACACGCAGCTTGTGCGCCTTCCACGTGCCCGTCATGCTCAGAATCGTGCCGAGCTGCAGGACCATCGTGTATGTGTCCCACGCGTGGCTTGGATCCTGGTCCGGGCTCTGAATCTGGATGGGCCAGAGGTCGATGTAGCGCTCGCTCTTATCGCTGCTGGCCGGCGGCGCGAGGAGGCTGAGCGACTCGAAGCCGTATGCGATGGCTAAGGCCTTGTTGAGCGCGAGCGTGTCTTCCATGATGCCTGGAGCTGGTGTGAGCGAAGGACACAGGCGCTGCGCCTCTTGAGCACTCACCGACGTAGGTCGTCGCAAGGATAGGTGTCTCGCGGCGCGCCGAGTCAGTCGGCAGCGTCCGCACATCGACGACTCGGTGTGCCGCGGCGCCGCGCCGATCATCGCCCTTGACGGTGATATCGCTGCCGTCGCTGCGATGGCTGGGCGTCTCGGAAATCTTGCGAGCGCGCGCGGCCATCGTGGTGTGGCGCATCTCTGCCGGGAAGCCCATCACGACAACGTTGGGACGCATGCCGCCGAGACCACACGAGAGGATGAGGTTGCGTGCCCCCTCGCGCTCGTCGCGCGCGATGATGACGTCGACAAACGACTTGATGCCGGAGATGTCGACGAGCTTAAGCCACGCAATCTGCTGCTTGCGCAGCTCGCCGAGGCACTCGGAGAACTCGCCCTTGAGCACGTGGCCGAGCACGTACAGCGCGCCCTTCTTGAGGGAGTTGCAGAAGATGATGAGGTTCCAGTCGGTGCGCGCATTGTTGACCAGCAGCAGGATCTGCGGGCGCCAGTACTTGACGTGGCCCTTGCGCTCGTCGAGGCGCAACAGGTACTTGCGCACGATGTGGTAGTTGAGGTTGCGCGTCACGTCGCCCCACGGCTTCGGCGGGCAGAAGACGTGGATGGCCGTGAAGAGAAAGATGGCAAAGACGATACATGCGCTTGCTGCGAGAGGGTCCGTGAAGAACATGGCGCCAAACGAGGCAATCGTGCCGCCGCCGGCCGTCCAGATGTTCCAGTAGCGGAACGACGGGCGGAACGAGGGAGCGCCGCCGGCCTTGAGAGCCAGCGTGGCGAAGCTCAGCGTGCCGAAGGTGAGCAGCGCTGTGAAGGTGAACGTGAGCAAGAGCTGCGCCATGCAGCAGAATGCACGCACAGGTCATCGTCACGAGCTGGGCGATCGTGTTTACCGAATCGACGAAGAGCACGGCCTGGCAGAGCAGGTATGTGGCCACCACGGCGTCTGCGCAGCGACAGAGTCAGCGCGTCGTCCCTCGTCAGATCTGCTTCGCCACTCACACGTCGGCGTGTCGCTGTGCTCCGTGCCCTGCGCGAAGAAGTCCAGCGCCGGCAGGAGGTTGTCGCGTGCAATAGCTTGCAGCACCTTGCCACACGCCATCACACCCATGAGCGCCGAGAAGGCCGTCGACGCCAGCGCGCCGAACGTGATGATCTGCGGGCTTGCCGCCACGTCCGAGACGATGCCCACGTCGAGGTAGAAGCTGCAGCGACCGTCAGCGGCGCGAACGACACAGCAGCACGCACACGCAAGACTCACGACTCGCGCTGGATCGTGCCGGCGAAGACGACGAAGCAGAGCACGTAGACGACGAAGGTGAACACCAGCGACCAGTTTGTGCCCTTGGGAATGCTCTTGCTCGGTTTGCGCAGGTCGCCGCTCATGCTGGCGCCTGCGAGGATGCCCGTCACGGCCGGAAACAGGACGCCAAACACCGTCTGCCAGGACTCTTTGCTGCCGCCCGTGCTGCTGCCGGCGGCGCCGCTAGTGAAGTGCGGCATCAGGTTGTCGCGCAGCGTACTGAGGGCCCAGCCCGTGTAGTACGCGCCGCGCTCCTCGTCGATGAAGGGCTTGACGATAATGCTCGAGACTGGGATGCTCACGATCGATACCGCCAGCACGACGGCGAGGACGAGCGTGGCGCGCGCGAAGAGTGCAGAGCCCGTCAGGCACACAAGCGTGCTCACCACGAGCACCAGGCTGCCGTAGCCGAAGTTCCACCACGGGCCCTCGGGCAGGAAGCCAGAGGCGCCGCGCGAATCGCCGAACGCATCGGTGAGCGACTCGACGAAGCCGAGCACGTTCATGGCGGCGTTGAGTGCCTGGCCGAGGAAGAAGACGAGGCCGATCGAGCCGCCGAACTCGGGCCCGAGGGAGCGCGAGATGAGGTAGTAGGCGCCGCCGCCACGCACCTGCCCGTTGGTGCTGATCGCCGAGACGGACATGGCGGTGAGTGCGTCGACGCCATATGAGAGCAGCAGGAGCAGGAGGGCGCCGAGCAGTCCCGCCTGGCCCAGAATGAAGCCAAAGCGGAGGAACAGAATGATGCCCAGGATCTGCAGAGCACAAGTCAGCGCCAGTAGCACGCCGAGGATCGAGCTGACTCACATTCAGGCTGACGGGCATGAAGACGCCGTCCCACGTGCCCAGCTTGCGTGGTGCCTCGGCACCTCCGACCATGCCCGAGCTGCGCGGGTGATGGTGGTGATGGTGGTGGTGGTGGTGCGCCTGCGGAGCCGGCTGGCCGTCCGCGCCGCTGCCCAGCAGCTGCCGCCCGAGCGCATCGAAGTCGGTCTGCCGCCCGTCATCTCCGTGCCTAGACGAGGCCCGCTCCCTGGACGAGTCCTCCGACTCCTCGCCCGGCCCGCGATTCTTGTCTGAGAAGGACACGCCCTTGACCGCCGAGCTGATGCGATGGCGCAGACGCGTCCGCCGACCGCCGCCTCCCGAGCTGCCGCCGTCCTCTTCGCTCGAGGCATGCGCGCTGCCCGACATGTCGGCAGACGGCGGGTCTGGGTCAGACAGCTTGCGGTCGCGGCCGTTGCGCGAGCGGCGCTTGTCGCTCGACTCGGCACCCGAGACGGAGCGCGAGGACGTCGCCGAGCTGCTCGATGCGCGTGTGCTGAGCGGCGGCGGCTGCAGCAAGGCCGAGCTGCCCGAGGCTGAGCCGTACTCCTTGACGGGGCTCGGGCTGTTCTTGCGCATGTACTGCGACGAGCGGCGGCTGCCTGCGCCGTCGGCAGACGAGGCGCGCGTGGGCGTGGAGGGCGCGCTGAGGTCGGGCCGCCGGCGCGCTGCCAGGGCGGCGCTCATGCCCGCCTCACCGGCGCTCTGCGGCGAGCGCTCCGCCTGGCTGCCGCGCGAGGCCGAGCCGGCGTGCGAGATGAAGGCCGACGACGTGGGTGTCTGGCTGGCGCCGTCCGAGTCGGCGCTGCTCGGGCTGCGCGTGCCGTGCGGGTCGTGCGAGGCGGGCGACAGGGCGCCGTCGCGCGAGCCCGACTCGCCGGCGTGGTCGTCATCGTCGTCGCCGTCGTTGTGCGCGCCGCGCTGGAGTAGCTGGTGGTTCAGCGACTCAAAGTCGGCGCCCTTGTGCGAGACGAAGTGCGACATGCCGGCGCGCTCGGCGGGCCGACGCGGGCTGGCGACTGGCAGAGGCGGGACGAGATGAGAGGAGCGCAGCGACGCGGTGGGTAAGAG